ATTTTTACAAGTTTCTCAACGGCACAACAAGTTGCACACTGTTTATTCAAAAAACAATATACAGGGTGTCCCAGAAATAAGGCACCAGAGAGACACAGGAGTTAAATTGGCTTTCAATCAATCAGATAACATCAACATGTCCTTAGTAAAAGTTTTCTAGTTTTCGATATATTGCCACTTTTAAGTTTTTTCAAAAAATCTCCAATGTTTGCCCATTTTTTGCCTCTATAAAGAACTTCTAACATATGTTTCTTTCCTGGGCTACTATTAATACTTGGTACTAATAATTGAAAACTAGCACGGTATGCTAAAAAAAAAACTTAATTATCACATTTGGTTTCAATGCGTAAACCTTTATTAAAGTTTGACTAATTCCTGTGGAAAAAATCAGCCAATGACCTTAAAAACTAGCTATTTAATGTTCTTTCAAAAATAGTACAGGATTTGTAGGTATCTTTTTACTAAAAACTGAATAATTGAAGTAATACTTGCGAAATACTACAAATAAAAAATGATGTTTTTAAAAGAGCATTAAATAGGCTACTTTTAAAGATTATTTGCCGATTCAGTCTGGTAGATGTTGTTTCATAGTTATTAGTGAAACTTTAGTAAAGGTTTTCGCATTGGAACAAAATGTAATATTTTTTTTTAGCATGCCGTGCTAGCTTTCAATGAACTCAACCAACTATTAATGGTAGCCCCTGGAAAAAAGCATAAACTTGGTGTTTAAATATGAAAATAAAACAAACCAAGAATACTGATACTGTTTTTGAAATATGAAAAACAAATATCTCGAAAACTATGAGCTTTAGACACTTCCAACAAGTAAAACTTTTTTGTTGGGGCAATACGAGAAAATAAGATGTTTCGGTCAGTTGTTGTATAAAGGGCAGCACAAAAAAACTTATGATAAGTTATTTACCGAAATAGTGCTGTAAGTGGCGCCCTACAAAGTAATGAATTCTTGTTTCTCATACTAGGATACCTCCCTATACCGAGTTTTATGCCAAAATCTGAAATACTTCTCAAGCAATAAGGACAAATAAAAAATAAAATTGTATCAATTCACACGTTTTGGTCTGTAGTATCCCCAGTTTTGATATTTCGCAGACACCCTGTATATTTGCCAAGGACCTAGGCCAGGGGATAGCGAACGGCGCTAGCATAATGGCAACCTATACAGGGTGTCCGGTAAATAGTACAAATCTGGAAGATAAACGAAAGGCAGATCAACAACATACCAAAAAAATGACCCTTGAGATATTAATTTTTTGTCTGTCTTTTTCGAAAAATATCGTTGGTTGATCTACCCTTTATTGATGATTAAGCAGGTAATGGCAGACCAACTATATGAGAATATTTTGCAAAAAAAACAAACAGATATCCTGTTGTTTCTCGGTACAACAACAAAAGATAGATTAAAAGAGGAAATTTTTCGAAAAATACAAAAAATCAATATCTCAAAAACAGTGAAACTTTCACTAGGGTCATTTTCTGGTATACTGTAGATCTGCCATATGCCTATCGCCCTAATTTTTGTCGTACTATTTATCCTGCCCTCTATTTGAGCACCTATTGTGAATAAAATACAAATGATATTAAAAATGTATTCGTTATTCTGAAAATCACTAGATTAAGCATCATTTTAAAAAATTTGACCCCATCATATCATTATGTAATATGCATCTATTAGTAATCACATAATCTTACATCAAGCACTTGTTTGCATTGTCTACTTAAATAAAATAAAAGAAAACACATTTTTCTGTATAGCTAAGAAAAAATATTAACATGCGATACATCGTTAATATCAAACACAGTGTGTACTTTTTTCTAACCATATAAAAAAAGAGTTGATGGTCTCTGAAAAACCAAATATCGGACACAAAATTTTAAAATACCATCTTGTAGTGCCTGAAAAGTTCCATTATTTTTTTGATAAATTCTTTGAAATACAGTCAAAAAAAACAAAAACGAGTTGGCCAAATTCTAGTTCTTCCCATATACCTCAATAAGCCATAAAATTTTCACAAATTTCTCAATGGCACAACATGAACTATCACTATACAAATTTGCATTAAAATTAACCGGGTTGTCTATAAGGTTTGTGCCTGGTACTTTGGTTTAGGAATGCGCGCTTGTAATTAATTGTCATTAAGTTGCACACTGTTTATTCCAAAAATAATATATGAATCCTACTACTCATATTAGAAGATCGTATTTATGTTTATAAAATAATGGCAAAAATACAGGGTGTCAGATAAATAGTACGACAAAAAAAATCGAGAAGATAGGCGAAAGGCAGATCTACAACATACCAAAAAATGACCCTAGTAAAAGTTTCATTGTTCTTGAGATATTATGTTTTTGTCTTTTTTGAAAAAGATGCTTTCAGACGGGTGTAGTTTTTTTTCGGACCATATAAAAAAATAAAGTTCATCATGGTTTCTCAAAAGCGAAATGTAGGGCACAAAATTTTAAGACAGCATCATTTAGTGCCTAAAAAGTTCCATTTGTTTTTTGATATCCCTTAAAATAACAGAATAAAAACGATTTGACCAATTTTTTCTTTCGCAAATACCTCAATAAGGCATGAAATTTTTACAAGTTTCTCAACAACAAAACATGAACTATCACTATACAATTTTTCATTAAAATTATCCAGGTTGTCCTCATGTTTTATGCCTGGTACTTTGATTTAGGAATGTGCCCTTGTAATTACGGCCTATCATTAAGTTGCACACGATTTATTCAAAAAACAATAATATATACACACAAGTACTGCAAGTAAAAGCGTACTTACCATCAGACGTTACCTCATGATATGAAAAAACTTTACGAACCGCACAAAGAATACGCGTGGCGTGGCGCGACTTGGTACCACTGACCGACCGCCGTCGCGATACCCCGATAACTGAAGCCGCGCAGTAGCTTTCTGCATAAAGAACTTCTAATTTCTCCCACTCTACCTACCGCTTGGCTAGAGTCGTACTGTTTACATTGCTGTTTTTTATACATGTACGTCAATTTTTTCTACACAGCCGAATCTGTATTTTGAATATCATATACAGGACGTTCGGAGCAAAGCGTTTATTTTAATAATGAAATACTAAAAATTACTAAAATATGTATGTTTAAATAGACATAGGATGGGCAAACTTTCTAGGATTATTAGTAGCGGAAAGATATGTCATTGCAAAGATTTTGCGAGTCACATTTTGAATTTTTCGTTAGACAATAAAAATTGTATCACCGACAAAAAAAAAACAGTTTTAAAGTAGTTTTTGGGCTTAATACGTAGTATTCGAGTTCTGAAGGATTGAAATTTCGAATATCCATTACAGTTTATTAATAATAATGGAAACCAACGAAAAACTGTTATAGACTTACTTTGTTTTGTCAGGAAATAGGGGTATAGTGGCATATAAGTTAAGCAATGAAATAATCATATTTATCATTAGGTATTATTGAGAATTACATACACTTGAATAGTGTATGTTTGAATATTTTTAAGATTTTTTCCCGGAATACCAGGGAAAATCGAATTTACCGTTTTTCTAAAAACCAAGATTATCAGCATACTTTTGAAACTGAGCAGCAGTTGCGAGAATGTGTAATGGAAGCATTTAGTATGATTACAGAAATGTTACGTGATGTTTTGAATTCTGAAAATCATATTGATGTTTAGAAAATAATGGAATCACACAGTTTTTTCCGTAGCTTGAAGCTTAGCAAGTATCCAAAGGAGTAAAGAGCTCTAAATCGCAGGTAAGTCCTTTTCATCAAATTAGCTATATGGCTACGAAATCTCAATTTGTTGTCAATTTCTTCGCTTTTTGAGTACCTATGCCGTAAAGTTATGCCATCAACAGTTAAATGAAAAGAGTCTTCTAATTCAAGTTGAAGAGTGGGTGACGCAATTGATGCATCTGAGGCGTCGAAATGGCAAATTATCTGCGTGTCATCAGCAAGTTCTATTTCTGAATAATTCTCGACTGTTTTATGCAGGTCAAAGGTATATACATATTAAAATTAGTATTTTCATGACCATTAAATCATGGAGACTCTAACGGGGAAATGAATAAAGACCTTTTTGCAGTGGTTTGAAAAGCAATTATTGAAGAATTTAAAAAATTCCTCGGTTATAGTTATGGACAATACAACATACCATAGTACTATTGAGAATAAGGCACCGACTACAGCATCCAAAAAAGAGGATATTAAGAAATGGTTGAGCGATAATGAAATTAATTTTAGTCCTGACATGTTCTAAGCACAACCTCTTCAGATGGCACAAGAATACAAACCACTTTAAGATATGCTGTTGATGCATTAGTCGAAAAGTATGGACATAAAGTATTACGATTGCCGCCCTATCATTGCATTTTTAACCCTATTGAAAATGATTGGGGCATAACAAAGTCCTACTACAAAGAACATGTGAGTCGAAATCGCAGAACTGTAGAGAGCTATATCAATTTATGGCAATAAGCTTTACAAACTGTTACAGCTGAAATTTGGTCAAAGTGAAAAGGAAATTCAGAGATGGTGGGGAACAGAAAAATATCTAGACCAAGCTGACATTTTACCAATTATTATAAATGTGAATGAGGAAGATAGTGATAGCAATACAGAGGGTTCTAGTGACTAGAACTTTTTTCAAATAAAATATATCTTGCCACTATCATTTTTATATGTGAGTATTTATTCTGAGAATTTTGTATAATAAATAATTTGAACAAATTTCATTTCAATGTTCATTTTTCTTATAGCTGTTTTAGAATGTTGTGTAATCCAACTTAAATTATAAAATTGTAATAAAGTTAAAATATGGTTTGAGTGGGTAGTAAAACTTTCCAGTATCTATTTTAAAATGTGTTATTCCTTTCCCTATTTTCCAAAAGTAAGCTAATTTCTGCTAGTCACTAACACGCTCGGTACTGTAATGTTGGTTGCCGTCTGCCACTGTCCCTAGCTCCAGCGTTTACAAAACATATGCTCCGTAATGTTGGTTGCGGTAAGGCATCGAAGACATACATTGGATTTTGTAAAACGTCCTAGGATCTAGTAGTTTTAATTAATGTGGCAACCACGTGTGGCACTGTCATTATTTGACGTTGTGACGTAACTGCTTTGATTCAGTGAATGTACTTTATATTTTTTCAATATTACAGTAAACATTATAGAAAATTTAAGTTCTGATTTGAGATGTTAGCTCATCGTCCTACATTAATATTAGTGCGATAAGCAGTAAAAACATGGAGCACAACTCTAAAGGTAGGCATAATGATTTTAATAACAGAGGTTATGAATTTTTAATTGTTTCAGTGGCACCCGGGTGGAATGACCCTCCCGTTTTAAACTATAGCTCCTCAAATCCTCCTCCGAAATCAAGAATAATGAATAAAAGAGTAGCTTTCCCTTTGAATACGAATAATGTCCCTGGTTCATCTATTCCATCAAGTTCTTCCATGCCTCCTCTTCCACAACCACAAGAAGATATGTTTCAAGCTACAAGGCAAAGATTACAAGGTCTTTTTCAAAATGAAGAGGCACTGTATCAGTTTTGCAAAGATTGGCAAGATGACAAAATCAATGAAGACTGCAAAAGGACTGTGTACTATTTAGGGAAATATTTAAGTGAAAACAACAAGGGTGAAGCCGAAAAGATGAAATTGAAATTATGTTCCAGTTATAAAGATGTTTGTCAGTCGTGGTTGGATTTTATTAAATTTTAATTATTTCGTCGGCTATTTTCATTAATCCTTGATTGCAAACCACAAATTTGCAAACATATGCGTATGCGATTGTTATTATAGTTTCGCAAGGCGAAGCAGTGTTGCCGAACCGAAAAAGACGAAATCTGTAGACAGTATCGAAATTCGGTAAAGGACAAAATCGGTGGGAGGAAAAATTACAAACAACATAAAATCCATTTTTTTAGTTAATTTTTCATTGTAGCTCTTTTTCGGTAAACAATCTGAAAATATCTGAATTACTTTAAAAATCGTAGAAATGACATCGGGTCTCATTTCAGTAGGAATATGAAAAATTGGTACTACCGGCAACACTGAGGCGAAGACAAGTGATTAGCAGTTTCGTTGCTGATTGGTCATTGTCAAAAGTTGTTCTGTGGTGTTTAGCTGTTCCATGCTGTGAACTTAACCTCATTTTACAAACGTGCACTAACCTCAAACAATGTAAACAGTGAAAAGTGTGTTTATTTTAATTTTCTAACCATTAAATGCGATTATAAGATGCCAAGTAGCAAAGTCTTTCAGCCGTGTAGGAGCATCGGCTACGTAAGCAATCACGTACCTGTGCAAGTGAGGTACATAAAAAGTCGTAAGGAAAACCTGTTGGTAACATGTGTAGGGAAATCCTTTCATACGTACGGTGTCTCGCACTTTGGACTGCTTGCAGTGAGCGGTTTGCACCCCGGAGACATCTCTTGCATGACCTCAGACACATATCACGTGTACACAGCCTGTGGGAACATCATATATGCATGGCGAAGAGGTACAGAGCTGAAACATACTTACAGGGGTCACAAGCATCCGGTTCACCTAATGATCCCCTTTGGGCCCCATCTGATATCTGTAGATGAGAAGAGTAGCGTGAAGATATGGGATATCAAGGCAGAAAGTGTTTATTTGGATCTAACATTTAGCAGTACAAATTTCAGTATAAGTGCCCTGCTGCACCCAAGCACATACATAAACAAAATTCTGTTTGGAAGTAATAAAGGGGAGATGCAGTTGTGGAATGTACATAGTGCCAAACTGATATATTCATTCAAGTCATGGAAAGCTGGAATATGTTGCTTACAGCAAGCACCAGCTGTCGATGTTGTTGCAGTTGGGTTGAGTACAGGAAGGATAATCTTGCATAACCTCAAGTATGACGAGACTATTATGGAGTTCCAACAAGATTGGGGATTGGTAATTATGATGTTCTATATTTTTGCAGGATTTTGTGATAAACTTGAATTTGTAACTAAGTAGTTTAAGGTAGAAATTATATCTTTTCTCTTCTGAATTTATGCAATCAATTTACTGGGAAAACAAGTTTTTATCCAGACCACACATATACATACAGTAATGGACAAAAGTATGTAGACAAATATGAATATTTACCTAAATACCTTTAGAAAAATTCATACTTCATTGCTCCATAAACATATGCGTTATTAGTAGAAAAACTATATTCCTTGTTTTTACATTATCTGCAATGAACACAATACAAGTCTGAATATAAGCACTTTTTTACGAGGGACAAAAATATGCAGACAAATTCTTTTCAACATTAGTTTAGTACAGTTTCGTGTCAGGAGAGGATTAATTTGTATTCATCAAGTATTGTGGAATAAGTTGAGTGATTTTAAGACCATGCAGCGTGGTCCAGAAATTTCTTTCGATGTGAAAACTAAGATCATTGAGTTATACAAAGATAGTCAACATCAAGTCGACATTGCCAATAATTTGAACCTGAAGCTTAAAGCAGTTTGGGCAATATTGAACAAATATAAACAAAAAGGTATCTTGGAAGCCTCTAAGAGGAGTGGTTGGCCTAGAAAACTAAATGCTAGATCAGTTAGATTAATAAAAGTAATTTCGTCCAAAGATCCGTTTAAAACCCCAAGACAAATAAAAGCAGAAATCGCGACAAAAGGAATTGTCAGTGTTTCTACAAAAACTATAAGTATAAGATTAAATGATTTAAAGTTATTTGAACGTCGCTCGAGTAAGAAGCCGCTAATATCGATGAAAAACAGTAAGGACCGATTACAATTTGCACAGTTGCATCTTGATTGGAGCATCTGTGACTGGAAGAGGGTATGTTTCAGTGACGAATCCAAGTTCAATATGTTTGGATCAGATGGTGTTCAATAATTCAATGAACTTTGCTTCTTTTTTCTATAATTGTTTTGCTTTGTCTATATATTTTTGTCCTTCATAGTTCCAGTTTTTTCAATTAATTTTTTAGTGAAGGGAGTCTAATGAATTATTTATGTATAATTGAGATTATGCTATAACGAAGTATGTATACAGGTTGGTGTATTAATAAAACAAGTTAAAAAAGAAATACAGCACAATATTAATTTGTAGATATACTTTTGTCCATTACTGTACATTAAATAATGCTAATTATGCAAATTTTGAGGCCTGGACCATGCGGATTCAGGGGGCACAGCATTTCCAGATATTCAGAACTGTTGATAGGGCAGAGAAGGAACTAGATTGCAATGTTGTCAAATGGGTGGGGACTAAGGACTGTTTGTACAGGCCTGCTTAACTGATTTTATCCATCTAATTTTTGGTATTCATGTTTATAGCCTGATTTTTAGTTATGACAAGGGTGGTTGAAATGGGTTTTTTTGTCCAGATCATAGTTATGCAATGGAATCCTGAAAATTCTTTAGGACTTGCTAGGGCAAAATTTGCATTCATGCTTTCTATTATTAAAAACAAGTACATTAGGTACTTTGTGATGCTCAATCAGAATATGATCATCAAATAATACCAAAGTGCTTTTGAGATTTGAGATAAAACATTGGAACATAAGAATTATATTTTTTCAACTTTTCAGCACCATTTGCAACTTTCATTTTTATTGTAGGTAACATCAATCTCATTCCGTACAGATGGCCTCCCAATAATGGCTACGGGCAGTGTCAGTGGACACATTGTCTTTTGGGACTTGGAAGAGCGAAAAGTTGCTCATCAGCTCCTGCAGGCACATGATGGCTCTGTCACAGGCATGGTATGCATGCCAGGTGAGCCCCTCATAGTTACCTCATCCCCTGACAATACACTGAAGTTGTGGATTTTTGACATGACTGATGGAGGGGCTAGGTTGTTGAGGATCAGAGAAGGTAGGTTATGGAAATTAGTGTCTTTTGATGCAGAATATGTGGCCAAATTATCAGGTTCATGTAGAACAAAACAAATAATGAGAATAACTGCTGTGGAAGTACAGCAACTTATTCAGTACTAGGGGATTCCACTGATTTTGGCAGATCCACGCAGTGTACGATGGGCGGAACTAAACCTTCCTAAGGAAAGTTGCAAACTGGCAGGGTTGAAAAAAAACACGTTTTAAAAAAAACAAAAATCAAGTTTGTTTTTTGTTTAAAACCGGTTTCTTTGTTTAAAACATTCAAATTTAGCGGAAAGAAAATAAAGTTTAAAACACTGTTAATACATGTTTAAAACAGCAACGTTAATGGAGTTCCTTGAAAGTGTTATTACTATTTTTGATCCAGCTCTATCAGAGCACATCTCTAATTTAAAAGCGGACGTCGGGAAGTACCGTTTGCCTTTGGATATTTTATCGCTTTGGAAGTTATTCTTTGACTAATATTGATCTGCGGATTGAGAAATACCTCAGTATATGGCTAATCTCTGTGTGTGCAATTTATTTAAAAAAAACAGGATGTCAGCCCTAACACACAAGTATATGAGTATGCAAGGCTCACCTAGGTTTGCTGCACATGTATCCTGTTTCCCTCAGAAGAGTTGGAAGTAGATCTAATTTCCACTTTGGAGACACTTGACACCCACGTTACAACACCAAAGCACCACTGAGAGACAATCGAGAACCCTATAGTGAACACGGTTACTGAAAAAAGTAGCTAAACCGAATACAGCTGTGAACGCGTAGACATTCCGCTGCGCCGGCGGTTGCCGAGAGACTGAAGCGTGTGAGTGCTGTACCTCGCTGCGGCGATTCGGTACGGCCGGGTAGTACAACCACGCCCCTTTCCAGCTCCCACTCCGCGCGCCTGCTCCCAGTCAACGTAAACATCGAGTCGCTTCGTGATACTGTCAGATAAGAAACTCAAAAAAAAAAACTTTTTTACTACGATCTTGGTAGTTGGTCAGAAATGAAACAGTTTTTCCAACCAGTATACAACGCACCATTCTGTGATTACTTTGTTGCAAAAACAAGATTATAAAATTAAGCTAGAATATAATATTCCCAATATCATCATCGCAAATTTCAGCTTGCTCACTTGGTCTGTCAAAAAAACATCAAGGGAAAACGTTTATTGAAATTTTTTTTTATTGTATTTAACTCTTTTCCAGTAAAAAAATAAACTGACGTTCTTTTCACTCATTTGAGTGTCTGATATTATTTTCATATTTTTTTTCTGATACACATATTTGCATGAATTTTGCGGATGCAATTCTTCGAAGAAATATGTGACTGAGAATACTTGCTACATTCCTAGTATGTACACATGTAAATGTATCCTGAGTCACATTTTTCACGCCCAGAGAGCTTGACCACCCACTTTGGGACACCATATATAATCACTCAAACCTTCTGGTTAGAATTTTTTCAGCTTAAATTTTCTTTTAGGACATTCTGCTCCTCCCACTCACATAAGGTTCCACGGTGCTAATGGACATAATATTTTGAGCGCTGCTAGTGACTCTACACTTAGGATATTCAACACACAAACTGAACAGTTCAACAAGAGGTTAGTTGTTAGTAGAATAATAAGGCAAACTGAAAATTTCGATTTTTGACATAGAGGGCATAGATTGAGCTAATGCTAAAAACTCCCGATCACGTTTTTTATCTTTGACGGCATTAGTAAATTAACAGCAAACTTGCCTCCTTTGGTTATTTTATTAGTGTTATAAGCTAGTCTACTAGGGTTTTCAATTTTCGGGATCGGGATCCCGTTTTGAGATTCCCTGATAAAAATTTCCGGGATCAATCCTAATATTTTTTTAAATCTAGCGTTTTTACCTAATAATAAATAAAAATACAGACACAGACTAATGGAAAAAATGTATTAGAAACACAAAAATCAAATATGTTTTTCTGTATTTACATATTTTATACAGGGTGTCCCAGAAGTCGACGTCAAGCCGAAACCGGGTGATAGGCAAAGTCATAACAGCTATCAGAAAAATATTTAAAAAATTTTATGTATGTGTTTTGAAAATTATAGGTCTTTGAAAAAAATATAGAAATTTCACACCCTACGGCAGTCTGTCAACTCCTGTTACTACAAATATTAACTTTTTTTGGATTTTATTTTTACAATGTAATGATGAATAATGCATCTTCAAACTGGTGTCTCAACCTTACTGCCAACTTTTCTTGTTCAGGAAAAATTGCCACTTATTTCCCAACCAAGTATTCCAAAGTAAAACTTTCCTCAACTTTAACTGCCTGTACTGGAAAAAAATGTACTACGAGAGTTTGGCAAGTAACCTTGAAAGTTGGCGCATTTAATAAGGATTCCAAAATGGTATAACACTTAGAAGAATACTCGTTAACTTATGCACAATTTTTATTTGAAGAAAAACTGATTAAAATTTTTCAAAATTTCCTAATTACACAGCGATTATGAAAACGCACAAGGACCCTTAAGGATAACTGTTTGCACAACAGTGGGCGTCAAAATGTTGCTGATGATGATGGACTGTTTAATTGCTCTTCAAAACAACATTTGCTTTCCTTAGACTATCTTTGATAGTGTGATTGTGCGGTGCCGCTATGTCCGGGTTCACCGTACAAGAATATGCTAACATGCACCTCATTTATGGGGAATGCAGATGCAACGCCAGTGCTGCAGCGAGACTTTACTGAGAGAGGTACCCGAATGCAGCTCGTCATCCAGATCATCGAGTGTTCACAAATGTGCACCGCTTACTGTTCTAAGAGGGCCAACTACCAAACCAATCACACGGTGAGGGAAGATTTTTCCTTCCTTACGAAGACGTGGTGCTAGGAGCTGTCGAAGAAGACTCGAGTACTTCAGTGCGTGCAATAGAACTAAAAACAGGTGTGCCCAAAAGTACAGCCCATACCACGTACAGCGTGTTCAAGCTCTTCTGCCCCGGGATTATGAGCCTCGAGTTGCTTTTTGTCGCACAATGTTAGAAAGACACAGGGAAGATCCACGGTTCTTTGAAAAAAATTTATGGTCAGATGAGACCACATTTAAGAAAGATAGGTACATGAACCTGCATAACTTACACGAGTGGCACGTAGCAAACCCACATTTGATGAGAGAAGATAAATCTCAATATCGCTTCAAGATAAACCATTGGACAGGAATATTAAATGGTAAAATAATCGGTCCGTTTGAGTTCCCAGAGACTTTGATTGCTGAGGTTTATTTAGGTTTTTTGCAAAATCATTTAGAAAATTTATTGGAGGACGTGCCACTGAGTATTTACAGGGACTTGTGGTTTCAGCATGATGGCTGCCCAGCGCACTATGTACTCTCAGTGAGAGAGTATCTCGATCAAGACTTTCCAGGCAGATGGATAGGGCGGTCTGATACAATACCGTGGCCAGCCCGGTCACCAGATTTGAATCCGTTAGATTTTTTTTACTGGGGAACTGTAAAAGGAAAAGTGTATTTCAAGCAGATTCAAAATGTAGCTGAGCTACGGCAAAGACTATTGGAAGCAGCTGAGTTTGTTAATAACCGTGGATTCGCTCGTTTAATAACCGGATCTTTTTTAAGAAGATGTCGAGTGTGTATTGCGGCTGAAGGAAAACAGTTTGAGCATTTGCTGTAAAGGTAAATCATCATCAGCAGCATTTTGACGCCCACTGTTGTGCAAACAGTTATCCTTAAGGGTCCTTGTGCGTTTTTATAATCGCTGTTTAATTAGGAAATTTTGAGAAAATTTCATCAGTTTTTCTTCAAATAAAAATTGTGCATAAGTTAACGAGTAATCTTCTAAGTGTTATACCATTTTGGAATCCTTATTAAATGCGCCAACTTTTAAGGTTACTTGCCAAACTCTCGTAGTACATTTTTTTCCAGTACAGCCAGTTAAAGTTGAGCAAAGTTTTACTTTGGAATACTTAGTTGGGAAATAAGTGGCAATTTTTCCTGAACGACAAAAGTTCGCAGTAAGGTTGAGACACCAGTTTGAAGATGCATTATTCATCATTACATTGTAAAAATAGAATCCAAAAAAGTTTTTTTGTAGTAACAGGAGGTGACAGACTGCCGTAGGGTGTGAAATTTCTATATTTTTTTCAAATACCTATAATTTTCAAAACACATACATAAAATTTGTTTAAATATTTTTCTGATAGCTGTTATGACTTTGCCTAGCACCCGGTTTCGGCTTGACGTCGACTTCTGGGACACCCTGTATAAGTAAAAACATAAGGCAACAATGTACCCTTAAATCTATTCAAAAAAACAATTCTTATTAAACACTTACGTTTTGCTTAGTAAAATAAAATATGCTCTTAAAAATACCAAAATTCTGTATTTCTCTTAGAATAGAAGAAAAATGATCTTGAAGCTAAACAATGAGCAATTAAGCATTTTAAGTGGTATATCTCAATCTCGGGAAGTTCGGGACTAAAAACCAACCGAGATCCCGGATTGAAGACCCTACAGTCTACTATAAATGTGGAATATTCCCATACAATTCCAGATGTGTATTATTATTTGCTGTTTTTGACAAAAAAAATAATGTTCATGTTCAGTCATCTATACACACTATGATACAATCAGACGAAAAGTATCAAGAATACTCCTTCAAACAGACTGTTAACAAAAGGAAAGTTTGAGCTTAATAAAAGTACTCAGCCAATCTATTTAGATCTATTTTTTATAATAATACCTTTACAGCTTAGGCAAGGCGTCTTACAATCGCAAAATAAGCAAAAAACGAGGCCGAGCTGTAGAAGATCCATTGAAAATGCCACCAATAGTAAATTTCACGTCAGAAACTACGCGGGAGAAAGAATGGGATAATGTAGTAGCCATACACCAAGGGCTTGTCATGGTAACCACTTGGTCGTATGATAAGGTGAAAATGGGTGAACTGAAACTGATACCAGAAAGGTTTCAAAAGAAAAACCTGAAAACCGACCTGGATGTTACTGCTACTTGCCTGTGTTTGACTCATTGCGGGAATTTTGTTGTTGTTGGATACAGCACTGGTCATATTGACAGGTAAAGTATTTTTAATCCTATTTGGGTAGACGAAAAACCAAGGCCCTCGACAAATTTGGATTACCCTATATAAATAAATCGCACGATAGACCGCAAAAACAACGGAATCGTACCTTCTAAATTTCGTAAATGCTACAATTTTAACGTGACCGTGTATCATAGGATTCCATGATTACACTGATCAACAGCCAAAAAATATCCTAAATAAAATCAACAAAATATTACTATTTTTAATGTGCTAAAACCGGAATGTAACTTATTTTTTCAATATTAGTTCAAGTTTTAGAGATACGGTAATTATATGTGTCCCTGCTGTGACAGTGTTAATATACTGTAATTCACAAGAATGCACGTGCTACATTTTTATATTCGGCAAGGAAAGATGATGTAATCGGCATGATTGTGTTACGTTATACATACGTGTACATTATATTGTTTTATATTAGCCATTTTTTCCTCAGTTGGCTGACAGCGTTCATGCAAGATGTCTCGAAAGTGTGTAAACAATCCAGATCAGTTTTGTTAAGTGTGTGGTGATGTGACTTTTGCGTCTCAGAGACGGTCTATTACTCCACTAATAACAAAGGCATATCAGCTTTATTTCGGTTGTAAACTAGGTGATCAAGACAAACAGTGGGCACCCCACATCTGCTGTAATACATGTGCTTCAAGTCTGAGGAGCTGGTTAAATGGCAAAAAACGGTCTATGCGCTTTGCTGTCCCAATGGTTTGGAGAGAGCCTACAAATCATATTAATGATTGTTACTTTTGCATGGTACCTTGTGTTGGACAAGCCACAGGTATGTCCAAGAAAAAAAAATCTGTTATTAACTACCCAAACACCACCTGCGATGAGACCTGTGCCTCACAGTGACGAAAATCCTATTCCAAAACCCCCAGAATCCTACACTTGCGAATCAGAAAACGAATCAGATCATGGCGATCGAGTGATTCGTCAGGAAGAAGATATGCCATCAACGTCAAGAGATCCTGATTTTATACCGAGCACGTTATGCCACCAACCGCACAAAATAACACAGTCAGAATTAAATGATCTTGTAAGAGATTTAGAACTTCCAAAATGTAAGGCAGAGTTACTTGGATCAAGACTGCAGCAGTGGAACTTGTTAGAAGACGATGTTTCGGTATGTGTTTTTCGTAAACGCCACAAAGACTTAGAATCATTTTTCAATATGGAGAATAACTTGGTTTTCTGCAGTAACATTAACGGCTTACTGGCGGCTTTAAATATAAACTATAACCCAGAAGAATGGAGATTGTTTATAGACAGTTCAACATTGAGTTTAAAGGCAGTGTTATTGCATATTGGAAATATTTTACCATCTCTTCCTGTAGGGCATGCAGTTCACATGAAAGAATCATATGACAATATGAAGTACCTATTGACATGCATAAAATACGATGAGCACCAATGGCATATTTGTGGCGATTTGAAAGTTGTTGCACTTTTACTTGGGCTGCAGCTAGGCTACACAAAGTTTTGCTGTTTTTTGTGTGAATGGGACAGTCGGGCAAAGGCACTTCATTACACCAGACAAAACTGGCCTGTTCGTCAATTCCTAGAGCCAGGTCAAAAAAATATACAGCATATGCCATTAGTAGATTCGAATAAAAATTTATTACCACCACTTCATATCAAGTTGGGCCTAATGAAAAACTTTGTCAAGGCATTAGATAGAGATGGGTCAGCTTTTCAATAACTGCGTCAGAAATTTCCAAGACTAAGTGAGGCAAAGGTTAAAGAAGGTATTTTTGTTGGGCTACAGATTCGAAATATTTTGAAAGATACACAGTTTGAAAACACTTTAACAGGTATTGAAAAAACTGCTTGGAATGATTTCCGTCTGGTGGTCACTAATTTCTTGGGAAATAGAAAAGCTGACAACTATAAAACCCTTGTCAAAAATATGCTGTCATCGTATCAAAAGATGGGCTGTAATATGTCTCTTAAGATACATTTCCTACACTCACACCTGGACTTTTTTCCTGACAATTGCGGAGCCGTAAGTGATGAGCACGGCGAACGTTTTCATCAGGATATTTCAACAATGGAAAAAAGGTACCAGGGAAAGTGGAATCCTTCCATGCTTGCAGACTACTGTTGGACTCTTGGTAGAGATGCTCCAGAAACGATCCATAAAAGAACAGCAAAAAGACAGCGCATATAGTGATTCTTATAAGTATATGAATCTTGTTACTTTTTTTAATATATCCTTAAAAATAAAAAGTTTTTTTTTCTAAACCGCAACTAATTTTTTTATTTCATTGTCATTTTTGGATTCAGCGCCCCGAAATTAACAAAGAAGTGCACTTTTCCCACAAGATACAATTAAAAAACTAAAATTTGTTGTCCAGTGCTATTGGCCAAGGCTTGAAAATTGGCGTCGCACAGCGGTTCAAAAGCCCTAGAATATGTCCAAAACTAGAAAGCTCCACCAATCTTCACCAAAAGATTCCACTCACGTTTTCGAGGTCACCGATAACGAATCCAGTGTCAAAAATAAATGTTACGGTTCCAATATGAATATTGTAAAAAAATGTTTGAAATACGCTCAAAATCGAGTTTCGTATATTTTTGAGGTCACGGGTAACGACTTTGATATCGATTTTTTATAAATCAAAATGACGGATCCAATATGGCAGACATGTATGCAAAATATGTTTTGATTGCTCTCAAATTTGAATTTCGTGTTTTAAGGGTCACCGATCATAATTTAGCATCGATTCTCCAGAAATCAAAATGGCGAACATATATGCAAAAAAAATTGTAAGTGTTTGACATTATGTATTTCAGATTCAACATTCAGTCAGGTATATGGAGAGATAGCTATGGCAATCCCAAAGCCCATGGGAATGCTGTTAGAGGGGTAGCTGTAGATAATTTTAATCAGTTAGTTATAAGTGGATCTAGCGATTCTACAGTCAAATTTTGGAGATTTAAGAACAAAGGTAAGTCTCTACTTCATGTGCTTTCATATTTATAAGTATATCCTACTTCATTTTTAAGGAACTGATCCTCTAAGTATTTTGAAAGTAGAAGAGCCGGTAAATTTCTTCAGATCACATGGTGAAAGTAGCTTACTAGCTATAGCTCTAGAAGACTTCTCATTGTTGATTTTGGACATGGAAACTAGAACTGTAGTGAGGAAATTTCTGGGTCATACAGCACAACTTACTGATGCTAGTTTTAGTCCAGACTCAAGATGGCTTGTGACTTCTGCTATGGATTGTACTATCAGGTATGGCTCAGAAAGAAACATAGTTAATAAGGATTTACATTTATACATTCCAATTTGACAGGTTATGGGACGTGCCAACCGGTCACCTAGTTGACGAATTTTCAACTGAGAGAGCGTGTATTTCGTTAGACTTCTCTCCGACTGGAATTGCATTGGCAACAGCGCACGTTGACTGTTTGGGCTTGTACCTCTGGACCAATAAGACGCTATTTACTAAAGTTACACTGAAAGCAATCACTCCTACCGATGAGCCGCCTATGATTGATCTGCCAGAACATCCTGAGTATCAAGATGAAGAGGTATTGTTCAACGTTCCTTGGTTGTCAAATCTACGCCTATTTGTGAAAGTTGAATGCTTTATTCCTTTTTTCTAATTATATTTCTTGATGCAACTAAGGGGGCATTTATATTCTTTATAAAACGATAGATAAACATTCTGGCTATACTCGTATAATGCATATTTTCCAAGGTTATTGGTTTCATTCAAAAACAAATACCCAAAATCCCTATTTGAAAGTTCTTTTACTAAGTGAAATTTCTTATTCTAGGTTGAAGAAGAAATAAAGACAGAAGACGAGTATACTTCTCCAGAACAACTGGATAAAGACATGGTGACAATGTCGGGCTTAGCAGCTTCACGTTGGCAGAACTTATTGAACATTGATATAATAAAAAGGCGGAACAAGCCTAAGGAGCCCCCTAAAGCACCAAAGGCTGCGCCGTTTTTCTTACCAACTGTGCCCACACTTAATCCTGATGTGCAGTTTGATTTGGGTGAGTTTCAGCGATGTTAATGAAAATCAATATTGGGCCCATAACCTGTATTTAGAAGAATCTAAACTAAGCTCTATTCGTAGGTTCAAATGATCAAGATAACTCTGGAAGCAAAATCCTCGCACCTATTAACTTCGTCAACCTAACCGATTTTGGGAAACTGTTAAAAACAACCAAACAAACAAACAATTTTGCCCCAGTGATCGAAAAATTAAAAACCTTAGGTCCTTCAATGATCGATTTTGAAATTAAATGCCTCGCCCCTGAAGGAGGCGGTTCTGTAGAGGTTATGCTGCAGTTTTTGAGATGCATAGAAAGTATGTTGCAATCAAATAAGGATTTTGAAATAGCCGAGTCTTGCTTAGGAGTGTTTTTGAAAGCGAATGGAAGCACTGTAGCGCAAGAAGAGGCACTCAGAAGTTATTTAACCAACATAGCAACTTGCCATGATGTCACGTGGAACAGGTTGCAAGAAAGGCTGATGTATGGAATTTGTGTTGTTCAGAACATGAAGAATTTGTGAAATAAACTATTTTGTAGATACCTATCAGTCCTCAGAATCACCTTTTCTTAAAAAAAATTGGTATTTGTACGGTACGGTCCTCCTACTATTTTAACATGATATTCTCAAGCAGACCCTCAGAAACAGTAAGAGGTATGACAACGATACTCTGCTCCTGCTAACTTGACGTTATACCTCTCGTCTCTTCTGCGAACCTGATACAGAATTTTCAGATACCGGAAATCACGTTATCATACTTTTAAAATAGTCAACATTGATGTTCGCTACCAGGCCATCAGAGACGGAAGGAGGCATTTGAACGGTACTCTGCTCCTTACTGTCTTGACGTGATACCTCTCGTCTGCTCTGCGAACCTGATACAGAATTTTTAGATACTGGAAATCACGTAGCTAATCATACTCTTGAAATAGTCAAAATTGATGTTCGCTACCAGGCAATCAGAAACAGAAGGAGGTATGTGAACGGTGATCAGCTCATGCTACGTGACTTGATACCACTCGTCTGCTCTGCGAACCTGATACAGAATTATTAGATAATGGAAATCACGTAATCATACTTTTGAAATGGTCAAAATTTATGTTCGCTACCAGGCCATCAGAGACAGAAGGTATGTGAATGATACTCAGCCCCTGCTATCTTGACGAGGTACCTCATGTCTGCGCTGCGAACCTGATACATAATTTCCAGATACTGAAAATCTCGTATTCAATCATATTTTTAAAATAGCCCAACATTGATGTTCGCTACCAGTCCATCAGAGACGGAAGGAGGTATGTGAATGGTACTATGATCCTGTTATCTTGACCCGATACCTCTCGTCTGCTCTGCGAACCTGATACAGAATTTTTAGATATTGCAAATCACGTAGTTAATCATAGATTTTAAATAGTCAACATTGATGTTAGCTACCAGGACATGAGAGGCGGAAGGAGGCATGTGAACGGTATCACTTTTACCAAACTGATACGGAATTTTCAGATGCTAGCTAACGATATCTACGAATAGGCGGTCAGTTCAACAGGAACACAATGTGTTGTGCTTCTGCGATATTAACGTGACACATATCGTCGTTTCTGCGATTCTGATGCAAAAGTTTTAGATGTTGAAGATCGCACAGGCGATCCTGGGCACTCTATTTCTGCTTCAATATCTTGATGGGAGTATTCTGAATCGTACTTGCACTGTACTGGGGATGTACTCGATGATGAGAAATAAATCCAACAAAATGCGGGATCGCCATGCGGAAATGGATTTCACTGGCATATCGTTGGAAAGATTTGTACGGTCTTAAGATTATCCGAGTAACCTATCCCTCTGTGGAATGGCATTAAAGCAATGGTCCAATGATGTTACATAAATTTTATTTTAATAAAAAGTAAACTTAATATATTTTATAAAGAAGCTTATATTACATCTGACCAACAATTATATCATTTGTTCTCAGCGTCCAAATAACATAACTGTGACGTACATACTTTTATATATATATGGCTATCAATAACAGAATTATTTAGTTCTCTATCTACACGAAAAACAAAGAACCAAGAGAGTACAAATTTAAAAATCCAACTACTATAAACAAAGATCACAAATCCAGCCACACCATGTCTACTAAGCTCTTTTTCTCTCCGAAGAAAAGACACATACTGAGCGGTGTGTACGCGATTTAAAATTTGCTAAAAAAGTCACAGGTGTAGTTCAATATTATTGATTCTCGTAGCACATTTAATACTTTAAACGGGAAATATTTCAACTATCGTACAGTTTACAAGATATACACAGCAAGGGCAGATCAAATTGCAAGACAAAAAATTGTTTCTACCACCAGCAAATATAAGAACACTGCCGATAGTAAAGAAGTTCTTTGTAAAGTGCTTCCTAAACGATATTTGGGTAGAAATATCTCTATGGCTCTGACAATCAATATTTCTTCATTACGTTAATAATTGTACTAGACAATAGATCCGGCTTGCTCTGTATGAATAAGTGTATATTATGCACCAAAGTTAAATATTACTTTTCATCTATAATTTTCCAGATATATTACAGAACAGGTAAAATATATGCTCAGTGACAGCACATACCAATGACAAATTCATTTCATTACTTATATAGTATGCTATATATTATAGAAAAAAGGGTTTCTTCCAAAAGGACAAATAAGGGAAAAAGGGATGAATCAAATATACAAACCTAATCAAATACAATAACGCTCTAATGCACAGCAAAACCAAGATAATAAATTATAAAATTATCATCACTAGGCGATGCATTTTCAATATCTAAAAGTGGCACCAAGGAATAATATTCATATCTTTAAAGATCAACTCCTTCGATAAACAGCTGCAAAAAGTTCGTTAAAACCAGAATAAAACATCACATGACAGATATTTGTAAAGTGTCAAAACCAAAATACAAGACCAAAAAATCGAAAATTTCTCCTCAGATCCTAGTGTTTTTAAGTGGAATGTCGGCATATATGAAGATTATTCTAAGGCGCTATACTTACATTAATATAGTGACAAGAAGAAAAGATCTGCTGAAATAATAAATAGGTACATATAGGTAAATAATAAATACACAAGCAGCTATATAGTGTGTGAAGGCTTTTTAGCTGATGCTGCAAAGACAAACATTGACGACGAAATGGCTGCTACCTGTTGAAACCTGAAAAAAAAATTCTATATTGAAGTATAACATTAAACACGACATATTTTTATGTTATAAGTACGCTAAATACGTAGCGTTGAAAGAAAGGCGATTGCCCCATTCACAATCACAAAATAAAATAAGTGGTGTGTGTTCAAGCTGAACAAGAATCTGAAGTCAAAATTGGGAGTCGAGATGGTATACCCAAAAATACAAACATTTTCAATTACTTTCATATTTGTCATAAACAAATGCGTTATTAGTAGAAAAACTAAATTCCTTGTTTTTACATTATCTGCAATGAACACAAGTCTGAACATAAGCACTTTTTTGAGGGACAAAAATATGTAGACAAATTCTTTTCAACATTAGTTTTGTACAGTTTCGTGTCAGAAGAGGATTAGTTTGTGTTTATCCAGTATTGTGGAATATGTTCAGTGATTTTAAGACCATGTCGCGTGGTCCAGAAATTTCTTTCAATGTGAAAACTAAGATCATTGAGTTGTACAAAGATGGTCAACATCAAGTCGACATTGCCAAAAATTTGAAGCTGAAGCGTAAAGCAGTTTGGGCAATATTGAACAAATACAAACAAAAAGGTATCTTGGAAGCCACTAAGAGAAGTGGTATGTTTCAGTGAAGAATCCAAGTTCAATATGTTTGGACCAGATGGTGTTAGACGTGCTAGTGGACAAAGATTGAACCCCAAGTACACTTTGGCCACTGTCAAACATGGAGGCGGGTCTGTTATGGTTTGGGGGTGCTTTTCGGGGTTTGGGATGGGACCTTTACATGTAATAGATGGCATTATGGATAAGTTTGTATACACAGACATACTAAAGCATGTCATGTTACCCTATATGGAAGACAATATTCCCTCAAGATCAATCTTCCAGCAAGATAATGACCCGAAGCACACTTCAAATCTCGCAAAGAAATTCTTTCTGGATGAAAAAATACCAGTTCTCAAATGGCCTTCACAGTCTCCCGATATAAACCCCATTGAAAGTCTATGGAAATACTCAGATAAGCAAATATGAGATAAAAATTATTCAAACAAGGATGAACTTTTTGCCGCTTTAGGGCAAAAGTGGAGACAGATTGATGAATCTTATATCAAGAAACTTCTACAATCCATGCCGAGACGATGCCAGGCGGTGATTGATAATAATGGTTATGCTACAAAATATTAACACAGACATGGCTGGTTTTTTATAATTCAATGAACTTTGCTTCTTTTTTCTATAATTGTTTTGCTTTATCTATATATTTTTGTCCTTCATAGTTCCAGTTTTTTTCAAAAAAATTTTTATTGAAGGGAGTCTAATGAATTTATTTATGTATAAGTGAGTATTATGCTATAACGAATTATGTATACAGGTTGGTTTATTAATAAAACAAGTTAAAAAATAAATACAGCACAATATTAATTTATCTATATACTTTTGTCCATTACTGTATATCTTTATGATTCAACTTATGGGAAAATGTTTTATAAAATAATAGGCGTGCAGAATTACCTGTGTTGGAAACATATAAATTGTAAGCATCCAAAATTTAACATCTACTATCCGCTACCCCAACATCAAATTTTCAACCCCTGCAAAAATTATTCTGAAATTGATCAGGAGCCGCCAAATCGTAAAAAAACGGAATTTGAGCGATTTTGATACCCTCATGTTTTTTCCCCTAGCTCCTCCACCACGTAGTATTAACCTTGTGTGAAAATTTCAAAGCATTTCAAGCAGTTCTTTTAAATTTATATACTTTGTTGATGACTCACTTGTGTATATAGCATTATACATGCACCCGCAGTATTGCTAGTAGTACTTTTGCAGATCAGTGTATGTATTAGTAAAGTTGGTGTTTGGGGGGCGGTAGGATGGATTATTGGCAACACTGCTTTCGCACGCCGTCCGTGTTCATGGTGGGTTTCACGTCGATTGGCTCTACGTTCTGGGGCCGGATGGTGTCACCTTCCGGGGGGTCGCGGATCTGTTTCTGCGACACGATTCTGTAGATTTCTGAAATAAAAGGAAAATCATGTAAATCAGCTCATTCTATATATAAAATATGTACTGGAACACCGGGTAAAACAAATTATTAAACTACCTGTGAGTATATTTTGGAAAGCCAGATCAACATTGGTCGAGTCCAAGGCAGATGTTTCAATGAAGCTGAGGCCATTCCTTTCAGCGAATGCTTTCGCTTCCTCTGTTGTGACAGCTCTCAAGTGTCGCAAGTCAGACTTATTGCCTACCAGCATTATCACAATATTCTGGAAGAAATTATATTTATTAGTGATACAGTTTTATTTGTATCACATTGAAAATCTTTAGCTCAACAAATATTGTTTGAAGGTGCAGTTCAATAAGTACCCGTGTTTGACGAAAGAGGGCGTTCCCGACCGAGGGAAGTTAATGTTATCATCGTGTGCTGCCATCTATCAAAGGACGGCACAACACATTTCAGACCGATTGATAGGTTAGTTTGGATTTGGCAGCCATACGAGTAACACGTATTTCGCGATTTTCGCTAAGATGGAAAAAGAGCAGTATCGTTCGGTAATTCGCTTTTGGTTTTTGGATGGAAAAAAATGTGAGAAGATAAAAGCAAAGTTGGATGCTGTTTATGGGGACAGTTCGCCATCTATGACCACAGTTAGATATTGGTAAAACGAATTTAAACGTGGGCGAACATCCGTTTTTGATGAATATTATGAAAAAATTGTCGGCTCGATGGGTGCCGCGATTGCTCACGGTGGCCAACAAGCGGATGCGGTTGTTAACTTCGAAGCACTGTTTGCGAAATACAAAGGAGTTTTTGGGTCGAGTTGTCACTGTCGATGAAACCTGGATTCATCATTACACACCAGAAACTAAGCAACAATCAAAACAATGGATGTCTTCAGGTGAATCTGCTCCAAAGAAGGAGAAGACGGTCCCATCGGCCGGAAAGGTCATGGCGACGATTTTTTGGGATGCGAACAGCGTCATCCTCGTGTATTTTTTAGAAAAACGAAGAACGATCACTGGACAATACGTGAGCTATTGGACCGCTTCGACAAAAACTTGAAGGAGACACGGCCACAATTGACGAAAAAGAAGGTGCTGTTTCACCACGATAATGCACCAGCACATTCACCCGGAGTTGTCGCCGCCAAACTGCATGAATTGCGTTATGAAATGCTGCCGCACCCTCCGTATTCACCCGACCTGGCCCCCTGCGACTTTTTCTTGTTCCCTGACATGAAGAAACGGCTCGCGGGGAAAACATTTAGCTCAAACGAGGAAGTCATCGCCGAGACAGGCATATTTTGGAGGGTTCTACAAATCCTATTTTTTGGGGGGGAGGAACTTTGAGAAAAGTGTATCTTTCGGAAAGGAGATTATGTTGAAAAATAACAAGAAATTTTTTGGAAAAAATGGTGTCTTCATTTCTAACATGGGTACTTATTGAACCGCCCCCGTATATATTGTGCTCAGGCTAAATGATAAACTAAAGGAGATGTTGATACATTAAGGTTTATAAACAAGCAATTTATTTCTGGTAAAATAAAAGATACTTCAAATAGTACATTCTCTGGATCTCTCAGTAAACGATGCATGGATTTTAACTAAATTTACATTTTTTTAGTAGTAGAGTTTAATGTTATGTAATTTCCTAAGCTTCTGACACACTTCAAATCAATAAATATGTAGAGTTAAGAATTTTTCAAATACTCAGTTGCTAATTATTGCTTGCTAACAACTGAATCTATACATAGGTTCTCTCAATCAACCTCTATGTTTTGGATATTTTAAAGCTTTCCATTCACATAAAATTTAGCAGACTAGCTAGGTGCAAGTGAATGTGACAATTTATGTTGCTGATGTTTATGAACTGCGTCAAATAATTTTTCAGGATTTTTTAAATTTGTAGAATTTGCAAAACACAATTGTATCCATAACAGTAAACTGATTTCTTTTGTAAAAATTATATAATTCGTATTACCTGATCAGCATGATCCCTCAGTTCTCTCAGCCAACGTTCAACATTTTCATAGGTGAGATGTTTGGCAATGTCATAGACAAGGAGAGCTCCTACAGCGCCCCTATAATAAGCTGCAGTTATAGCACGATATCTTTCTTGACCAGCTGTATCCCATATTTGGGCCTTTATTGTCTTACCATCTACCTACAAAACAAGAAAAGAAACATGAACAAATGATGTTTACAAAAAATTTAAATAATATTGATGTACCGATTGTTGTTCCATTTTCAAAACTAGACCAAACTACTCGACTGCATTCACATTTGCACTTGTGGCACACACAAGATGCACACCACTCATACACATTTAATGCCTAGACAACAACTTTTATCCAATTGACACCCCAAATGCATGTAATTTGCCCATTTTGCATTTTTTCAAATACTCAAATGCCTATATTTCAAATTGATCAATATTGCTTGAAGGTAATTTTCAAATAAAGAGGAAAAATGTTTTTTGAAATAGTGGACCTCTCTTATGTGATCCAAAAGTCATTTTGAAATGCCTTAGGTGAGTAATTATTTACAGAGCAAAATATTTAATTCATAAAGAAGTCCTACTGCCAGACTAATCTTAACTTGATCTGCGCAATATGAAAAAAAAATCAATTTTTCTGAAACATAATGAATTGGAAAAACCTCAAAAAAGCTGCAAAACTGAGTGATTCAAGAAAAATCTAGGCTGAATCATGGAAATATCTAGTCATTCAAATTTCAAAGCCATTGCTAGATTAACCACATATATCCTCAAAATGTCTGTCACTCAACAATCCGCGATAAATGTAAGTGCAGCCCAGTTTGTGAGTACTATGCATATTTATGTTGGTATTAATGCAAGGAGCATTTATTATCATTATTATTAGAAACTTATATATAATTTTTTTAATGCTATTGTAATCCACAAGCTCTTTCTTCAGCAGAAAAAGCTGAATGAATCCATCAATGCTCAGCTCTGCTAGATGCCATGTAATGCCATCAGTATGTAAATAAAAGTATATATTACTGCCCATTTGTCAGTACTATCAATAATTCTGAATCCTAACCTATATTGATTTTATAAACATTGCATTTGTAGCTTTTTATATTTGACTGGTACTTCTAGAATATTGGGCAATAAAAGACAAGACTTAAGATTCCTTATGCCACATAAGTAAGCCATAGGTTATAATATTAGAGTGTAAATACCAAAAAGCAAATACCCAAGTGATACTGTTTGTAACTCAATCTGGGGTCAATAACCAGTTATTTATATACACATGGTATTAACACTCCATCCATAATTTTGTTTGCCTAAAATCAACAAGGATGACAAACATTTTGTTAAAAAAAAAATGCCTTTTTGGCATCAATTTACATCTGTCAATTGCTCCACCAGCGGCATTAGCACAAATTGCTGATGGCATAACAAATAGATCTATCATTGATGGGCTTCTATGCTTATCAGTGGACACTTTGCTGAATAAATGAAAGTGCTCCATGTAACAGAAAAAAATTAAAGGACAAAGACATTGAGCATATAAAACAGTTTCATAGACTAAAAATAGTTTCATAGAAATTTGATATTCAGTAGGTGTTGTAAAAACAGTTAAGTATAACAGAACATCATGACATGCATAGTGAAAAGTATGTCAAGCATCACTACTCATTATAATCTGCAAGTAAATCGATTTTGTAAAGCAAAAATGTGTTCTAATTACAGCATATTTGTGATAGTTGATAATACACAAGTAAACTATTATGAATCCTTTGTTCATAAAATGTCAAACATTCCAAAATAAATCAACATTCTCTTATGTTGTTTTTAATTACCTATTGTTACAAACATTTCAATTATACATATCTGAGTCACATGCAAAGTGCTTCACACATCATACTTTTTATCAGGAAAACAGTGAGATATGAGATCATAAAAACATACCTGTATACTTCTTGTGGCAAATTCGACACCTATGGTAGATTTGGATTCTAAATTAAATTCATTCCTAGTGAATCTGGACAGCAAGTTACTTTTTCCTACACCTGAGTCTCCTATCAGGACAACTATAACATAAATAGTGGTAGAGTTCCTTTGTGATCATGTCACATATTCGTTCAATAAACATATCTATAAGCAATCGGATTCGAACCATTGAAGAAAACTGAGATTATGCACGATTCTTTATTGATCTGGGAAAAATTCCTTGAGGAAATTGTTTGAATTGGCTTTCTCTGACGTAGTTATTAAAATCTTGACCTCTGACTTGCTGACATGTCATTTTAAATTAGGGAGATGGAGCATCTGTAACAAGAGGTGAAAGATACCACTTACCTTTGAATAAATAATCGTATTCATCGTCTTTGGTACTCATCTTCACCTAATAGCTGCTCTTCTGGCTTTTCTCTTTATACACAAATGTTACGGGGTAAACGACAGAGAAGGTAGATTATTATTATTATTATTACTGCATATCACAAAAAAAGGAAATATTCACTACGCCGATTCACGGAGTATATCACAGACACATTCCGGCCGTAACACTTTTGAAAACTGGCAAGATCGCCCTTGTAAATCCGGATGCGAATTTTTATTTTATTTCGAATTTCAACAAAATGGCGTCAAGATAATTTTTGTTGACGATTTGATTTTACGCCCCTGACAAGGAAAAACGTCAAAGTGACTGCGCATGCGAAAAAGTGTCAACAGCAGGTGATTGGTGAAATAAAAAAATCCCTAGCTAGAGAATCTAGTGGTTTCTAACACAGTTTCCTGCCTCAATGAATGTATCAGTTATACTTTTCCCCACTAGATGTCGCAAATTAGAGCTGGCATCTGTTGATAAGTAAGCGAACATTAATATAAATCTTGCAGTATCCTGTTTTGACGTAAACTGTGTTTTAAAATCTACTCGCTAGATGTCGCCATAAACGCCAATGGTGCTGCTATCTATTCCATTAAAATTTAATCAATAATAACGTTTACAGCTTTCTGTCTCATTACGAGGTATGTCTTTTAAAAAATATATTCCTCATATTGGTGTAAGTTGGGGTTGCAGGGGATGGGACAGGGTGTTATCACAATTTTTTTTAATCTAAGAAATCATTTTTTTAGTGCTGTACAATGAAATAAATTGACTAAATCGTCACTGACACTTTATTTTTGCTTTTAAATGAAAGTAGGTATATACAGTAGCATTGAAATGCATACTTTTGTATAATAAAAACTATATTACATATGCCTTACTGAGTTGTGGCGTGATCTTTTGACAACTTATCACGTGATAAAACAAATCACAAAACATTAAGATGGCGGCAGTTTATGTGTAATCAGTGAAATCTTCCATCTGTCTTTTCCATCTAAATCCTGAGTCCTCAGTTGGGTACATGCTTTCTTCATTCTTCTGTTCCTGCAGGACTTTATTACGCACATTTTTTATTTTCCGAAGCCTCTCTAGCCAATTAGATGCATAAGGGTTTGGATCGCTGTGTCTGTTGTTCTTTATGGAATTTCCCACCAATGAGGCTAACTGCAAAAATATATCTAGTTACGAAATTAAAATAAAAAAGCATATATAACGGCGTTCCAAGGGTGCAAACAGTCATTCCACGTTTGCTCAGTAGGATCGTTGTGAGCGTCCATCTATGGAGGAATAGCTCAACTACACGCATTGTTGGTTGCATATATTTTGTGAAGCCGAGTAGTCTGTAGTTTTCAACTCTGAGAAGAAAATTGGTTGAATAGCAAGATCGCATCTGGATGACTGTGTTTTGGTCTGCGAAAGTATAAATCAGTATATTTTATATATATTATATATTTTTTTGTGTGTGAGAAAGTCATTACTGAATATGCTGCCAATAAAGTATGCCTATTAGCTGTGCCGGAAGGGTAATTTATATGTTGTCCTTTCTGAAGAAAGGTTATGTTCAAAGTTATAAATTACGATTTTTTACGTTTTTTCGTATTTTCCAAGAATTACGGGAAATCACCATCGCGCTTGCGTTGTGTGCAATTACTGTACACATGTACATGGCTTGTAATTCGACAGTGTATAGTGAATATAATTATTTCGTATCTCTCTCATTTTTGAAATTCAGCAAACTTGCATATGTAATTTCCAGAATGGATAAAAAAAGTGGATGCGCAACTAATTTCAAGCTTTGAATCTCAAGTAAGTGTATTTGAGACAAGAATCCAATGGAATTATCATAACGTTAATTATCAGCACGCAAATCCTCACTATGCACCTATGCATTGCCGTTACCTCCAGTAACGCCATCTCTGAAGCAGATTCACATCACATCAGAGCCAATCATTGGCAACACGTACAACTAAAACACGTGTTCACAACGTGACCATCAGCTAGTGCTAAGTTAATATCTTGTAGAAAAACCTACATAATGTCACAAAAAAAAATATGAAGTAAAAAATCGACATAACGTCACTTTTCAAGATACATAATGCCCGTGCGGACCTGAGACTATTAGAAAAGTGTGCATATGGCGAATCTGTCAAAGCACAGTGTTGCCAGATGGGTTGGACAACATTTCCCCAGAACAACAAAATTCCTGAGTTGCTACTTTTCAAAAAAAAAACTTCGAAATCACAGTTAATTAATGGAAAGGGGTTTGATTCAAAGAGGGAAGCTTTATATCCGAGAAACGTGGTTCATATCATTAGTAACTTTTAGAATTCGCGAATACTCACGTTTGCATGTAGGGCCAACTGTCTGGCCATGATGGCAACGTTTGATCTGACACCAATTTCGGTTCACTCATGGGAATAATATCAGATAATTCTTCTTTAATCTTCACTGTCACCCTATTTATTCCATACTCCAATGGTTGGACTATGACGCAAGCAAAAGTAAATTGGCCCTAAAAAAACAAAACAAAAGTCCTGCAATATCAATAAGCCTTATTCCGGTCCTATAAGGAACTATACCATTATTTAGATTCAGAAGTATTAATTTGGTACTAGTGGCAATATTGAATTTGAAGACATTCTACAGTAGCATATAGGTATTAAAGCTACTGAAACCTATCCTGAAGTTTTCCTGCTAAAAGGCCTTAGATCTAGGTGGGTTTTCAAGTTTTCAGAAGAAAAAAGAAATGGAATGTCATCTAGAAGACAAAACAAATATATTGTACTTGAAAAAGACAACAGCGGTAGTCGAAACGTGGTTCAATCAACTGAAAGATATACCTACACTACTCAAAAAAAATTACGGAACAAGAAAAAAAACAATTTTTCGGTGATTTTGATCCGATCAACGGCTCTCCTGCAATTCAAACAGACAGCGCAAGAAACATTTTTTGCAAAATTTTTGCGTTCTTCTTTTCAATCTACGGGCTTGAAAACTTTTTTGTTAGCCCATCATACAGATCAGATAGCCTGTTTATTCAACTGCAATATCCTGTTTTTAAAATTCCGATTATTTGGCTCGGAGATATCTAACTTTGAATGACCACTATTTCGGTAACTAGTGATCGCACAGAGGATGTAAGGGTATTTCCGAAAAATGTCCTACAGGATTTGATTGCAATCTTTGTGGATTTTTTTGCCTTCGTCCGTAGCCTAAAAAGGAGGCCAAATTTTGCAAAAAAAAATATTCACAATCTGTTAAAATTGCATGAAACATTCTACGATACGACCATTTTTCACCGAAATACAGCCTTTCAAAAAGCACAAAAAATGTTTTTTATTCTTGCTCCCTTATTTTTTTTGAGTTGTGCATGAGGCTGTGATTAGGCCAGATTATGGAGTGCTATTTCTACTAAACATTCTTAGATTAGAGGAAACACTAACAACTATATCACCTAAAATAAATAATCAGCTACCATTTGGTATCACGTTGTGACGCATGTATTGGACAATAGTATATAGTGTATGTTGTACCTTAATAGTGCTTATGTTGAATTCTTCCCCACTTTCATTGTACACAATCGTCACATAGTCGTTAGCGATGTGCATCCTTTTATCATTGCAATTTGGATCGGAGTCTTTGTTCGGCATCAACGTCGCCACGTGGAACATCACCTTGATAACGTCATCTTGCCATACGTACGCGAATTTCCCATCGTTGCCATGTTGGTCGAGGCCTCCAAGGAAAAATACCTGAAACATTTTCTCTAAATATACAAATCTCTGATAATATGTGAACATTCTCTTGATATATGATGTGCCAAATTCCTACAGAAAAAATCCTAGGTAGCGTTGTCGCAGTGTATCTAGTACACGTCAAGACAACTTACGACGATGAGGGGTTCGCGTGTCCTTCTTATCATGAAGAACATATCAACAGCTCACTTTGTTTGTCTAGCAGTAGTAGTAGTTAGTAGTAGAAAGATTTATTTAGCACATTTGGCTACATAAACAGAATAATTGTAAACAACTTAGAACTAGTAAATTCAAGCCATATGGTGTATGATGTAAATGCTGGGCAACCTATAATTGTAGATTTAACAAGTGATATCTCAATTTTACTTTAAATTTTGTCAAAGTTTTCTGGTCTTTTATCTCTGAGTATAATTTATTATATTCAATCAACCCTTGATGGAATACAGATTTGTAGCATATGTTATACTTTTTGGTCATTAAATGGAAGTCATCTTTATTTCTGGTATTATGTAAATGATGGTCGACATTTGATGATGTTAAATTAGTTAGACTTGATGGAAATATATTATTTTTTACTTTATAAATGAATATCATTACAAGATATTTGATAAAAATTTTTACATTGAGCCATTTTAATTTGCTAAGCATTTGCCTAATTGGAGTATATTTATTTAGTATTATTCTCATGCACTTATTTTATAAAATTTGCAGTCTTTCAAAAATGGAATTATTTGCTAAATATAGAATAGTCGAACAGTACAAGAAATTTGGATGAATGATGGTATTACAGATAATTTTTCTGCTATATGAACTCAGACATCCAGAAATTCTCGATAAATATCCCACTTTACTACTAATCTTATTTATAACTTTTTCATAATGAATATCAAAAATTAATCGAGAGTCAACAAAAACCCCCAGGTATTTAAAATTTTCTACGAATTCAATATCTTCACCATCAATATTCAGTTGAACATTTGTACATTGTTTTTTTTCCGATTAACAAGGCTTTCGTTTTACTTGCATTTAATTTTAGTCTGTTAGATGCTAACCATTTTGAGACAAGCTTCAAGTTTTCATTTATATAAGAGATACCAGACTGAATATTTTTAGTACTTAAATAAGTCATAGTGTCATCGGCGAAAATCTGAATTTCGCATTTTTTGACTATGGCAGGTAAATCATTTATGTATAAAATAAAAAGAAGTGGTCCCAGGATACTGCCCTGTGGAACACCCAACGTATTTTCAATTTTTGATGAAATAGTGTCATTAACTTTTGTAACTTTCATCCTTTTAGACAAATAATTTCTAAACCAATCTAAAACACTTCCTGTTATACCATATGCCTTTAATTTACCTAACAAAATATCTCTATCAATCGTTTCAAATGCCCTCTTCAAATCCAAAAATACTGCTATGACAACTTCTTCTGAGTCTATGGCTCTTCTCCAATTCTCAGTTACCATCTGGAAAGCTGTTTCTGTGGAATATTTTTTTCGAAAGCCTGCTTGCGCCTCCACTAAAATTTTGTTTTCTTCTATAAACTGCATTAATTGGTCATGCACTATGGACTCTAATAATTTTTCAATGTCTGGTAAAAGTTCATTCGTCCGTCGCTAGAATGTTTTTAAAAAATCCGGATTTTCAATGTTTTTGTGCAAAAACCACTGACAGAATGTTAGACTGCGGGGATAGTCTTCTGGTAACAAGGCCTGCACTCGTTGCACATGGTATATAAAACAAATTTTCCCGTAGAATTCTATGGATTATGGTATGCGATAGTCCTACGCGGCGGCCTAATTCCCGAGTGCTGATATCTGCATTGATTTCCACGATATTTAAAACTTGTTCCTCCTGCTCTACAGTAACCTGTCTTTCACGAGTGCGAATATTATATCTGACGAGCTTCACCGTAAACCAACAACATGTCGGCGTAATGGATACTCATGAAAAAGATAATAATCATCGGTGTATTTGACTTGGGTGCCGATTATCAAGATAACATCTCCTTAATTGCTTCCGAATTTTATATGGAGAATTTCCTGACCTGAAACTATCAATGTCACCCGCAAACGCTACGACTTTGACTGGCCCCGATTCAGGATGTACCAGAATATGTATTTTACTTAAGGTTCGCGCGGAAAATAGTTTGTTAATGACCTGAAATAATTTATATAATCATTTATTTCTATAAAAAACAAACCTGAGGGTCTAAATCTTCCAGCTTGACCAGAAAGCCCAAATTCTGAAGGAAATCAACATATCTCATGGATCCAATTTTATTTCTATAGATTTCAACCTCGTTGTGTGTTTGTCCCTCTTTCACGTAAATTACGCCAATCTTGTGCGTTTCGTATGGCGGAATTGAATCCAAAACCTGAAGGAATAATCGAATTGAATCAAATAAAATATGCGAGAAGCAAAAATCCTAGAACTCACCCACATCGCTCGTTGGACAGAATCTTGACTTTGCACAACTATGGGTCTTTCCTGTCGACTGCCAAAATATGCGGCATGGTATAACTGCAAAAACACGAAACTCGGATTTATTCCGCTTTTTGGAACATCCTTAGTCCTGTAAAAAAGAAACATTTTTATTTAGTGGTGATTAATTGCCAATATTCTCGCATCTGGATGTCTTGTTAAAACCCTATACAGGGTGTCCGCAGAGTTGGGGTTTTCCTTTTCAGAAACAACTACCCTTGAAATAACAAAGGTAATGTGTAGTGAAACGAGGGCGACCAAGTAAAAAAAAATAAAGGAAAAAGTACTCACTCTCCAGTTGACGAGAAGGGCTAAGTACGTCTCTGCCCGAAATCGTACCGCTCCAACAGAAAACCACATTGATTGTCTTACACTTAATGGCACATCTTCTAACAAGGAAGGCAAAATGTTGCGTGAAAAGTCTAGGTATTGCATCCCGTCCAATCGATTTGGGAGAATAAATGGTCCAATGAGCATACCGTTCACCATGCCAGCCCAAACGTTCACCGAAACTGTTTGTTGAAAATGTGCCCGACGGACAGCGTGCGGATTTTCTACTGACCAAACATGAGTGTTGCGAAAGTTACTCACCCCATTACGCGTGAACGTAGATTCGTCTGTCACCAATATGCACTTCAAAAAGTCCGGATTATTGTCATGTTGATGCAACAACCACTCACAAAATCGCACTCTTGCTGGAAAATCGTCAGGTTGAAGGGCTTGTACACGTTGGACGTGAAACGCATACAGACCCTCTTCACGCAGCGTTTGCCACACTTTAGTTTTTGATACTTGCACTTCTCTAGCCACGTCTCTAGTGCTTGTTGAGGGATACTCGTCTACGTAATTACCTGTACACGCGTGATCGTAACCGTCGGTTGAAGGTTGCATACTGACCTGACACACTGACCCCGACCCAGTTCTGTCGTCGGGTTGAGTCAGTGACCTTGTACCAGTTGGTGATGTCGCGGCTACAGGACGGTATTCAGATATTTTTGATGTTGCAGAGCCCTTTATCTCGGTTCCCTTAAGACATTGGTATATATGGTACTAAGTAAAATTGCTTATGTTTTCAAGATCTACACGTCGTGTAAAGGAAAACCCCAACTTTGCGGACACCCTATATATGTAGAGAGAGGAATATTTGTGACATGTGACTGATAGATATTGTTCGTAAATTAATGTTTTTCCCGTTTTCTTTTCGGATTGCTCGTCCAGAAGGAGGACTTATGTTGCAAGCAGTTTTTCTAATCGATAATAGTTTTTAATCAACCTTGATTTTACTTTCATGTTATATCGATATTTTGTTAATTTTAACGTTTTCACTATTTTATATAAAATATTATATTTGTTTAATAATATGAGTAAAACCCAAGTGTTAAGTCACTGTTTGTTTATTTTGCAAATAAATTAATTCTTTGTGGTATGGCCAGACAAAGAAAATAAACATTTTCGAAAGCTTGACATGTCTATTGCCTATGCCATTTACAGCATTCTCCAGAATTTTTGCATTATATCTTAACAAGTCAGTCAATACTACCCTTCTATTCTGTCTACACATCTGGGATTTTACCAATACATCCAATAACAATATATAACGTTGTTCTAGCCAATCAAAATAATCTAAAAATCTTCCTTCTAACCTGTAGGTGAGTCAGCAAAAACAAACCTCCTCCTATTTTTGTATAGTAGGAGAGCATTTTTACTTTTTCTTTTAAATAAAATGCAATAAAACAACCTTCATGTAAGATTTTAACAATTTGTTTTAATTGTCAGTCCCATCTAAATATATCGCGTGTGTTGTGTAATCATAAATCTTCTTTTTCCACCCAAATGGATGAAAATCTCATTTTTTTGAACGATCCTCGTATTTACCTGGTGGCTTGTCTATAATAATCAGCTCTAGTTTTTCTGGTTGCAGGACTCATCACAGAAATCGTATGTACCCTGTCTCTTTTCTGTGTCTGTCCAGCATCTAGAGTCGTCAGTCTTTCCACGCTACCGCTGTTCTTCCTTTCCTTTGCCAATTCGCGCGCATAACTCAAACTGGCACCTGACGGATTTTTCTCTATGACTGAGGATGAAGAGCTTTTTTGGATCTCGTGACCTACACGAAATAATCATACGTCAATACACACGTATTTTCTGTCATTCCTCTGAAAGGAAAACGGGTAATTTAAAATGATTTTTGTCTCATGGTCAACAATCATTTGTGTTTAATAATGCCACAGATTAACGCCAAAAACTCAAAATAATATAAAAAGCCGAGATAAGAAGCAATTTTTTTAAATACAGAACCAAACAGTTGATATATAATGGGTGATTTTTTTGCTAGTATCTTTTTGGCAACACTGTTTTTGACAGATGACGCGTGAATCGTGTCTTGTGTCATTGTCAAACTTGTTCAGTTTGGTGTATAATTTAACCATGAATCGACTTACGAACGAACAACGCTTGCAAATTATTGAATTTTACTATCAAAATTTATGCTCGGTTAAGAGAGTGCATCGAGCACTGCTTCCAATTTATGGGCAACTGAGGGAGCTATTCGGAAGCTTGTGACTAAATTTCGAACACAGTTTACATTATTGGACATTAAATCACCAACACGCAGACGTAGAGTGAGGACTGAAGAAAATATTGCGGCTGTATCCGCCAGTGTTAGTGATGACCGTGAAATGTCGATTCGCCGCCGTTCGCAGCAATTGGGCCTCTGTTACTCCACTACGTGGAAAATTTTGCGACAGGATTTGGGTGTAAAACCTTATAAGATATAGCTGGTGCAAGAATTGAAGCCACACGACCTCCCACAACGTTTCCCATCTGGTGAATGGGCGCTGCCAAAGTTGGAGGAAGATCCACATTTTTATCGAAAAATTGTCTTCAGCGACGAAGCTCATTTCTGGTTGAATGGGTACGTTAACAAGCAAAATTGCCGCATCTGGAGTGAAGACCAGCCAGAAGCATTGCAAGAGCTACCAATGCATCCCGAAAAAAACACTGTTTGGTGTGGATTATGGGCCGGTGGCATCATCGGGCCGTACTTCTTCAAAGACGACAATGGCCGGAACGTAACTGTGAATGGCGAGCGCTACCGTGCGATGATAACAAACTTTTTTTTTGCCCAAAATGGAAGAGCTGGACTTGGCTGACATGTGGTTTCAACAAGACGGTGCCACAAGCCGCACCGCACACGAAACAATGGGCCTATTGAGAGGCGAGTTCGGTGAACAGTTTATCTCACGTTTGGGGCCCGTTAATTGGCCGCCTAGATCGTGTGATTTAACGCCGTTGAACTATTTCTTGTGGGGCCATGTTAAGGCTAATGTCTACAGGGATAAACCAGCAACGATTGACGCACTGGAAGCCAATATTGAAGCATTTATTCGTGAGATACCGGCCGATATGTTGGAGTGTGCCAAAATTGGACCTTGCGCATGGGCCATCTAAAGCGGAGCCGCGGCCAACATTTACATGAAATAATCTTTAAACATTAAATTATATCGACCGTTCTATCGGCTCAAATAAAGATTTAATCGTTTTTTCAAATTTTTTGTGTTTTGTTGAAATCAAATCCTATACCTCTTAAAAAAATCACCCGTTACAATGATGGAATTCCGGCGTCCACAGTTAGCCCCAATCACCGATAAAAGAACCAACGCGTTGTTATGTATGTACGCTATCAAACCTTTCATAGAAAAAAACTTCAACCAAATGAATCATAAATACTATTTAAACAATTTATACGAACTGATAGAACCTCATTAAAATATAGTGATGGTCATTTTTCATCAAACCTTTCGCACTAATATCTTGCCGACGAGAATTTTTTGCATATCATGCCTTCGACGGCCCGAAGAGAAGCAGCATTTACGTTTAGCGCGAGATAAAAAACAATGCAAAAATCGCCCTTTCAACTTCTACAACCTAAATCTATTTACCTTCCTTCTCCCTCCTCCCGACAGGTCTAGGCGACAGTTGCGTGGGGCTCTGCGGCGGCTTCCCCCCACCACTACCACTCCCTCCCGGCGTCAGTCCAACCAGATTGGCGGGTCGTCTAGCGACGAACTCGGGCGGCTGCTGTGATTGGCTGCTCATAGACACGCTAGGAGTGGGCGGTACCGAATGCGGCATTTTGGGGGCGGACGTTGAAGCCTGTTGAGCGGAGGAGCCGGGGTAGCTGTAGCAGCTTAGTAGGGATGGATGGTGTGGCGACGCGGGGGGCTGTTGCTGTTCTTGCTGTGGCATGGTACCTCCTGGAGGGAGGAATGGGTGACTTGATGGGGGGGTAGTACCTGGAAAAGAATGAGATGTTTATAATCTAGTCAAACTAGCAATGAGTCAACAGGAATGAGGGTCCATAACGAGGTATTTCGGTTCTGAAAATATTTCAAAATTCAAGTTGATCGCATTTAGACATTTCACAAGATATGTATTTTCGGCTTTTGTCAACCTTTTTCTTTTATTTTGGTGTTTGATCAAAAATATTATATTTTTGTTCAAAATTCGCCAATTTCCGAAATATACTATTAAAAAAATTAAACAAATATGGTTGTACTGGAACTTCACTCAATTGGTTTAAAACATTCAAATCGTAGATTCCCAATTGTAAAATTATCAAGACAATTTCAGATAAATTAAATATAAATGCAGGTCAGTATTAGGTCTGATCCTATTCTTAGTCTGTATCACAGATTTATTAAACTTAAGCATAAGTGGTAAGTTCGTAGTTTTTGACGGCGATACCACAATAGTTTGGCAAGAAAAAGATATAAATTAAGAGAAAAATTAATAGTGATATATAATCAATCAAAAAATGGTTTGACAACAATTACGTGACTTTCGATTTAATAAGACAAAATTTATAACATTTAAAAGCTCCCTTGATTTTATAATTTTAAATAAAGAAAAGATACACAAAAACTTGTGGACATAGGCCTTTATAGACCACTCCATTTTTTATGATTATATTCTAACCTGATCCGGCAATCTCTTCAGGTATGGCCTCACAGCTGACCCGCATATCCTTCGAGTACATCTTGCCCGCTTTCTTCCCACCGTCCTCATCCAAGCATTTGCTCTCCTCACTCTCCCCAGAGGAAGACGAACTGCCTTTCTGGTGCAAAAATGGATTCTTCCAACTGGCAGACATCTCGGGACTGGAATTTGAGCGACGAACCGGATTTCTGGAGCGACCTGATCCGTCGTCGTATTGACAGTCAGATTCGTCTTCCACGGAATCACGCGAATTCTGACGGGAAGGAGTTTGCCGAGGAGAACCTGTGGCGAAAGAAAGAAACATTGACAGTTCGCTTCACAAGTGACTCCTTGCTGCTGTCGACCGAAAAACTAGTTATACTGCTAAAATGACCTTGAAGTTCATGATCAGGTGCGCCATCTATTACTTTTTTTTACCTATAAGTTTATGTGTTAACATGTGAGTCAAAAGTGGTATGCATAAATGAACTGTCAAAGGTATGCCATTTATAGTCATGGATTCGTGTACAACACAACAATGCATTTTGGTTATCCAAACTTATTACGAAAACGGTCGACAGAGCCTGGAATTCCTTGGATTGTTAATTGTTTTGAAGAAACTGGTTCAGTTGAAGGTCGTAGACCATACCAACATCTCGTCCAGCTCGTACTCGTGAAACATAGCCGCAGTGAGTGAAAGTGTGCGAAAAGATCCAACCACCTAGGCTAGGCACCGTTCGCAACAATTGGGAATTAGTGAGACCACTTTACGTCGTATTTTACACATTGATTTACACCTCCATCCATACAAATCCAACTAACACAAGAATTGAAGCCGGCAGACCATCAACAGCGGCGTGTTTTTGTTAAATGGTTGCTGGAAAGAGAAGACGTATGTTCGGCCAAAGTGCTCTTTTCTGACGAGGTTCATTTTCACCTCAATGGGTACGTAAATAAGCAAAATTGCAGATTCTGGGGGGCTAAAAATCCACACCAATATCATGAACAACCTCTCCACCCTGAAAAAGTGACTGTTTGGTGCGGATTATGGGCTGATGGCATCGTTGTACCATTCTTCTTTGAAGATACCGAAGAAAAGGCTATTACGGTCAACGGGGAACGTTATCGCGGCATGTTAACAGACTTTTTGCGGCCAGAATTGGATCGTATTGGTGCCGACGAGCTTTGGTTTCATCAAGATGGAGCAACGGCTCACACATCTCGCCAAACAATCGCCTTATCGCACACGAAATTTCAAGACCGCATAATTTCACGAAATTCAGATGTCAGTTGGCCGCCGAGATCGTGCGATTTAACACCGCTTGACTATTTTCTTTGGGGATTTTTGAAAGAAAAAGTGTATGCGAATGGTCCCCGGACAATTCAAGACCTAAAGCGCAATATTCGAACTGAAATTGCGGCCATAGACCCGATTATTCTGGGAAAAGTCGTTGAAAATTTTGATGTTCGGATGTTGGCCTGTAAACGAACCCGCGGTGGTCACACGTCTGATGTTATTTTTCATACATAAATGGCATAAACCAACCTTCATTTATCAATAAAAAAATTCGATTCCACCTCGTAAAAAGCGTGTTGATTTTTCAAATAGAAAAACAAGTAATAGATGACGCACCCTGTACTTGAGCTAGAAATTGTCCGCAATTTGCATTTCACAAATTAAAAATAAATAAATAATTCCGCCGAAACCCGTTTTTTTACCTGGTATATCGCTACTGTTCGTTTCTGATGCTGCTACACTTGCTCTTTCATCTTCAGGATTAGGCTGATCTTCTGACGGCTGCCGCCTGAGCGGCGGTCTCGTTGCCACTTCTCCTTTGTCGTCTATGATCAAAGATGACATGAACAATGTCGACAGTTCCCTTAATGGAAATTCATAGACCGAATTCGTCAAGCTGGTCGGATTTTGGATTCTCATCACCCAGGACATGTTCCCTGGAAACAATGATGTACGTTATTGCGGAAAGAAAGATTGTGTCAATAAGAACGCAAAATACGTAACGTAATGATTCTAACCACATTTAGTGACAAACGGGTCAGTAAAATTGTAACAGTAACCATGTTCAGAATACGTTTCTTTGGGCTGCTAAAACCGAAACTCGTGTTTGCTCTGACGCGGTGTAAATGTTATGTGAATCAGGTTTAAGCCTGTTTTAAACAGTAGTGGTTACATGCAGATTTTATTTTTTGTTCTATACTTTATTTTTGTACCTGTGGGCCTTCGCACGTGTATCTCTGCCCAACCGGAACACCAACAAGAACATAATTCCCTTTCTTCCGGCATTCTCTCCATAATCTTTTTCATTTTAGCTGCTATAGGTTCATCCTTTTCAGTTTTGTCTTCCACGGGCGAGTTTCCCTATAAAAAAGTAAAATCCCCTAGCTCAAAAGGTCACTATTGAATGTCAACCGACGGGTCACAATACCACATGCAATTCCCAAAGACTTTGATATTTCAACTGATTTATGTCAAGTCAGTCAAACAGGACCATACAATTAGTATGCATACAACGTCACATATCCGCGTCACCTAACCCGGTCCGACGTGACAGCGCGGCCACAGCAAAGGAAACACTATGCTGTAGCGCCACAGTAATACGTGTAATACCAGAACTCTTACCAAGGCTGACGGCACGCCGCCGGTAACAGATGCAGGCGCGGGAAATAGGTAAGCGATCGTCTGCGACTGGATACTGTCAGCAAAAGAAGCATGGATTATATTAGAATTTTTTTTTCACCTCCCCTCTAGAGTCGATTAGGGCGTTTTGACGTCGGTGCAGTTTTTCGAGTTTTTTCCGGGTTGCCGTTACGTTCAAGTAGAAAGCAATACCGTTTCTGAAACTGGAAACTCGGCGCTTTACGAGCGAACACGAACCGTCGAGGTACGAGGACGAAAAACGATCGAAAAGGGCGGTTAAAGTCGAAAAAATGTAGTTTTTCGCGTAGAACTAATACCTTGGAAACATACATTTTCCCGTTTGTCAGAATATCGTCTCGAGATCAGTCTCAATCGATAGCTAAATGATGAGCGGGTCCCACAGCGTAGCCCCTTTTTTGATTCGCATCTTATTTTTTTTCTGGAAATTTTAAAAGAAAAAACGAGCAAAATGGTAAATTTTCGTTAAAACGCCGATATCTCCTCTATGCCAAATAAAAATTGCTCAGCGCATTTTGTACATCTCGAAGATTACTATAAATTACCTAGAGATAGTTTTTCCGTTTAGGACACCCGTTTCTGATACAAAAATTTCAAATGTTGGAAGATTTGCTTTTTTTCAGGATCTATCTACTCCCAAGACATCGGAGATCCAGACCTAGCGATTTTTGCATATGAAAGCCCACACTTCGGACTCCAATTTAAAGGTTTTTTTATCTCTTTACTCGTCTGTATATTATGAAACTGTGATACATCCTCGTGTAGCAATACGAACAAAAAAATAATACAGAAATTTTATAATGCTACTATTACATTTAGACACAAGCACTTTGAGACTCACAGGCTTTCCCTGTTAAACAAATAGGTTAAGAAATTAGTATACTAGCTACTCATTCTCAAAAAAATTGAACCAGTCCCACTAGGAAATAAATGTTTGTCATTGAAAAATAACTTTGCTATACAAAAAAAGAGTAACATTTCGACGAAAACATAAAATTCATTGCACTCCTTTATAGATGGAGCCTGATGGTGAAATTAATAGATATACTCCAAAAAGAAAATCTTACTACTAGATCAGACGCCAACACCCTGAGACAGACTGTTCCCGCCAATCCGTCGTGCTAGAAAGACGTATAACTTACTTTTGAGTCGAAGGATAGTAATTCTAGTAAGGCTTCCGAAAGAACTTGGTTATGAAATTTTCGAGCCTATTGGAAAATAAACGTTAAATTTATGAAAACTCCATGAGATAAATTTTTGATTTGGATCTTACTACGCGAGAATTTAGTCGCTATATTCAATACCCTAAGGCAGACTGATGCAACTCCTACAATTGGAGGCCTCTCCAACTCGACCACTGCTGGTGCGCTCCGGTGCTGAGGCCAGCGCCACCTCGACCGCACAGCCGTCGCGACAGAGAGAAACATATTAGCCGACTGTTTCTCGGGCGCGGGCCATTTATTAATAGGACAAGACAAAGTGGACATGTTTTTTAGTGTCTTAACGTGCATCTTTTTTTAAACGATGTCATTCAATCCTGCATGGAAGAAGCCTATTTTTTGTAAATACTGATGGAAAAGCAAAATGTTTAATTTGTCACACGGTATTGAGGCCAGCCCTTCTGAGTTCTGAAGAGGTAATTATTAATTTGGTCGTAGTTTTTGAAAATCGCAAAAAGTGGGAGACCTTACTGACGGTGCACTTGTCAAAGAATGCTTAGCGGTGTGTGCAGAAATATGGTGCCCATCTTCTGTAAGCAACTTTGAGACAATTAGTATGTCCGAGCAAACAATTCATCGTCGGATACTTGAACTTGGTGCAGATCTAAACGAACAACTGCGGGAAAATGCGCCCATTTTGTGCAGTATTCTATAGCTCTCGATGAAAGTATAGACATTTTTGACACAGCATAATTAGCTGTTTTCGTTAGAGGTATCGAAATAGTCTTTACTATCACCGACGAACTACTAGACGTTATCCCGCTCAAAGATACAATGGTCGGAGAAGATATTTTTGATGCTGTAAAATGCACAAAGAATGACATGGGTATACTACTCAAAAGTTTGCGTAGTGGTGTTACTGATGGAGCGCCAGCAATGTTATCGGAAGCATAAGGTCTTACTGGGCGAATGAACATAAAAGTACGCGACGCTGGGCTACCTCCGATATCATCGGTACACTGCATATCACATCAGGAACAACTATGTGCAAAAACCTTCCGTAATTTCAAATCTATTATGGATGTAGTAATAACATGTGTCAATTTCTGCAGAAAGCAATGTCTCAACCACGGCAGTTTGAAGTATTTTTAAAAGACCTGGAGGCAGCTTACGGTGACATACCCTTTTATTGTGTTACGCGCTAGTTAAGCTGCGCAAAAGTGCTAAAGATTTTTTTTGAAATCATTGACGACGTAGAGATGTTTATGCAAATGAGATTTTTACGACGCCATCTTCAGTGCTTTCCGAAACAGAACTGCCGTAGTTCCAAATGGAGCTTCAATGCGATACGATCCATAAGGATAGATACTACCACTACAATAGTGATTTAATTTCGTTTTATCAAGGTGTTAAGCAGCAAGATTTTCCCGAAATTCCTGCACTAGCCTTGGAAACTTGCTCCATGTTCGGTACAACGTACTTCTGCGAGCAGATGTTTTCTTTAATGAATTTGAACAAAACTGAAAACAGGTCTTTGTCTGAGGCGATACTCAGAATTTCCACTGCTCAAGCCACTGTACCAAATATTAGAAAACTTGTTGAATCGAAACGCTGTCCAAGATCATCTTAAGAATAAATGTGTTTACGTCGAAATTATGAACATTATTTTATCACCCGCGCGTTGACTCGATCAGACCAATTCAAATGTCAATACGAATGTCACTCCACTCATTTTCTGTTGGGGACTGCGAACCGGTGAAATTAAGCCTTATCGCGGATTCGACTAAACTTAGTAAAAATATGTAGTTTTTAAGTAAATGAACAAAAAGGGCATGGTATGCCGATGAAAGTACCTGTCATATCGACTTGAGGATACAACGTGACGGTAGGATTTTACCATAACCTATACGTATATCAACGGTCATGGCGTTTCATATTCATTTTACATATACTTTCAAGCATCTAGAAGCCTGGTGTCAAACTGACAGACTCAAATGAGCTTTTAAATGCAAGCATGAAGGATACAAACAGGATGTATTATTTTTATCTATTTGCATTGCCTGCTATAGCTTTGAGTCGGTACGACAGAAACTTCTGTCGGAAATCAGTTTGTCCTACCATGTTTTTCCAAATGAGCCTAAAATTTCCATTAAACCTTGTAGGCTTCATTGGATTCGGTGAGGACGGTGAAATTCTCTTGTCACGCTGTATCTTTAAGTCGGTATGACAGGTACTTCTGGCAGGATGAGCTCTTCTTGTTCATTTACTTAAAAACTACATATTACTACTAAATTTAGTCGAATCCGCGATGAAGGTATACTCAATGCCACCAGCGCCCGGGTCATTTCTATTCACGATGCGTATGCCGCTGCCTAATCCCTCCCCCACCTTCACGGAGTCACCCCGCAGCACTGTGATGCGAGCGGTGCTCGGCGCTGCGCTGGTGGCACCTGAGTTGGAGAGGCCTGAATTAATGCGAGGAATAGTAAAGACTTCTATACTCGTATACCACCCTATAGAACTCAAATTATGTGTAAGTCCCCAAATATGAATGGCCCAAAAATGTGTAACCTACTGTCTCTGGAAATAAAGAATTGCCCCAATTTAGAGACATTTAAGAATCTCTTAAAATACGATTTAATTGAAATAGCTTTTATAGTGTAGAAGTATCTTGTGATATATACTGTTTTTTGTTATAGTTTTTTTGATTCAAGTTGAAATTGTATGACTATTCCTTTAAAATGTTTTTGTCGAAAGGAAATAAATAAATCGCTTCTAAAAAGCGCTCCACATACAGTGAAAATATTATTACATACACACATACTAGCTACAAGTTTCTTGTAAAATTGATAAACATGCAATAAGGCATGCTTTACTGAGTAATAGCATCTGCAATCAATAAGATTTGGTATCATAAAATTATCGTTTATGCTGTCGAGTATTACACGTTTCGTGGAGATGGGTAAGTTTTAAAAACGATAACACTGATGTATCAGCAATAAAGATAATACAGTGAAAATATTATTACATACACACATACTAGCTACAATTTTCTTGTAAAATTGATAAACCCCCATTTCAGTTCGCAATTAGGCATGCTTTACTAAGTAATAGCATCTGCAATCAATAACATTTGGTATCATGAAATTATCGTAAGACGATTCCCTTTTTCAGCTGTCGAGTATTACATGCATCGTGGAGATGGGTAAGGTTTAAAAACGATGTATCAGCAATAAAGATACTGTTTACCGTTTCGTTCAATATTTTGGTGGTTGGGACCATCAGTCTGAGGGTGTTGAATATAGCGACAAGAATTTTACGTGATAAAATCTGATTACAAAAAATCCAAATTTTTACCCAGTTTCAGAATATGTACAATATCCGAAGTAATGAACTTCTTCAGCATGCTTTACTTACTGACTGACTCGATTTTTCATTCGACCCCTGCCGTGAGCCCCAACTAGTCCCTTCATCATCATTGCTACCGCCTCTAGTCTGACCTTCCCCACTTTTGCAGACAATCCAGCATTTGTCACAAACCCCGTTCTTCAGAATCTTCTGTGAACAACCACTGGTAGTCACTGTGACCAACTTGTTTCCTACCAACCAGCACATGCTCTGACCGCCTTTCAGGAGAAATTCAGCTACTGGTAACCTGAGAGAAAGATAATGATTTTTCTTACTTTTACCACACTCTTGCACCGAGTTCCTCAAGGATCTGTACTTGGGCAATTGTTATTCTTGTTACACATCAATGACATACAAAAATGCCTCAATAACAGTACCACACTTGAGTATGAGGTTCCTCAAGAATCCGTACTTGGACCGCTGATATTTTCAGCTTCTTATAAAACCTAGACAATGAATCATCAGCATGCAGAGGGGACATTCAAAACTGGTTTGTTGTTAACGGGCTGACCTTGAATGAAAACAAAACTCAGACAATGAGACTATTTCTCTACGGAATTTTGACGCAAATCATGACAACGCAAAAACAGTAAAGTTTATGTGGGTGTACACTGACTCTTCTTTGAATTGGGATGAGCATGTAACCCATGTTACAAAATCTTTGACAGAAGCTATTTATCTGATACGTAATCTGAGGTTCAGTGTTCAGTTATCAACTATACTTCCATAGTAGAATGACTTACGCGACTCTGGCATGGGGTCATCCTCCACACATGCGTAGAGTGTTTGCTTACAGAGATGTGTTAGATACATGTCAATTTTGGGGTACAGGGATCCTTGCAGGAATGAATTCATTAAATTGAGTATCACGACATTGCCTTCTGTATACATCTATGCTTGCCTCCTGCATGTTGAAACTCAGTCTCATAATAGGAAGTATTTCTCTTATTTTAATTAAAATCGAGGGATTTTGTGATTAAAAAACAGTCAAAGAAATTTGGGTGCAAAATATTAATATTTACGTCGACGGAAATCATTTCAAAATCAAGGATCGAGCGAACCTTCCTATTATAAAACCCATCAAGATACTCATAATTACAACACCAGTAACAAAGAATATTTGTGTCCAAATCTTCATCGCTTTTCCAAAACTAGAAATGGTGTTAACTACCACGGATAAAAATTCTTCAACCTATTGCCAAATAATATAAAATCTCAAAATGTTGAACAATTCGGCGGAACCATGAAATGCTTACTACTATCTGAAACTTTTTTTGACGACGTCGAAGGCTTCTTAAACTTTAATTTTGCATTCTGACATTTTTTATTGTATTCAGTCTATTTTATAACCATCTCTATTTATTGTTCATCTAAGATCCCAGGATTTTGAAGATTCTCAAGACTCACCGGATTATCAAAATTCATACCTTCTTGGTAGAGCAGTACAAGGCGAAAAAGCGTATCTAGCCATGAGATCAATGCAAGTTTCCGTCAGTTCCTCATAGAAAGTAGTTGTGAGAGATTTTTCAGAAGCTGGCCTGTGTAATGGTTTATCCAGTCTAACAGGCTGTTGGATGCGTTTTCTAGAGCTCTGTTCCGTAAGGCTGGAACTGCGCTTGCGGTCACTACTGTCTTGGTTCAGTTCGCTCAATGATTGGTTAAAGATTGTTTTATTATCCTCGAATGGTACTAGGACGTTTGTTTGGAGTCCCTAAAAAGAAGTATATATTAATACTGCTGAACTCTTCACGTTTTTTTGCGAAATTGATTCCAGTAAATCATCGCCAGTACTTACTTGAGTGATGAATTTGACAAAATCTTTTCTAAATGGTACCCTACACTTAAGGAACCATACAGCTATGACATGATGTGCCAAAGATACGGTGTAATGGTCATATCTGAAAGGATTTGTGTATGGTAAAGATATGGCAAACACAGCCATATACTGGTCGGCAACAAAGCTGGCGTAAACCGTAGGCAACTGAGTTAGAGCTAAAACACAAAAGTAGACAATAGTATCTAGGGGTTGAAAGAACAGTGGGTTACGATTTTCATTCTCAAGACTTTCAATCTCTATCTATCAAGATTATCAAAAACCCCAACATTCTGTTGAAACTCGAGAATCTCAATGGTTTCAAGATTAGCAGTGAGTAATAATCAAAACGACGAAACTGATGAAGATGATTATAAATTTCAAAAAGTAAATTTCATCGAAATCATAACAGCTTTTTCAAGTCAAGAACAAGCGGATAAATAGACAGACCGAGTGACACATGAGTGACATGGATCTTCATGATATACATATGTCATATAACATCAAAAAAAACATACGAGCCCCTTCCCACTTCAGTTGGCCCAACTATTGAAATCTTAGTTTTTTCTTATCAAACACAAATAATAAAAATGTAGCAGGGTGTTATAGGTTTAAAATGTTAATAATGAATATTTTGATAATATATAGTGGAAAACACCAACTTTATCACTCCCCAATCAAATTTGCAGCATAAAAATAACACATGTTCCAATTACAGCATATCAACCTATTTTCATTTCAATGCAAAATAAGTCTATAACGCATAGGTGGCTGTAAAAAATAAAAGCCATGACAATTGTTTTTATTAATCACAGCTGTCAGAATACGTTTAAAATAGTTTTGGGTAGTTAAGGTTTTCAAAATGGGTAGAGGAAAGGTTATTAGTGATAAAATTCGGTTACTGATAATTAAATTTTTTAATTCTGGGACATCAAACTCAGAAATTGCAACTTTGTTAGACTTATCGCGGTACAGAGTGAGAAATATTGTTAGAAGATATAAAGTAACTGGTTCGGTGCCGACCGAAGAGCATTAAGAAGAATAATCGTGAAAAACAGGCGTGCCAATTATTTACAATAAAGTGTTCTGTAGAGTGACGCTGTTGGAAGGAGAATTTCGAGGTCCACAACTCATAGAGAGGCCCACAAACTGGGATTTAGCACTTGCAAGGTAAGTTTTCTTATAAAAAAAGTGAAGTAAAAACCCAAAAGTTGCACAACTTGTTTATAGGCCAAAGAAAAGCCACTATTAACTCCACTGCAAAAGAAAAATTGGCTAAGATGGGCTAAAAAACATAGACAATGGACACCTCAACAATGGTGTGCAATACAATAGAGTGATGAGGCCCGATTCGAAGTTTGTGTTGGTGACAGTCGCAGCAGAGTTATTCGCAAAACAAAATGAAGCATTCCATGTTGACTATCTGAAGAGAGAAGTGAAATTTCCAGCATCCATTATGGTCTGGGGCAGTATGTCATCAAAAGGAGTAGGAAAACTTCATTTTATTGATGGAAATGTGGATACAAACAAATATTTGGCAATTTTAGAAGAAACGCTTTTACCAGTGATGGAAGAATGTTTGACATCCGGCCAAGATTTTGTGTTTTAGCGAGATGGTGCAGCGTGCCATACCTCAAAAAACGCTATAAAATGGATGGAAGAAAATAATGTACCACTTTTGAAATGGGTTTCTAGCAGTCCAGATCTGTCACCTATTGAAACTTTGTGGAGCGAGATGAAAAAGGTTCTACGACAACATCCTGCTCGTACAATCACCGAACTGAGACAAAAGCTTCAAGAAATATGGGATTGTTTTACACCAAATTGTTGCCAAAACTTGGTTAACACTATACCCCAAAGAATTTCAGCAGTAATAAAAAATAAAGGTGATGTTACCCAATGGTAATCTTTCAATTGTTGCTTTGTTAACTTCGCGCATTTATTCGCACATTGTTTATTTGTTCAGATGTTCTATTGGTTATAGGTCTAAGTGATTTCAAATATGTATTTTTTACGACTAGAGTGTATCTAAAATATTTTTGAGAAAATAAATTGTTTTAGAAGTAAATAGTTTCGTCATGTTTAGTTTATAAAGGCATATTTTGGTACAAATCTTGAAATGGGCCAACTGAAGTGGGAAGGGGCTCGTAGTACATCAAAAATGCTCGCGATTACAATACGCCAGTAGACCTGAGAAGCAACAAACAGAACCCTGACTTCATAAACCGAAAAAAACATATTTGAAGAAACCTCAAAAGTCAAAATCCATCAAACCGTTTGGAATATAACCCGTGAAAATGAATTACTCTTGTCAACATGTATACATACACCCGCCCGAAAACCATAACCCACTTTCTGAGGCAAACTGGAGACAAAACAAAACATTTTTACTCTACTTACTAGAAAGAAACTCCAATACTGGAATAGCAATATGCACAGTAGCCGATATCTTGGACAAACTGAGCAACACCTCGGGCAGCATCTTCACCATAACCTCTCGCATCTCCAAAGTGCACACTGTAAGTGCAGCGATGCAGTGTCTTGAACTGCGCGGCCCCGCTGAGTTGGTGCCCTTCACCAAACAGCGGATCATCTTTTGTTGATGTACGTGGTCCATGTAGCTGTGGTACGAGGCGAGATTCACTAGGACCAGGAGAACCAAGGCGTGGAAGTCTGGTTTGCTGACGCGTACGTTCAGAGAATCAGGGAGGTTCAAAGATTTGTCGGTTATCTAGAAGAACGATAATAGTTTTAGAGTTTGCTGACACTCTATAAACTGAATTTCGGGGATAGGTAGTAATGACGTTCTATCTTTGACAGATCCGTGATTGAGAAAGTAGCGGTCTGTCAAAGCTATGGGACTATGGCACTGTTTAAATATTTTAATTAGAAACTGATAGCAAATCTTAGTTATCGCAAGTAGGCGCCGGAAATGCTACGGTACGCAAAGGAATGAGCGCAACTACCTTGCAGTCACAAGAAACAGAGATAGAACAGAGTAAGGTTAATTAATTTTACATGAAATAAGTGTGTAAAGGCTCAAGATTAAAATTTATTACAGGGCCCAGTCGGATTTAGTATCGCGTACAGTTTTTGGGCTTGTTGTTAAAATCAGTTTGCCGACAGTTTGGGAATTGAATGTCAGAGTTAGGCAGTAATGGAGTTTAATCTCTCTCAGAAGATGAAGGTATCAAAGTAAGGTCTATCTATGGAGGTTTGAATAAATGTCGATAGGATCAGTTTTTGAAGTTAAAAGAGACGAAGAGGTAGCTTGTTCATCCAAAATATGGTAGCAATTATGGCTGTTTTACCTAACTGCAACTCAAAAACGATTTACAAAATCTGCCACTTCAATATTTATATCAGCATCAGTTGTAGGGAAATGGTACATTTGCTAATTGGGTATTATACAGGGTGTTTAGAAAGATGGGACTTTCCTATTGAGAGTCAACTACGTTTGCAATACCAAAGCTAATTTGCTGCAAAACAACACCGAAAGCGTAAGAAAGAAATTGAAGAAAAACGCTCAATATTCATTTGATTACATGTTTTGTTCATAAACACTGCTTGAAGTGGTCGCTGTTCGATTCAAAAACACAAGTTTGTTGCCCCTTCCTAAATTTACAACATTTGTTATCTAGATTTCACCTGTGTTCAGGATATGAACAAGCATATGCAACTTTGATGGAAAGAAACATCGAGGACGCCGGAGGCGTTTTAAGTACACTCGCGAAGTATCAATAGGATGTTGAAGATGAGAATATATGATCGATAACTAGTTATTGCTCTAGGAATGTGTCAATTTCGGTTTTTCAAATGCGGTTTGTTTATAAACTGGGTTAACCTAGATACCACGCGACGCCTTTTTTTTATACTCCAACTACCACAAAGGCCTAAACACCCATTGGGTACTGTGGGGCTATAGGGGGATACAGGAGAAAGGGGAAACGCCACACGGACTCTGGCGAGCGAACACGTGTGCATGCAACATGCACACATTCTGGCTCCGCCTACGAGATCCGCCGGGTGGTACCTCCGCGTTCGACAGTCAGAGACCGTCTACCACCTACGGACAATCACAACATCCACAGCCAAGAGAAAAATTTCTCTTGGAACGGGATTTGAACCCGCACAGCACACGGCGACTGAAGAGTCTACTACTGCGGCCACCGCTGCTGCCTGGTCTGTATACTGACTCGCATAGTCTTAGTACATAATTCGTTTTGACATAGGAAGGGATTGTGCGGGGAGAGGGTTGAAGGGTCGACCTGATTCGTTTATTGCTTTTTGGAACCCAATATCTCGGTTATCTTAAAGCTTTGGTATATAAATATGTTACCAAAAAACAAATTGTCTAAGCCAATACGCTCTGGAAAGGAATGTCCCAAATTTTGAGGACACTATGTATAGTACAATCTTATTATGATAAGGTTATAGTCAGACCTTTAGGAGCTAATTTTTTAGTGACTGTCAAAAGCATAGAATTGGTATAAGAAACTGTTTTTGACAATAAACACAAAGGATCGGAACAAAACTTGACAAATATTACAGGGATCTAGTGGGGAATTATGATTCGATTAAAGAAATAAAACTTAATTGTCACAGATCATTTTTAAGATAGTATCTCTTCTCTTTAACTGTCCGATAATCCCCAGACCGCTCTGGCAGTTACCAAGTGTACTCGAAATTATTGTCAATCATTTAAATTACTTACCATCGAGCACAGGACGTTCACTAGTAGATCCAGCTCGGTGTTTGCTGTTTTTGCCAGTATCAATGATCGATTCTGCAAGACTCTGGTCAGCTCTCTCAGAACTAGACTCAGAACTTCCCAATCTATGAAGGAAATATTTACAATCGGTATGGGTCCATTCACCTAATTTTATTTACATGTTAATTACATTACTCATTTGAAGTAAAACGATACGGTATGCTATGTTTATGTTTTGAACGATAATTTTTCGAAAAATGGCGTTAAGTGGGTTAAATCTGCACTTCACACGCAACGCCGTCAACAGGCACAAGCTAGCTCCTCTGAGGAAAAAGTTAGCTATGAATATATATAACAAAAAAGTAAATAGGTCAAGTCAGTCAAACAAACGTTGCGTCAAAAATTTCTCCCATACCCTGCCGACAGAACCAGCCACTTGGCAACGTTGCTATAGCTAAACATACACGTCAGCAGTCAGCCCCAACACAGGTATGTTTCCTTATCTTGGTTGCATGCGACGCGTGTATTGTAAATATGTCTCTGTATCATTTCAGTTAGTTTTCAGTGCAAGTTGTATGACTTTCTTGCCCTTGTTAAATATTTATATTATTTCATAGATAGCAAATAAATATTTAATCCCCCATATTCGCCTAGCCGAATCAAACCACATATGATTAAAATTCCTCTTTATTGTATGACGTTTCGGTCCCAATGGTGACCTTTTTCAAGTACAACTAACACTTCTGACAATATCATTCTACTAGGTGACACTCCGTTTGTTTTTTGTCTAACTAATGGACCATGAGTTTTTCATCCAGATTTTTTTTATAGTAACTTCGCCATCCCAAGAACAAACTGTTGTGTCTTATATTATTTCCCCACAAGACCTTTTAGATGTCCGAGTACCGTTGTGTTACAACAACAGTTCTGGGTGGGCTTTCTCGTTTTCGGAGGAGTTTTGGCGTTTTTGGGACGATGGACTAGGGTGACGTATGTGGTACATTCAAAATCGAGAATCCCTACCGAGCCTGGGATTTGCTGGTTTTGCGCGGTGCACCTCTGGAAGACAGATAAACAAAATATATTGCCAGAAGTGTCAATTGTGGTCGAAACGTTGTAAAATAAAGAGAAATTTGGAACATATAAGGTTTGATTCGGTCAGCATGAAAGCCACAGGATGAGTTTCGGATGTTACGTTAAAACAATATCGATACTAGGTTGTATACCTTTTTCCTGTTTAAGACATGTAATGACAATCTTGAATGCATTCCTCAAGGAAACGTGTGTGATGATACAGGGTGGTATTTGATGAATGGCAGTAGGCGATTGTGACGTAGGGGGAGGTGATCCTAGAGACTCCGTTCTGTTCCCAGCGCGATACATCACACACAGGTAGGCGCTGAACTTCATCTTGTTGTCCACTGCGCAGCCCAAACGGCAATATTTATCTGCACGCATCCTTAAGAAGCAGTCGAAAATCTGTAAATGAAGATGTATGTAATATCAAGGCTGCACAACCCCGTGCCCGAGAGTTTTTAATGACCCCGCAAGCAAAATTCCAATCATACAATAACACAAAAAGTTTGTCAAATTTAGAAAAACGATAAGAGTAGTGAACAAAAAACGCAAAATTTTAACGGCAGTGGTCGAGAATATCAAAAAATATGTGTAATAACATTATTTTTTCATCTTTTACTATTTATTTTATTATGCACTTTTAATTTTTAATTTTAACGAATGTACCATGTATCCAGCTTTCACCAGGCTACTAAATGTTTCCCTCAACCTAACCGTCAATAACATTTAGCAACAATCTCACATACTAATGTAAGTAATTTAAAATCATTTTGCACAATAGTTGCTATTTCTTTTCAATGTTATTGCAGCTCCTGATGAAGATGGCAAAGTCCATTGAACGCTAGAGATTAATAAAGTATAAAGAGTTCTTATTGCTTTAATTTTGTCGAAGTACCCAACTAAAGGCGGAAGCTTTATTTTTCACTTATAAATACCGCAAAGTTGGGGTTGTCCTTTTCAGAAACAACTACCCTTGAATTAACAAAGGTAATGTGTAGTGAAACGAGGGCGACCAAGTAAAAAAAAAATAAAGGAAAAAATACTCACTCTCCAGTTGACGAGAAGGGCTAAGTACGTCTCTGCCCGAAATCATACCGCTCCAACAGAAAATGAAATCAGCTGATGCGCTACCGAGCAGACGCAGGCGGTGGTGCAGACCACGAACAGAGGTAACAAATGTGACGGCGTTGCCGCGTTTTCAGTTTTTAGGTAAACGTACTTTATAGGAATTGTTCGAAGTTATCGCCGTTTGATTCAAAAACACAGGTGCGTGCACGACGTAGCCAAGCATCGGTGCAGGCCTTGAGAATGGAGTCCCCCGAATGAAAGCACCAGCTTGTTCAATTCTGAGACGAAGTTCGTCAACCGTATGCACTTCAGTTTTGTACACTAAGCGTTTCATTTCTCCCCAAAGAAAAAAATCACATGGTGTTAAGTCTGGAGATCGCGGAGGCCACGCTACGGGTCCATTACGTCCGATCCGCCTATTCGGAAATAATTCATTCAAAAACTCACGCACTTCGCGTCTAAAATGGGGCGGTGCGCCATCGTGCAGAAACCACATTGATTGTCTTACACTTAATGGCACATCTTCTAACAAGGGAGGAAAAATGTTGCGTAAAAAGTCTAGGTATTGCATCCCGTCCAATCGATTTGGGAGAATAAATGGTCCAATGAGCATACCGTTCACCATGCCAGCCCAAACATTCACCGAAAATGTTTGTTGAAAATGTGCCCGACGGACAGCGTGCGGATTTTCTACTGACCAAACATGAGTGTTGCAAAAGTTATTCACCCCATTACGCGTGAACGTAGATTCGTCTGTTACCAATATGCACTTCAAAAAGTCCGGATTATTGTCATGTTGCTGCAACAACCACTCACAAAACCGCACTCTTGCTGGAAAATCGTCAGGTTGAAGGGCTTGTACACGTTGGACGTGAAACGGATACAGCCCCTCTTCATGCAGCGTTTGCCACACTTTAGTTTTTGATACTTGCACTACTCTAGCCACGTCTCTAGTGCTTGTTGAGGGATTCTCGTCTACGCGATTCAGTAATTCTTCCTCAACTTGCACCATTCGTGGTTGTCTAGGCCTCCCACTGTACCCACCCCAAAATTCCTCCAAATGGCCCGTATCCCTGACTCTCTGGACCAGGTACACAAATCTGCGGGGCCTTGGATGATGTCGTCTAGAGAAACGATCTGCATACACTCGCGAAGCCTCTGTAGCATTTTGAAGACATTCGCCATAAATTAACAACATATCAACGAGTTCATTATTGGTGTATGAGTGTGCCATTATTATTTTTTTTTAAACGCAATCGATTATACGGGTTCGTTTACCTCTACACGCGAGACCGTAACCGTCGGTTGAAGGTTGCATACTGACCTGACACACTGACCCCGTCCCAGTTCTGTCGTCGGGTTGAGCCAGTGACCTTGTACCACTCGGGTGATGTCGCAGGTCGCGGCTACAGGACGGTATTCAGATATTTTTAATGTTGCAGAGCCCTTTATCTCGGTTCCCTTAAGACATTGGTGTATATGGTACTAAGAAAAATTGCTTATGTTTTCAAGATCTACACGTCGTGTAAAGGAAAACCCCAACTTTGCGGACACCCTGTTTATATATACAAGGTGACTTTGAAGTTGAGTCATTAATTTTCAGATAATGATTGTAGAAGGAAGATAAACCAAAATATGTGTGTAAAAATAAAAAAAAAATGTTACCTTGTTTTATAAAGTATCCTCCCGAGAAGTATTTCAGTGCGGACCTGTATTTGATCGTGCGGTCTTGGAGCTCCGGCATATTCCCTCCCCTGTGAGGTCTTAAGTCACGAGCCCTTTGTACTACATTAACAAAGGCACGAGGGGTTGGTTGCACTCGATCTACTCACTGTTAAAATAAATGACTCAACTTCGAAGTCATTGTTCTGGTAAAATTAAAGTAACAAAGTTATAGCCCTTTGGAAGTTTGAGTACCGCCCTGTCTCAATAATAATATTATGTGCTCGTGTTTGGCAACAACGGATATAATCCGCCTTATCGGTTCATCGCATCGGAAACAAAAAAGCGAAAGAATTTGGAACGATGTTTTTACAATTATTTTATTCAGTTGTATACAGTCAGTGTCAGTCGGTAATGCGTGAGTGAATAGTGGTGTCTGTTGCGTGGCTCAAACGAAATAAAAAATGGCACATGTTTACGAAAATGCTGAACTTGTGGACATGGTTCTTATTTACGCGGCATCACGGATTTATGCGGATCGGTTTCCCAATCGAGTGCAACCAACCCCTCGTGCCTTTGTTAATGTAGTACAAAGGGCTCGTAAATCAGGTGACTTAAGACCTCAGGGCATGCCGGTTCTCCAAGACCGCACGATCAAATACAGGTCCGCACTGAAATACTTGTCGGGAGGATACTTTATAAAACAAGGTAACATTTTTTTTTTTTATTTTTTTTTTATTTTTACACACATATTTTGGTTTATCTTCCTACTACAATCATTATCTGAAAATTAATGACTCAACTTCAAAGTCACCCTGTATATATATATATATATATATATATATTATGAAAAATGATATACTTCGAAAACTAAGGTGTCAATTTCATTTAAACTTTGCAAAGACGTCCGTCAATACACTTTTCTAGAACTTGCTTTAAAATAAATCTTACCTTTTTTCTTACTTCAGGACAGTTCTCGAATAATTTCGGTCTTTTGTAATGTTGTTCCAAAAAGCAAACCAACATTTTGTAAATTTTAATAGCATGAGAAGATGGCAGTTTGAAGATTTTGTGAGTGAACACTTTAATCAAACCACTGACCACACAGTTGATATCATACACATCACCCTCTTTGAGAGCAATGTTTTCAGACGGGGCTTCAAAAGGTCTATAGAGGAGCTAGAATAGAAGTATGTAAATAGACAACCAACAACAATTTGTAATATTAAAAAAAATATATACAAAATATACCTTTTCCAAAATTTCTAACAGCTCTAAGCACCGCTTAGTTTCACATTCCATGCAAAAGTCTATAATAAGATTAGCTACAGAAGCTCTGATAACAATGTCATTGACTTGGACAATATTAGTCATATGTGGTAAGACTATTCTATCAATCAATTCATCCTCATAAACTCTCCTAGAATAAAAATGATGAATATTAAGAAACTATGGCACTTCTTCAATGAAATATAACTACCTATTCAGTTTGATAACCTCCGACAATATGTCCAAAACCTTCAGTCTGATGTTAGACCTACTTTCAAGTTTGAAGTATTTTTGTAGCATATTGTGCAACTTGGTTAACCAAAGATGTTCTGTAGGAACAATGCTATGGGACAAATATACGAGCAACCTTACGACAGAATTTTCCGGTCTGTCTGCTGCGCACAACTCTAATACCTCAAAAAACTGCTTTGGGTTGCCGTTGAAGTCTCCCTTGTCTATCAGACGTTCAATATTGTTCAGTGTTTCGTGCAGGGGGGCCGCTATAAGTTTGTTTGGTTGATTGGTTGATGAAATGTCTAGAAGATAACGTGATTTAGGAGAAGTTCAGATATGCTGCACATAAAAATTAATGCCTCACTACTTTAAAGCCTGTCTGAAACTTTCGTGACAACAGTGCTACTGGTTTCAAATAAGAGACACAAAAAGCAAGCTGCATATTCATAGATAGTATGAAGAACGAGCGAGTTCAAATTTGTACTGAAGGCAGATCACATGTTTCCCTGTCTCCCCATCCAATCCCGGCGCCTCCAGTGTTGCCAGATCGAATGCTACGTTGCCAGTCTCATCACTTGATTTACAGACCTCGTATGGGACCACATGTGTGTAAATTCTTGAAGCTTTTTATCACTCAAAACTGAGAACACATATCCACGCATTGGATCCCCCAGGCAGAGATATTGCAACAAGATTTTGTTCTTTTTTAGTCTAGATAATGGAATATATGTTTCTTACAAAACATTCATATACAGGCTGCGTCATATATTACTTTTTTTCCTATTTGAAAAATCAACATGCCTTTTACGAGGTGAAATCGAATTTTTTTATTGATAAATGAAGGTTTGTTTATGCCATTTATGTATGAAAAATAACATCAGTCATGTGACCATCGCGGCTTCGTTTACAGGCCAACATCCGAACATCAAAATTTTCAACGACTTTTCCCAGAATAATCGGGTCTATGACCGCAATTTCAGTCCGAATATTGCGCTTTAGGTCTTGAATTGTCCGGGGACCATTCGCATACACTTTTCCTTTCAAAAATCCCCAAAGAAAATAGTCAAGAGGAGTTAAATCGCACGATCTCGGGGCCAACTGACATGTGAATTTCGTGAAATTATGCGGTCTTGAAATTTGGTGTGCAATACGGCGATTGTTTGGCGAGATGTGTGAACCGTTGCTCCGTCGGCACCAATACGATCCAATTGTGGACTCAAAAAGTCTGGTAACATGCCGCAATAACGTTCCCCGTTGACGGTAATGGCCTTTTCTTCGGCATCTTCAAAGAAGAATGGTCCAACGATGCCACCAGCCTATAATCCGCACCAAACAGTCACTTTTTCAGGATGGAGAGGTTGTTCATGATATTGGTGTGGATTTTCAGCCCCCCCAGAATCTGCAATTTTGCTTATTTATAGTCAACGCCAAACAAAGTGGCGTGCACGTCATCACGATAAAAATTCCCCGACCTAATGCCTAGGTTTCTATCACAAACAATTGCTCTATTGCAGTTTCATATTAATGTGATATATAAATTGTAAAATGGTCATTACTCTCTTATTATGGTTAATAGTCATATAAACATTGTTATTAAAATATCACATAAGTTGCTTTCTGATAAATTTAGACGCATTATGCGAAATAAAATGTTTTGCAAACGCTCCAATCACTTATCGACATGTAAACGCACTAAACCGATTTCGCAGCGTTGACACATTGTCACCTTGAAACTTATTTAAACTGGGAACTGACATTTGTATTAATTTTGACACTGAATCAATTTGTGGCATTTCAAATCTTTATAAATCCTTTGGCCCCGCATACTGTAAATCAACAACTGTTTGTTTCAAAACAAAATTATTCATTTTACGAGTAGATAAAGGCAATTTTGGTATATAAAGATGCCCAAACAGTTAAATAGTCGGTGTAAGGAACTCGTGGCCTCGTTAATGCACTACTTTGAGCAAGAAAGGGACAACAACGGGCCTTTGTTGCCTTTAAATGCTGTTCAAGAGGTAGGTTACTAATAATTATATGTAATGTATATTAATAATAGTGAAATTTTATTTCATTTTTTGTAGCGTGTTGCTGCTGCTTTAAAAATTAGTTTAAGGACAGTTAGTCGTATTTCCGAGGGTGTGAAAAGTGATGCAAATTTAGAATCGCCCAAGAAAAAGCGGAGTTATATTAAACGTGTAACCAACACAGCGACATTGGATACAAGTGCCATTCGAGAAGTGATCTATAATATGTATCACAAAAGTAAGATCTTATTATAATAACTTATCAGAAATTTGCATTAATTTGTTAACTAAATTATAATGTCATATTACACATGGTTTCAGAAGAACAAGTTACGATACAAACTTTATGGTCTCGATTAAGAGATAGGGCATTATTTGATGGTAGTGCCACGTCTTTAAGGCGGTTGCTTAGAGATCTTGGATTTAAGTGGCTTAAGGACAATCCGCGACGAGGGCTCATGGAACTACCAAGTATAGCTTTGAAAAGGGTGGAATTTCTAAGGCAATACAATCAAGCCAATTTTGAGACCTTATACCAGTTTGTCTTCCTCGATGAAACTTGGATATTTCAAAATGGGACCATAGGTCGCTCTTGGCAAAATGGAAACCAAAAAAGCGTGAAAGCTATTAAAACAGATGGTAAAAGGTATGTACTTTTACACAATTTGCACTATAAAATTTAAAACTAATATATTTTAGATACATTATATTACATGCTGGAAATGAAAATGGGTTTATTGAGGGTAGTGAAGCGATATTTTCTTCGAAAACAAAATTGAGCGATTACCATGGAGAGATGAACCAGGACAATTTTTTGAAATGGTTTCAACATCAGTTATTAGAAAAATTGGAGAGTCCATCTATGATTATACTGGATAACGCCCCTTATCACAGCATGATATTGAACAAAGTGCCCAACAATGCATGGACAAAAAAAAATATCCAAGACTGGTTGACAAATCAAAACATACCATTTTTAAACACAATGTTTAAAACAGAGCTATTGAGTATTGTTGCTCGGTACATAATGCTTCTTAATTATATATATTTTGGTCGACAGTTTATATTTCTTTTGTTTATTCCTATTCTTAAAATAACTGCTTTTTTAGAAACAAACCACCTAAAATATACGTGATTGATGAATTGGCGGAACAACATGGGCACAAAGTTCTTCGTCTGCCTCCTTACCATTGTATATTTAACCCTATTGAGTTAATTTGGGGCATAGCAAAAGGTTACTATAACAGACATATTGGTAGAGATGGTAACAGTGAAAAAGACTGTTTGGATATGTGGAACGAGGCTCTACAAACGGTTACCCCAGACATGTGGAAAAATAGTGTTCGACATACTGAGCAAGAAATTTTTAAATGGTATGAAAGAGAACGAATTTTTGATCGACCAGACATCGAACCTTTAATAATCAACTTTGAGAGTGATGAAGATTCAGATTCAGACAGCGCTGAAGAAAGAAACTCCGACTAACTTTATTGTACAGAAAAAGCTTACACCAGTAGCTTACCTAATTTTAGAATGCATTTTTCTGTATGAATTCTGTAAAATAAATACCATGCATAAAATTTGGAGGACCCCATTTGGATTTTTATTCAGTACCTTTAAGCTATCAATTAAATATGGTAGTTTCATAGTGTCATCTGATCAATAATTGTCATACTTAATGATTATGCAAGTACAGATCTATAATTTTATTATACTATTATTTTTGTTCTCATTTGAGGTTAATATTGCTTATAAACCTAGATATGTAAATAATAAATTTTATTATTTTACAAAAAGTTTGGCAACAATGTAAATTTTTCAACACACCCACCTTGATGACGTGCACGCCACTTTGTTTGGCGTTGACTATACGTACCCATTGAGGTGAAAATGAGCCTCATCAGAAAAGAGCACTTTGGCCGAAAATCCGTCTTCTCTTTCCAGCATCCAATTTTGTATGGACGGAGGTGTAAATCAATGTGTAAAATCCGGCGTAAAGTGGTCTCACTAATTCCCAATTGTTGCGAACGGTGCCTAGTCAAGGTGGTCGGATCTTCTCGCACACTTTCACTCACTGCGGCTATGATTTCACGAGTACGAGCTGGACGAGCATGTTGGTATGGGCTACGACCTTCAGCTGAACCAGTTTCCTCAAAACGATTAACAATCCAACGAATTCCAGGCTCTGTATTGCGTCCAAAACTAGTGCGAACTTTGCGAAAAGTATTTTTTATATTTCGACCGTTTTCGTACTAAGTTTGGATAACCAAAATGCGTTGTTGTGTTGTAAACGAATCCATTACTATAAATGGCATACCTTTGACAGTTCATTTATGCATATCACATGACTTTTGACTCACATGGTAAGACATAAACTTACAGGTAATAAAAAAGTAATAAAGGGTTGTCCAATAGGGTCGCAGGAAAGTAAACGTCAATTTGACATAGACGCCATCTTTGTTTTCTGTCACCGACATGTCATTTTGTTAGTTGAATGTTTACCATTGATCGCTATGGAGTCGTATTCCATTGAAGAGCGCATTAAAGTTATTCAAGAGCACTACAAAAATGGTGCAAAAATAAAAAAAGCGTTTCGCGCGCTTCGTGAACATTTCGGTCGCAACAACCGCCCAAACGAAACAACCATCGGTCGTCTGGTGCGTAAATTCGAGGCAACAGGTTCTGTGGTAAATCTGCCAGGCTCTGGCCGGTCAAGGAGCGTTCGCACACCGGAAAATATTGCTGTTGTGAAGGAGACTGTGAGAGACGATCCGAAACAATCAACAACGCGTCGATCCCAAGAATTGGGCATTTCGAGAACCAGTTTGCTCCGCATTCTCCACAAGGATGTGAATGTACACGCCTACAAGATCCAATTGACGCAAGAGCTGCGTCGGGCCGACCATTTTTCGCGCCGAACGTTCTCAGATTGGCTCCTTGAACACCGCCAAATTGATGCCAATTTTTCATCAAAAATCATGTTCAGCGACGAAGCGCATTTCACTTTGAATGGGACGGTAAACAAGCAAAACTGCCGCATCTGGGCGAACGAAAATCCCCGTGAGTATCAAGAGCAGCCGATGCATCCTCAAAAAGTGACTGTGTGGTGTGCATTGTGGTCAAAAGGCATCATCGGACCTTACTTTTTCGAAAATGCGGCCGGGGACGCCGTTACCGTCAATTCTGAGCGATATCACGTGATGATAGAGGACTATTTTTTGCCGCAACTTGAAGGAATGGATATGGACGATGTTTATTTCCAACAAGACGCTGCAACATGCCACACAACCAACGTCAATCTCCATCGATTGCAGTCTTTCTTCGGTGATCGCATGATTTCGCGCAGAGGAAATGTGCCATGGCCACCAAGATCGTGCGATTTGACTCCCTTGAACTTCTTTTTATGGGGATATTTGAAAAGCAAAGTCTACGTCAACAAACCAGCCACCCTCCAAGAACTCAAAAACAACATCATTGCCGAGATAAATGCCATAGAACCGACCATGTTGCAAAATGTCATTGAAAATTTCGACCATCGCGTGGACGTCTGTAAATCCAGTCGTGGTGAACATTTGAGCGATATTATTTTTTATACATAAATGGTATAAATGAAGCTTCAAAATAAAGTACCCAAGTTGATTTGAATATCAATCTTTCTTGTTTTAATATGCGTTTAATTTCCTGCGTCCGTTTTGGACAACCCCATAGATGGCGCACCCAGTATTAATAAAGAGTGAGGCGCTTATTTTGATGTGTAGCGTAATTCAGTTGCTAATACCGATGTTTTGGATGATGTGAGCAACAATTTTCAGTACTGCATCCCAGCAAGGATCGTGAAGTTCACTCCCATGTTTGTTAACTAGATGTTGTATGCCAAACATCATTTCATAAGCCACAGCTGGTTGGTTGCATTGGATTGCCTAAATGAAAAAAGTACCTTTTAAAATGGCGTCCAGACGCTGCCCTGGAATTTTTCGCAGAAACTACAAGAAAACGTTGATTGTGAAATACTAACTTTAGCAATGCTCAACTCGATGATGTCTAAATATTCATTGAAACAAAGAATCCAGAAAAGTAAAAACATAAAAATCTAAACTAGCTCATGTTAACTTCAAATAAAGTATACAGGGTGGCCCAACAAATGGTGCACCTCCGCACTATGTAGCTCTAGTTTTTGGACACCCATTTCCCGAATCAGTGGATCGGCAGAGGAGGCCCCATCGAGTGGCCGCCGAGATCTCCGGACCTGAGACTTTTAGACTAGGGGCCGTTCAAGTATTACGTGAGCACTATGGAGGGGCGGGGGGTCTTTGCTTTGCTTATTTTGGATGACATGGGGGGTAGGGGAGTCTAGATGATGATTACGTCATCGGTAGTTATTTACTTTTTTACACGAATGGCAACCCTCACATTGTCTTTGCTTGAAAATGAAACGCATTTTCGGGGATTCCCGCAAATAATGCATTCGTTTAGAGAACAGCGCGCGGTAATTCCCCTACTCGCTTTAGAACCGAGTAGGGGAATTACCGCGTGGTGTTCACTTGTCTAAATATCCTCTATCAGTGTATTAATAACATTTGTGTAACCATTGATTCCATTAGCCAAAGTTTAATGTTTAAATAAGATGTCGTTTCACATAGACAAATCCAAGTTATACCAAAAATTGTTTGAAAGTTTTAAATCTCATACAAGTACGAAAGTACAAAATGTACAAAAGTTAGTTAACGAAGTGTGGCGAAATTACAAATTACAAGCAAAATCCGACAAGGAACTAGATATTTCTTGTATCTAAGAGAATCGAAGAAGAATTGCAAGCGGCGACTAAGAATAAATCCAATCTACTAATTTTTTTTCTAAGGTGAGTGAAGAAATCATTTTAGGTACCTATGAGTACTAGAAATATTAGAAATCGCCAAAAAGTTTCTGTTTACTGATTAAAATATTATGGCCTATCTCAAACTATAGACGTAATATTCATTATATTATAGATTTATTTCTTATGATTGATTCCGTCAATTGGTCACAAAGTACAGGATGTTATGTTTATACATATATACAGAAAACTAACACCCTGTATTTTGTGACCGGAACGAATTGCTCGTTTAAACATATTAGATTTAAAGCCATAGGGTTTTGTGTTTACCATATATATTGCCATACTTTGTATTTATGTAGCTTAATAAGAGAATCTTTCGCAGAAGCCATAGAAAGTTTTTATTTTTAGGCAACCTGTAAACCTGCAGAAAAAACACAAATTATACAGTCAGCTTCAAATATTAAAAAAGAGGAAGATAAAATAAAACCCGGTAATGAATCACAACAGCAATGCGAAATTAATGAAAATACAGATAAACAGAGAGCAAAACCTTCTCAGGAAGCTATGAAAAATAAGATTCCTCTACTTGAAAAAAATCTGAATGCGTTGTATTCTGCCAGAGATACTATGCCAAGCCGTGCTTACGTTGATAAACAGATCATTAAGTTGCGCGATGAAATAAAAACAGCAAAACAGTCTTTAAACAGGAAGGTTCAAAACGCAGTTGCTCAGAAGAAACACAGGGATGGTATGAAAAGAAAGTTAGAAGATATTTGTCATGAAAATCCAGAAATAAAAAAAAGACTATCTCTGAGGGATTCAGTGGGACGTCTAGAAAGCAATCAACATTCACTATTGAAAACAATCGCGGATATAGCTTTATTTGGGAGTGCAGCAGATGATAGAAGACGAACGGAATCAATTCGCAGCGTAAAAACTGTTGATGAACTCACACAAGAATTACGTAAAATAGGATTTGACATTAGTCGCAGTTGGACATATCTTCGTTTGATTCCCAGAAAATCTAATTCTGCACGAAGACATGTATCGACGGTCCCTGTTAAGCTCATTCGGGCTCAAACTGATAACCACAAGAGCCACTTAGATAGCAAGTTCGCTGAAACATCAATCCATTATTTAGAGAACATAGCATCCATACTTGGACCAGATCAAGTATTTTTCATATCTCAAGATGATAAAGCTCGAGTACCTATTGGCGTAACTGCAGCAAATAAGCAAGCACCTCTTCTAATGCACATGGAATATAGAATCAAATTGCCTGATCACGATTGGGTAATCGCTGAGCGTCATAAATTAATACCATCTGTTTATGCTGGTATCAAAATCACTTCCAATATGCTACGACAACCGCAAGCCGTTGGATATTCTGGACCAACATACATTGCTATTCGAAGTGGAAAGCATAGTTCATCTACTGCTAATACTCATGCTCAGGATTTCGAGACGCTTCTCGAACTTGAAGAGTTTCGACCATTAGTGAAAACTGACTATGGACTAGTAAAACCGGTGGTAATCATGACGGTTGATGGAGGGCCAGATAAAAATACACGTTATCAAAAAGTCATAGGGTTTGCTATACAACACTTTAAGCGACATGATCTCGATGCATTGTTTTTAGCTACCAATGCTCCTGGAAGAAGTGCGTAAAACAGAGTAGAGCGCAGAATGGCTCCTCTTAGTCGGGAACTGGCTGGTTTAATATTGCCTCATGACCATTTTGGGTCTCATTTGGATGAACGTGGCGTTACAATTGATGAACATTTAGAAAGATCTAATTTCGAATTTGCAGGAAATGTATTAGCTGAAGTATGGAGTTCAATGGAAATTGATGGCTATAATGTTAATGCAAAATATGTTGGAGCAGGTGAACAAAATCTTCCTGATTTTTCAGACATTAATTGGTATTCAGAACATGTGCGTGAGAGCCAATGCTTCAAATTGTAAAATGTAGAAATACAGAATGCTGTCGTCCAAGAAGTGGCCTATTTAGATTACTAGACAATAGGTTTCTTACACCACCTGTAAAAGTAAAACAAACAATTGATGACTTGGTTTTGGATGAAGGAGGGCAATTTCTTAATCTTCCAGTCAATTTAGCTCTACGCTTAAGTACTTCACTCAAAGATTTCCTGCAAATGCCCTACGATTATTTTTAGCCGACGGTAAAATTGAGGCTATCAAGTCGAACATGCAAAAAGTGTGGTCTTTATCATGCTTCCGTCAAGTCACTAAATCGTCACATCGAAAATATCCATAAAAAAGTAAACACGCACACTGATAGGAAAGTTAGACCTGTAAGAGTCGCTGCTCGTCGTGCTAATGAACTGATGTGCATTATTCAAAATTTAGAGCACCATGATGTTGAATGGCTCGATGAGAATGACGTAGACATTCCAAAATCCGATGAAAGCGAGCAAACTCACAACACTGAGCAGCAATCGAAGCAATACAATGTCATCGAAAACTTAGAAACAAGTATTCAGGTTTCATGGACTGAAGACTGTTAATTTGAATTTAATATATATACCAAAAATTTAAAATAGGTTTGTATGTTAGTAAGATATAATATTTTTGTCCTTTACTCTATGTTGAATACCGTTATCAGTAAACTATAATCTCTATCGTCAATCTATTTTCTTATTTTTCAAATTATAATTATAAAGTTATAAGTATAATATTAAAAAACAATACATTAATTGACAAATGTTTACGTAAGCATGGGGGAGGGGGTAAGAGCTTTGCTTACTTGTGCTGACAAGGGGGATGGGGGAGGTAAATAATTGTAATACATGTGCTTACGTAATACTTGAACGGCCCCTTACTTTCTTTGGGGGCATTTGAAAAGTAAAGATTTTAGTACAAAGCTAAATTCCTATCAAGATCTTCGACAGCGGATTACCGGTGAATGTAGACAAATACCTCAAGACGTGCTTGAACATGAGAGGAATAGATTCGAACAAAATCTTTATTATTGCATGGAGGTAAGTGGACACCACTTTCAGTACTTATAGCCACATTTAACTAGCCCTTTATAGCAAATTAATTTTTACTTTAACTTTAATATGTTGACTGTAAGTTCTTTTTTGTTTTCATAATACCCAGAAACTTGTTTTCTAATTTTAAAGTAAAGTCTTGTTACTATGGAAACTATATTGATTATTATTTTTACGATATCAATCCCTGATTATCATATTTCTAGAATTTTATTATAAACTCAAATAGCTTCACAACGATTGAAGATTGGTATAAACTTTGTTAAGTTACTAAAAACTTCATGGAGAATCTAAAAATTAAAAAAATTGGGGTTTCCATTTAAAAGTGTAATGCAATATCTTATTTTTTTATCACTCTGCTATAGATGAAATCAAAATTGACGTGCCGAGCGTTTTTTCCAAAATATACTAGGAGAGTCACAAATGGGGGTGCGATCTTTTTGTTGGGCCACCATGTATGTTCCACGAATAAAAAATCTGAGCATATCTACGCAACAAACAAAAAATACCTGTAAAAACGAGGGCATTACAGCAGTCGGTGGGCAAAGTAAGTTGGGGAAAGATGTATTTCCCCACAAAGCCATATGGATAAAAAAGATAGCTCCCCTTAAAAGATCAGCGTCAGACCTCAGCCCTTTCTCTTGAAGAATTCTGCACATTGTGAACAAGGTGGAGTGTCCCAAATGTGTTCCTAAGAGGTCCTTCACTATCTAACAAGAAAATTTGATGTCAAGTAGGTTGATTCACAACATCAGTTTGAAATTTTGAATGATTTTTTTCAGAATCAGACTGCATAGGATTGTATAGACAAGGTTCACATAAAATAATGTACTAAAATGAGACCTCTTTGTATTTAGTACTTATAATCAATGAGAATTCAAGTGAAGGTTAAAACCAATTTTATAGAGCAAAATCTACCAAAATACTATATGGAAAGCAGAGCTTGCACAACAAATGCTTCAGTAAATACTTGGTGTAATATTTCAATCAATAGAATAAACCATGTTGTCTTACCTTCCAGCTATCATTGCAATATTTTTCAACAATGACAGTTCTACACAGTGTTCCCAAAAACTTTGGTAATGATTCTGGAGACATGTTGCTGTAAGCCACAACTGTTGACATGATTCTAAGACAAGAAACTACTGTATCATGACTACTAGTGCTGCAGCATAGTGTACAAATATGACTGAAAGTAAATAAAAAAAAAATGATAGATATTTATATTCCGTTTTATAAGTTTTTAACCATGAGTATTTAGTCTGTGGCACAGATATACACCTTGGGAAAAAACATTATTATACATTATGATGAGGAAGAGAGATGGAAATATACAAAAGTATGTAGGTGCGTGAAAGACACTCGATTGTAGGGTCCTATGTGGCAGCGTCGGAGTGTGACGGACAACGGGGTAAAGTAGAAGAGTGATAAAAGAGAGAGATGGCAGAACGGGCGCTGGCGCCTACCGCTTAGACGGATGCGCTCAACAAATGCGATTTGTTTCTCCCATTCGCAGAGTTGCCGATACCAATATGTCATATTTATAAGAAATCTAAGTCTACCCAAATTTCGGGAAAAATAGCTGCGGATTCCACATAAGAGTATTCCAAAAATGAAAAAAGTTCGAACTATTAAAATTGTATTAATGTTTCATGGTTCAAATCATATTTTTCATGTTTGTATATTGTTGTATAAATGATTTTGTAATCCCCATTCTTGTTGCCAGTATAGATACAACAGTATTGAGAGAAATCATGGACCGCTAGATAGGGCTACAACTACCATATGACTATCAAATAGTAGTGATAAACAGGGTTTGTTTATAGCACAGTTGCCTGGTGTGGCGAATTTGCGCCATAGGAGCGATTTGACAACTTTGAAGGACAACTATAACGGTTACTATGGTGCCCGGTATTCGGGAATCTGGCAATACCTGATGATTCCTAACGTTTATTACGCCAGATTGTTTGCTGACTTGCGCAGTACAACATGACAATCAACGTGACTGAGCACCTGGTAACCCTGGTTTAAGGTGTTATATTTAAAGAGCTTGGGGCAGTTAGGTATCTAGGTCACATTTTTTAATGTATTTCGAGAAATCCGTAATGTTGAGTGAATACTAGAACACGTTCCTTGCTTAGTTTGCTGAAAATTCTACAATAGACGTACATTTTGAGAAACATAGATATGGTGACGACAAAATTGTAAAAATATAACGCATTTTCGTAAAATAATTTCTTTGTTGAAAAGACTGGCTTGATGACCCATTGAACGAGTATAGTGTCCCGCTCCACTTTGAATATTCGAAACACTATACTCCAGCAGCATTCAGCTTCAATGTTAGCTTTATGAAGTTCTAACATCTAGGCCATGCTGATTGAAAGCTTGAATGAATCAACACTTAACTCTAAATTCCCTACAATTCAGGAAGCTCTACTCAAATTGGCAACACAGCGTATCTGCCTATTATTCTCATTCATGATACAGGTCTGCGGTTAACGGTAGGAAATATGTACGAATAGCGATTAAAGTAGACGAGCCGATGCGCTGTTGCCAAGAAATGATTTCCCATGTATAACAATGGTTTTTCCTAAGGTGTATGCCTAAGCATATAATCATCAGTTTTCTTTATAAAGGTATGGGATATGTGCATTCTGGGCCATAACTATACCCTGTAACAATTGTGTTTTTTTTTGTAGTTGAATAATCCATATTAAAACAATATTGGTCCAAGAATATTTATACTCACTGGATAAAGCCTGTAATAATTTCATCAGACAAATAAGAAGCATTAAACTTAATCATATTATCAATCAGGTTCAAGTATTCCTCCAACTTCCCAGTCCTGGTTATATCAGGTACCCAACTTAAGAGAAAACATCCTATCTCTTCATCAAAATGAGTAATGTCTTTACCATTACAAGTAAGTGTATTCAACAGTTCAAAACGTTGACGAACGTCTTCCGGATGATTATGGGACTTAATGAACCGAAAAAAGTGAGCTCTTAGAAGCTTCATTCTTTCATATTGGCCTCTAATAAGATATTGGGTGAATAGAAAAGCAGCATTGCGAATTTCAGTGGTATGTTCATTACCAAAAAGATCTTCTATTGCTTTCCATAACTTTTCAATGCCACCCTGAAATGAAAATTACACAAAGTTAATGATTGGTCAAACAATGAAGAACTATATATGTATTTTAGACGTCATAGAATATTGTAATGACTAACTACATGCAATACACATTATCAATAATCTAGTCACTTGCCTCTTCTACTTTACTTTCTGTTACCCTAACGTTTAGATGTTTCAAGATCTTAAGTCTTGTAGCCAAAGGAGAATCCTTGCCTAGGTCCTTAAGGAGATCTTCCGACACGAAAAGTACATCGCCACGACTTCCATAACTCCCTGAAATAGTTTGGTAAAGGAGTTTTTATACATTGATAATTTTGGTAAAATACCTGTGTCGCTTTTATTTCTCTTGAATATATCCTTCAGGTGATCTTTGAAGGTTTTATCTTTGGAGCTCATTATGGCAAATGGTCGAAATTGAAGAATTGAAAGGTAATTCTACCATGAGAAGAAATCATGAATAAAAAACAACTATTTTTTGTTGAGAACCCGACATAACCAAAAATCTAAGTTGATAGTTCCGAACAGCTGATTTTTGATATGACTATTAGGCAACTGGTCTTACAATGCAATTTGGCCATCTACTAGACAAAGGCGTGAACTACATGAAAATCGTGTAGAGAATCATACAGGGGTGTTAGGATATGTTATCTTTTATTGAAACATCTCAAGTCAAAAAATGTATAGATTTTGATAAAAATATGTTTTCTTTCCGTCAGAGCCAATCTTTAGAGAAGAAAGACTCTTGCTGCTAGGGAGTTATTGAAATACTGCCATCCACTGTTACTGCCGACCTCATACTTAATAATGACAAGTGGAGATTGATATTAAAATTGTTTCAGAATTAGAGTTATTGGATGCGTTACCTTGCACAATTTCTAACCTTGAAATATTGTGATAAAATAAAAATTTTTCTTGTTTAAAAGTGTAGCAAATTGTTTTTTGGACTTTTTTGTGTTTTGCAACTCGTTTGGTTTCAATTTTACGGACAAAGGGTCCATGATTTTCACCAATTAAAAATTAGCGAGTACTACTTTCCATTTTATGATTTTTTTCATCTGCGAAAACTATACTATGAAAAGTAAGGTTATTCGCATAAAAGGAAGAAAACAACACAAATTTAGCCACGCGTCCTTCCAGGGCTGTGTTGTGTGTTCATAAATTTTAGTGCTAGTAATTGTTTGACGTATCTGCTCCATGTGTTCGGAAATAGAATAAAGTAATCCTTCTGTAACGTCGAAAGTGCGCTTCTCTTCCCATACTCAAAATCTTGGGAATAAAAGTGTCACTTTTCATTCTCATGATTCATTATTCGTTTGTTTTATTTAGTTACAAAAAGTGTTTAAAATTGCCAGAATATATATTTTTACGATTACTGGGCCACTTCACCTCCATATCTTATAATAAATACAATGATCGCAGAAAATGTAATTAGAAATTAGTCGGCTGTCATCAAGTAGTGCCATTACGTGACTGTAATAATAATGACGTTTCTAAAAATAGGGTAAAATTTCATATGTCAATCTACATTCCATTGTTGTGTACGCACTCGAGTGCATTTCCAAATCACGTGGGTTAAAAAATTTCAACATTTTATGCACCAGTCATGGGTATTAATCCTACATTCCTTGTATACTAATTTTACTTACAGTCGCCTGCCACATTAACAGTTTTGTTAGTTCAGGACCTCAGCCTACAGATGGCGCTTTTACTTGTCGCAATAGCTGTAATGTTAGTTGCCTAGCCATCAGGTTCAAAACAGTGTTCAAAAAAATTGAACTGTGACCTGAAAAATAATAATCTACTTAAAACAAATTCACGTTTCACGTCGTTCTTGTCCACATTGTTTTAAGGTATTGGTATGTATGTGTTTTAGCCGTAAATTTAATGGTGAGAAGAAAATGAACATCGCAGTGCTACACCAATAAGATGCGGCCACATATCATGCATGATATTGATAATTGAATATTGTGGTTTGATGATAAATTTAGAAAACGGAAGAACTTCATAAAAAAGAGCTGGAGTCAGTATCAAGTAGCAAAAATGGGAAACATGGCGTACAAGAATTCTATTGCACTCCTATTTGTAGCAGTATTCATTCAAGAATCTGTATCTATTACTGAAGAGGATGAAGGGGTAAAATATGCTTCAAAATGTGAGGGTATGTATTTAAAATAATGGGTTTATCATCTCGGAGCATTAATGTATGATCTTTTATTGCAGTGTGCAAAATTTTGGCAACAGAATTGGAAGCAAGACTAGATGAAACAGGAAAAACAAGTGAAGTAATTGAAACAGGCTACCATGTGGATGATGTAAAACCAAAAAAGAAAAAAGAGTATGTAAAATCAGAACTGAGGCTTGTAGAATCGTTGGAAGGTGTTTGTGATAGAATTCTTGAGTATAACATTCATAAAGAAAGAGAAGATAGCACTAGATTTGCCAAAGGCATGAGCCAAACATTCAAAACACTCCATGGCCTGGTTGATAAAGGAGTTAAAGTTGAACTGGGAATCCCCCATGAATTGTGGGATAAACCTAGTGTGGAAATCACCAATATGAAGGTTCAAGTAAGTTTAATTTCAACTGTTATTTATGGTAATTATTCAACATACTTATTTTAGTGTGAAAATTTACTGGAACAAAATGAAGGTGATATAGAAAGCTGGTACTTCAATCATCAAGGAAAAGAACCTCTTAAGACCTATCTGTGTGAAAAAATAGTCTTGAAAGGGGGAGATACCAAATGTTTAAATGAACAACTAAAAGGAGATACTGATAATACAAAAGAAGAATTGTGATATCTTGAAAAACATTATTTTCCAATGTTTAATGTTATTGTGATTTTTTATTCTACAAATATGATGTGTCAACTAAGTAGGTATTTATTTTGAACATTTTATTAAATATACTATTATACAGGGTTTTATTAGTTTTACAAATAAACTCATGTTTGCTGGGAAGCAGCCTCCTGTTCCCTCTGAGCCTTTGTCTTCCTAATATGTTTTGGTTTGCCTCTTAATGCTCGCATTCTATCCATTTCCTCTTTAAAATCTGCATGCTCATCTCTGTATAATCCATATTCCCTCAATTTCATCATCAGCTTCCCTGTTTCAATGTGCCTTGGGTAATAAGAATGTATTTCTTCCCGCAAATGCACCGGCTTTTCGCTGAAAAGCCTTACTACCTTCATGGACTTCGAATTTGTTGGCCTAGCTACTTCTCCAAATATTCTATTGCTGAGTCGTGCCATGCGCCTGGCGTATTCGGTGGATTGTTTGACTAAATCAGTGTATTTTGCGTAATTACTCATGTTTAGTTACTTTATAGCATATTTTTAAATGAAATAGAATTTTATTTATGATTCCTACCCTTGCTAATCGATTAACGTCAAATCAAAAGACAGGTTAGGAAACGGCAATGACATCTGTCAAATTGAAAGTTAAGCAGTGTTGTCGGATTGAGTTGCATACAGAGATCTGATTACATTGAATTATGACGGTAAAAGGTAAATAAAAGATGAGGCAATCAGTAAGGATCCAAGAAACGGCCCGAATAAAGATAACAACAAGAATATACTCTACTAGACTCTAGCACAATTTTTCTCGAAATCGTTGCACACCGCTTGAAAAATGCAAATGAAGATTGAAAAACTGCCGCTTTGACGTACTGAAAGTGGTTACTCCGGATAGACATACGTTTTAAAATTGACCTTGTCATTCTTGTCACCTAGATTGCGATATTGCCAGCTCATCGGACAATTGTGCTACTTCTGCTATTTTGTTAGAATGAAAAAAGTTTCGAATAAAATACTGAGGTTACCAATGGAGATATATAAAATTTGAGGCGTAGCAATGTTTGACAAAAAAACTGAAAAAAGCTGTTATTTACATTTTGCGTCGCCTGGGCCCTAGGCGGCGGAACGTTAATGCCTCTGAACACTTTTATAAATGCCCAGTTTTATAGGATAAAATACTTTTTGAATATGGGACTTCTTCCAATAATTTAAAAAACAATGTTTTTTTTATATAAATATATTTATTTACTCTTTGATCTAAAATTACATGATCATTAATATAAGTACGATTTTCATTTCTCTATTTATTAGCGGAATATGTTTTTTTTAGTGACTGCATTCGCAATTGGGTGAGGAAAACCTCAACCGTCTCCGTTAAGATTAATTGTATCAGGTGAAGAAAAATCAAGTCGTTCCACAATTCTGGCTTCATTTGTACAATCTAAAATCGCCAGCATGTCACAGTTATTAACTCAATAAAAGTAGCAGTACTGAAAAAAAGTAGCTAAACCGAATAGAGCTCTGCACGGAGTTGTGAACGCGTAGATATTCCACTGCGCCGACGGTTGCCGAGAGACTGAAGCGTGTGAGATGCTATTAGATACAGGGTAGTACTTTTTTAAGAACACCATTTTGTAGTGCCGTTAGTTTTTTGACATTTCTTAAAATAAAGTCAGACAAAAATAAAAACGATTTGACCAAATTTTAGTTTTTCCCAAATACCTCAGTATATGAATAATCTCTCAGTGCATGCAATGTGCGCAATTTATTTAAAAAACATAGGATGTCAACCCTAACAGACTTGACACCCACGTGATCACCTCTACTGAAAAAAGTCGCTAATCACGGAGCTGTGAACGCGTAGACATTCCGCTGCGCCGACGGTTGCCGAGAGACTGAAGCGTGCGAGTGCTGTACCTCGCTGCGACGAGACGGTACGGCCGGGTAGCGACTCGATATTTACGTTGACCGGGAGCAGACGCGCGGAATGGGAGCTGTAAAGAGGCGTGGCTGTACTACCCGGCCGTACAGTATCGCCACAGCGAGGTACAGCACTCGCACGCTTCAGTCTCTCGGCAACCGTCGGCGCAGCGGAATGTATACGCGATCACAGCTCCGTGCAGACGTCTATTCGGTTTAGCGACTTTTTTCAGTAGTGGTGTTCACTGTAGGGTTCTCGATTGTCTCTCAGTGGTATTTTAGAGTTGTGACGTGGGTATCAAGTGTCTCCAAAGTGGAAATTAGGTCTACTTCCAACTCTTCTGAGGGAAATAGGATATCTGCAGCAAACAATGTGAGCCTTGCATTCTCATCTACTTGTGTGTTAGGGCTGACATCCTATGTTTTTTTTTTAAATAAATTGCGCACATTGCATATACTGACTGATTTTATTTTAAGTACTACCCAGTAGTTAATAGCATCTTTTTCTACAACTTCAAGGATGTATAACGTTACATTTGTTTTTTTTTTTTGTTATAAACAAATGTTTTTTTATACTTTTTCATTTTATTTAAGTAGGCGTTGCAAACAAATGCTTGATGTAAGATGGTCTGATTACTGAATTTAACCTAGTCTGATCCTTATCTTTGTCAATTGCCACCCTGTAATACATTAATGTAAAAAGAAAGTTACAGAAACGTGCATTAATCTAACGCTCTTGCTAGTACTTTTACGCAAGACATCGAACAAAAAACTATTTTCAGTTCAAGGAATTGGTGATAACATATTTCTATAGTCGTCTTACGTGGCCATGTTATATTTACTCGGACCTAAGAAACATGTCCTTAAGTGCCCAAGCTCTCGGGAAGGACGCTTCAGTAAATGTTAGCACCTGTGATAAGTCCACCTTATGTTGTGCAATGTGACAACACTGCATAATCAATTCACGTGTCTCTCACTTGTCCTCGAGAAAATAAAACAACCTTAACCTCGTTTTTAAAAATGATACTTTGAACCGATTAATTTATAATTCCTAATTAAAGTGTGTGAGTGATATGTTTGAAATTATTTTTAAAAAGACACAGTAGGTTATACCGAAGCCATAGAATCACATAATGCGATCAAACTAAGCAGTCATGAATAGGGACGATGTTATTTATCTTGCCTTGTTAGCATTTTCTATGTGTTTTGGTTTATATTATCGCAGAATAAATGATCATATTAAGAAAAAATACATCGGTGCTTCGTTAGGTTTCTTGATTGTGTTGATAGTATCAAGGGTCCATATAATACATGTGCTGATAACTACTATTGTTAATGGCTTATTGATTTTATACACTGATAGAAGGTAAGTTGTTTATCAATTTGAACATTGATTGTATACCTACTGAATAATCATTAATTTTGGCGGCAAACAATGCAATGTAAAAATATAGGCTTGGCTCCTTCTGACCTATTTGAATTTGTTGGTTGATACCAAATGTCATACAATAAAGAGGAATTTTAAACATAAAAAGTAAAGCATTTCCTAAAGCTCATAACATGATGAACTGGATATACAACAATTCAAATATCAAGTTGTCCCATTTTCTTTATATTTGTTTCATTACTTAATATACATGTTAAAAAATATAATTGAATGTATTTCTTTTTCAGAAAATGTCAAGTCTATGTATTCTCCTTTTCGTTTCTCTACCTATTTTTCTTCCGCACCACAGCCTACTTTGGCATACCATATCCACCTTCACATACAAATTTGGTGCAGATGATGCTAATTCTTAAGATTATTGGGTTAGCCTTTGAAGTGAATAGCTCCTATCAGTTGAGTTTGAATAAAGGAGATGCTCAAAATAATACTGACGATGAAAGATTGGAAAACGAAACATTTCAGATTAAGGACATAGGGTTTTTGGATATATGTTGTTATTTATTCTGTTATTGCGGAGTACTTACTGGTGAGTGTCACCCAGTCTACAAACTATAAAGTCTTATAGTTATGTCTTTCATGTATAGAGCATTTGTCAGTTTTTCATATTTTCACATGTATCAGTTATAAATAACTATTTTTTTTGTTTTGACTCCAATATGTTGGGATCCTATTCTCATCTAATTCAGATACTTAAATATGAATTTAATATTTGATACAATTTCTAGGACCATACTTTACATATAGGACATATGTGGACCACTTACATAAGCCATATCATAAATATGATGACATGAAAGGCGCATTACTTGAAAAACTAACATGGTTGCCTCTTTTAATAACTCTCCATTTAGTTACAAACCACTATTGGCCATTATATGTAAGTACTTGGATATAAATCTTAATACATATTACCAATTTAGCATAAAAGACAAAAAGGTTTAATCTATAAGTCAGCTTTTACTAATGTAAATAAATTGACAATTTTCTGTTCAATGAAGATCTAGGGTCTTGAATGTTGGTGACTAGTTATGTTTCCACATTTTTCATTATTCTTACTTGTCATCTGCAAAATGATTCATTAATAGCTTACCTTAAAAATATAAAATATGGTGTGATAATATAGTATAAAAAATATTAATCCTATTACAGTCTTAAAACTCATTGTATAAGTTTGTCATTTGGACTGATTGGTATACATAATTCAGTTTGTAAATTACTGGAATAATAATAATATTTATTTACTCCTGAAACACAATACAATGAGTAAATAAATTTGAAGTAATGGCCCATATGAGGCATTGCGTGTACATGGATCATGAAACTATCACTTTCAGTTTGTACTTTGTATTGCTGCTATTGATATCATGGAGATGTTTGAAATCAGTTACCAAGATCCTTATTTGAAAATCACATTTCTGTGTTTTTCTTTGTAATACTTTTCTGAGTTGTCCTGATACTTAATTTTACCATTGTTTCACATTGATCATATTTTCGGTACCCTATATTTTCATTTCAGTATGTTGAAACCGAGGAATTCCTCAACAGATCATTTTTCTACCGTTATTGGTACATATGGCCATCATTCTTAATATTCAGATCTCGAATTTACATTGGTCTGATACTAACCGAGATTGTATGCATCTTTGCGGGATTTGGGGTATATCCTACTTTTACAGAGCCAAAGGCTGGTCATGGACCCACAAAAAATTTCAGGAAGCTGAAAGAAATGTAAGTGGTAATAATTACATCCTAATCAGTTGAGTATGTATTTGTCTTAATGAAAATGCACTTTACAAGTAAAACCTTGACAGATAATTATTATTTATTGAAGAGTAGATATAAGTAATTACTGGTGGTTATCACTCAAGAAATGTTGTACTTATAAAAATGTTCGTACTGTGTTTCAAATCCAATAAAATGTTGGAGATGGTAAAAAATACACAACTTTGTAGTATTCCTGGTGATAGACAGAAAAACATTTTTATTTTTGTGCAACACCTAAAAAACCGCTTGTTTTATAGGACTCCAGAAGATTTGAAGAGTATTGCATATGACTATGAAACTATACATTGTGTAGATGTTTATAAAGCTGATTGTGTACCTACAATGAGAGAGGCTATGAAGTACTGGAATATCACTATACAGTATTGGTTAGCAGCTTATGTCTACAAGAAGTTCCCATACAAAAAATACAGGTACTACCCTATGATTTCTATTACGAGAGGCATGTCCCTTAGTAGTAACGAAAAATTTGCGGTCAGCTCTTGTACTATTACTGGTTCACAAATAAAAACAGCGATCTATGTGCGGACAGCCTTGGGTACAGGGCGGTGTTGCCAAGCTGCAATAAAATATTTACAAAATGCTACATTTGTACGAAGCAGAATGGAGTTCCGCTCGTATCACAGTTTTTGGAAGTTACGTCAAAAATTCATACGGAATAAATAAACATATCGTCTTAAGGCGAGGCTGTCTAGATAACTCGAGACTTTGACAAATAGACCGACGATTGGTCAGATAAGTAATTTGAGGTTAGAAAACTTTTGATTGTCAAGTTGAAATACTTCTTTTATTAACTAAGTGGTGTAGTATTCCGTGTAGGGTCCTGAAAGTTAAATAGCTATCTGATAATTCAAAGGTTTTGAGAATAGCGTCTCTCGCGAAAAGTGTGATTTATAACTTTATTGAATGAAAAAAGCAAGTGGATGATAAATATCCCTGCAATGAATAAATGTCCAAGCAAAAGTAAATTTGAACAAACAATGCGTTCACTACAAATGATGGTCAATGAATTCATCGAAAAATTATTATCCATCTGGCAACAACGCATTTATTTCCGACCAGATGAGAACCGACCAAGTTTAAACGCCATGCTTTTGGAATCATCTCCTATATTTCTCTAATTTCATTCGCCTTGTCTATCTCCTCTTTTTGTAATGACTTTTTAGTTAGAATATCAAACATTGCAGTATTTGACAAGCATTATATTTTTCGAACAAAACTACTGGTCATGAAAGTATGTTACCCAGTTGAAATTTGCATTCCAATCTGTAATCTTGCAGAAATACATTTCAAGATTTTTTTAAATCATTTTAGTTGACATCTATCATATTAAAAACAGGGTATATTGATGTTTTGTCTTTTCAGAACGATGGTGACGATGTTAGTGTCCTCTCTTTGGCATGGCGTCTATGCTGGTTATTATTTTTGCATAGGGACTGTGCCTTTTGGACTATTATGGGAGGATGTTTGGGCGAAATTATTACTGGAAGGCAAAACAGGAACTGTAAGTATCTTATTATTCACATGGAATATTGAAGGATCATGGTCGATATGTAGCGTTTTTGGCGCTATAAATAACTCAAATTTCAAGTTGATCTCATCAATGAAATATTTGCATTTAAATATTTTTAGACATGTGTATTTTAAAGTTTCTTCAACATTTTTCTTTTAAAACCAGCACTTGTTTCTTATAAAAAGCCCAAAGTTTGCAATTTTGGTATTCCCAAAATTTTGTGTCTAAGGCCCGTATCGTCAGTCGTCCCTACAATTGTAGGGCGCCTTTATGGCCTCCTTGATTGTCATAGTTTTCTACTTCTCAGTGTCAGAACTCTATTTTGAGGTTATGTCACAAACATCTATTTGCATCAAATTGTGCTTTCTTTTGAGTTATATCATGTTTTATCAGCCTGAAATTTCCTACAATTTAAAAGGAAAACATATCTTCACAATAGGAGAGCGCTGACGCTGACACGGGACAAGTGTAATCTAGAAATTTTTGGAGGAGAGAAAGGAGTATGACAATCAAGGAGGCCATAAACGCGCCCTACAATTGTAGGGACGACTGACGATACGGGCCTTAGTGTGTTTTATATGTCTCATAAAAATACTTGACTTCGAAAACGGATCAATTTTTGATAAAAATGTTTCAATTCCGAATACAGGGCAATTAAAAAAGAATCTAGTACCAAAATTAAAAAAGTTGCTCACTTTTTTAACACATAACAGATAGATTTTATTTTTTACAGGTATTGAAACTGTCAAGTTTGATAATGCTATTCTTCAAGATGCAATTGTTTTCGTATCAAGCTACCGCATTTGTCCTTTTAGAGATAAGAAAGATCATCCATTATTATAACTGTGTATATCATTGTATTCCAATTCTGTATACAGCTATGTATTTTTTGGGGAAATATATTCTGAAGCAAAAGAAACTCAAACAGAAAACAACTGGCAAGGTAGAATAGTCTTCCTTAATTTTTAATGGTTAACTGATAGCACCTCTGTCAAAATGGATGGAATGTCCGTTGACACGTGGCAAACCTCACAAAGAACCACAGTGCTCTGCCTTGAGCTACTGGATATTGCGATTTTGCAAGGTTATTCTTTCCAGTATTTGAACTATTCTCATCCATTTTTTCTATTTACTAGAATTGTAAGAGGAGGAATTGAGCAAAAAGTATTTTATGAGGATTTCTATTTTATTCTTTTAGCTACATATTAGTTGTTTGTTAAATATTTCCAATTTTGACTATACATTTTGCGTCTCTTTTACTGAAAACATGATAAGAGCCCAAAATGTTATACGTGAAGACTGAATTCTTAAAAAGATCAAAAAATGGTTGTAATTAATATTGAACAAAATTACATATCTTCCGACAAGCCTGCATTTGAACAAAATGTTTTTTATTTAGATTATTTTGGTGTATTGGATTGTAAATAACTATGATATATTTTTTAATTCTTATAAAGTGCTTTTCAAATACTACCATTACTACTTATTTTGTGAACGAGTCAAGTTAGCAAGCCCAAATTTGGGTTAACGAAATGGCGGTTTTTATATTTTAACGTAAAAATAACAGTCAAAAGCTTCAAGATGGCGGTTGGGTGCCATCTGAGAACATTTTTTTAAATATAGTGAGGGTTCATGTAACAGCTGATTTTAAGGTCTGAGTGTACAATAAAATAAGGGATATCCATTTAAAAAGATTGACAATTTTGACATTTTTTCAAGGAATCTACCATATTTTATTAGATATTCAGATGGACCCTTCCAAGAGAAGGAGAATGATGTGAAATATCATAGGGTTTTGATTATTGATTGAGTTATAAGCAAATCAATTCACAGAAACGTTCAAGTTTGACAGCCTGCCATTCCACCATTTTGAACAATTATCATTTTATATTCCAAGGTTATAAATTACTTTCAAGGAGCTTCAAAACGAGGTATCACATGGCCCCCATTCAATTTTGGCGCCCAGCAATTGCGACTTTTATAACTCCAAATTTCTGCTGCTAATTTGACCTGTTCAAGAAATAAGTGAAAGGGGGGGCCTTTAGGAAAGCACAGTGTGTTCAATAATGAGTGTATGATATATGAAAGAATACTGTTTTTTTATTCATATATATTGTTATATGTTATATTGAAGCTATTATAAAAGGTTTTTCACCCTATTGAAATTCTATATTTGCCAAAATTTGTTCCTTTATTTTTTTCTAATCTAAAGATCTATTATATTGCCTTTCAATTCTTCATTTAACCTATATTTTTGTAATATAATAAGAAATCATTTAATATATATTTAGAATATTTATGTGAAGCTATAAGAGACATCAGCTGGTTAAAATATTTCTGACTTAAAAATGTATGTATATCCCTTGTACCTGGTCCAATTATGTGTATACTATTAAAGACTTCCAAATGAATATATTTTACTGTACTTACGAGCAAAAGTACTTTAGTATATCTCTTGTTACGAATTGTGTATTGTATCCAGTCAATCAAACAGTGTTGTGATATCGAAATAATAAAGATATATTTAGATCATACCTGGTTTTTAATTAATAATTCCGGAACCTTGATGCCCTTAGTATAAGAGAAGCAGAAGCCTAGGAGGTCTGTCTTGTCACTCTCTGAACAGAATCACCCTATTTTTTGCTAATGCGTAAATGTCTACTCCTATGAGTTCTCTAAAACATTACGAGTTTGTTGGTGGCACAAACCTTCGTTTGAGATTGTAATTTTTTTTCTGTTTTATATGCACAGAATTACCCTGTAGCCTCCTGATTTTGTGCAAAGCTATACCGTAAGGTTGTACTCCTATGGGGTCTCTAAAACATATATGTGTTTGTTGGTGGCGCAATTGTTCATTTGAGATCTGCGATTTTTTCTCTACTAAGGAGTCAACGCTTATGTGACAGAATCACCCTGTAGTCCCCTGATTTTTCGCAAAGCTATACCGTAAAAGTGTACTCCTATTTGGTCTCTAAAACATACAGGGTGTTTCAGTTTATTGTTGCATAACTTTATGATTCGATAAAACCTTTAAAATTAATGCATAAGTCTATATAAACACGGGTCCAAAAATGCGTGGCTTCCGAAATATATAAAAAATAAATTTACTTTCTAAAATAGTTTTTTATAAATATTTCGAACAATATTTGATGTATAACAGTGAAAATTGGTATACTAGGGTTTTGTGGTACGACAAAACGAACCATGGGCATAGTTTTACTGTAGCCGCTAGAGGGCGCTCTCTACTGTACCTGTAGTGTATTAAAATGACCTAAAAAATTTTCTTAGTGCAATTTTTTGCTTTTTGAATAAAAAAACTGATTCTTCGCACTGTTCAACATAAAAAAGCTCTCTTGTGAATTTTCGTTATAGCTAGCCGTTTTTGAGATATTTCGATTTTTAAGGTTCGATGCATTTTTAATTATTTATGATAAAATAACGTTAAAAAGTCAGTATCTCGATAATTTTTAGAAGTAGGCTGAGCCTGCAAATATTTTTGAAATTGAAAGCAGAATAAGGTTAAACGTCAATTAGTTGACAGTTTTGTTGTCTGTTGAAACCTGAAACGTTTTTTGCAATTGTGAATGCACGAAATTTAGTTTCTTTTACCTGTTTTTTTTGTAAGTTTTATAAAAATGCCATTTTTATTCTCCAATCAAGAGTTAGCGGATATTCATTTTGTGTATAGCTTTGTAAATGGAAAAGCAGCAGAAGCAGCCAGAGACGACATCCAACTCGCTCAGTATTTTTAAGAGTGCATCGCCAAAAAATTGAAAATGGTTTTGCCTACTTCTAAAAATTATCGAGATACTGACTTTTTAACGTTATTTTATCATAAATAATTAAAAATGCATCGAACCTTAAAAATCGAAATATCTCAAAAACGGCTAGCTATAACGAAAATTCACAAGAGAGCTTTTTTATGTTGAACAGTGCGAAGAATCAGTTTTTTTATTCAAAAAGCAAAAAATTGTACAAAGAAAAAATTTTCGGTCATTTTAATACACTTCAGGTACAGTAGAGAGCTCCCTCTAGCGGCTACAGTAAAACTATGCCCATGGTTCGTTTTGTCGTACCAAAAAACCCTTGTATACCAATTTTCACTCTTATACATCAAATATTGTTCGAAATATTTAAAAAAACTATTTTAAAAAGTAAATTTAAACACCCTGTATTTCGGAAGCCACGCATTTTTCGACCCATGTTTATATAGACTTTATGCAACAATAAACTGAAACACCCTCTATATGAGTTTCTTTGGTAGCGTTTGGGTTCTGCGATTTTTTTCTGTTTTAAGGAGTCGATCCTTATGTTCACATAATCACATTGTAGTCCCCTGATTTTTCGCAAAGCTACATATAACGTAGAGATGTATTCCTATGGTGTCTCTACAACATAATATATGAGTTTGTTGCTGGCACAATTCTTTGTTTGAGTTCTATGTGGGTTCACTCCACCACAGGAAATGTCGAATAATAATCTAGAATGATTTGAAAGCCATATTTGATAATAAATAACATACCATAGAACAGCCCTCGTGGGCTGAAATTACCAGTCATCTAGCATATCGGCGATTTGAGTTCACTTCTGAACTGGTCGACTGTAATTTCATGATATTCGAATCTGAAACTGAAGTGACGTCCACATACTACCATAATTCAATGCTAAGTATCGTTCTGCGATGGTTTACACGGTGTGCTATATCATTTACGTGGCTATACGCGATATTATAAATGCTTGGCTCCCTATGCTGTAAACATCGCCAGTACCACACCAAAATTATTGAACGATTTTTGATAGATAAACTTAGACAACACGACTTTATACAGCAGCCATTTCGAGCGTTGCTTGAAGCGTATTCAGCTACATCTATCACAGAAACAAAACGCTATTATATTTGTACAGGGTGCGGCAGAGAGGACGGACGTTTTTGGGATGGGTAGTACTCTTCGTCTACGAGAGAGATGGGGAGGGTGCCGTTTGACTCGTGAGATCCTATCATTTTACCAGTTGTCGTTATGGAGCCTTGGATGGTGGAGCACCGCGTTTTCTCCTATGATTGTTTCGTCCGAAATAATGAGTCAGTCATCGTCGTACAGCGTGAGTTTCGTCGCCACTTCAACATTCATCGGAATAGAGCTGTTCTCTCTCGAAACACCATCCTTTGTTGGGATGAATCACTTCGCAGGCGTGGTGAACTGATCAACAGAAGACCAAGAGGAGCGCCGCGAACAGTTCGAACTCCTGAAAATGTTGAACGTGTTCGACAGGTCTTTCTTCGTAGTGATCGTTCGGTAAGGCGAATTTTGCATATGGATCTCCGCTTTCACCCCTACAAATTGGCCATTGTGCAACAGTTACAGCCCGGAGATTATGCACAACGAATGAACTTCGCACGTGAGTTGGAAGCACTGATCGATCAAAATGAGAACCTCATTTTGTTTATGAGTGACGAAGCCCACTTTCCCATAAACAGCATGGTTAACCAGCAGAATTGTCGTTATTGGGCTAATGAAAATCCGCAACGGTTACACGAAAGACCGCTGCACAGCCCAAAAGTAACGGTTTAGTGCGCTGTATCGCAAACTTGCATCATTGGCCCTTACTTCTTCGAAGATGGCAATGGTCGCGATGTTACCGTGAACTCAGAGCGCTACGTCGACATGATCACCAATTTCTTTCTCCCTGAATTACGACGGCGACGTGTTCCAATCCGACGTGTGTGGTTCCAGCAGGATGGGGCGACCGCCCACACAGCCCGAGCATCCATGGACGTTATTCGCCCTCTCTTCCCTGGTCGCCTTATTTCCAGGTTTGGCGATGTTCATTGGCCTCCTCGGTCCCCAGATTTATCCATATGCGATTTTTACTTATGGGGACACCTCAAGGCTAGAGTATACGCGAACAAGCCCCGAACTCTGGACGAATTGAAGGGCGAAATTCGCGTGGAAGTCGCCCAAGTTGAGAGAGCGGTGTTGGAGAGAGTCTACGGGAACTTTCAAGAACGCCTCCAGCACTGCATAAACGATTTCGGCCACCACATGCCTGATGTGATTTTCCACACTTGACTGTCTCAAATGCTATTTCTTTGTGAACCTGATTCCATCAATAAATTTGTTTTCGAGTAAAAATTAACTATTTTATGATTTTTTTAAAACCGTCCATCCTCTCTGCCCCACCCTGTTTATACACGAAGGAAATAAATCTTGAAACGCCAGACACAACTTTTTCTGAAATGCGCGCTTCACTGCTGTCCAGTTATCGGTTCAGCTGACCTTTGAATTAGAAAGTTCGATATTATATTTATGTCTGGCTAACGTTCGAGCAGATAATGCTTATCTAGTTTTGTGTGCATTAATAACTTGGAAGTAGATTATTTCTTACTCTTACTACTACAAAAAGCTTTTTTTAGATTGCATTTTCATTTTTTAAAATATACTAAGTGACATATAAATCCGAACACCCAGTTTAAATGGTTTTATTTTAATAAAATTTTGTATAAGTACTTAATGAAGCATAATAAGTAAATGATAAAAATTTCAAAATGATTGCACTGCTTTAAAGCCCTTTAACCTTTAATAATGTGTGGATGCACCTGATGTGCTACGCATTCTCCAACGCGACTAGGCATGCTTCTGATCAGGTGGTCAATGTCCTCCTGTGGTATCTCATTCCAGGCAGCCACCAACTCCTCTCGAAGTGCTTCTAGAGTCTGAGGAGGACGTTGCAAATTGAGCAATCTCCTACCCATCATATCCCACACGTGCTCAATTGGGGATAAGTTGGGAGATCTTGGTGGCCATGGTAACAATGTGACATCATTATGTTGAAAGAAGTCTATTGTGACTCTTGCAACATGTGGTCGGGCATTATCTTGTTGGAAAGTTCGATCTGCCAGGGTGTCAAGATAGGGTAAAAGATGGGCTTCTAGAACTTCGTGGATATAACGCTGCGCGTCCATGTTACCTCTGATGAAGATTAAAGGTGACCTGGAACCATAAGCTATAGCACCCCAAACCATAACTCCAACAGTGTGATGAACATGTCTTTCAACAAAAAACTGTGGATTCCTCCTTTCACCACGTCGCCTTCTAACCCTGGCACGACCATCGTGCATGCCTGAACAAAATCGAGACTCGTCACTAAAGACGATACTGTTCCATTCCTGATCCCAGAGTGACCGTTGTCTGCACCACTCAAGGCGATTACGTCGGTGTTCTCGAGTTAAAGGGAGGACCCAGTGTGGCCGGTATGAAAACAAGCCAAAACTTCTCATTCGTCGGTAAACACTTCGCATGCCAATAGGTCTTCCGTGTTCTGCAAACCATTAATTTGCAATGGACCTGTTAGTGGAGAAACGGTCCCTTAAGGCCAATAATCTTAGGCGCCGATCTTCACGGTCTGTTGTTCTACGGCGGCGTCCAGTGCCCCTTGCTCTTTGCGTACGGCCTTCTCGAAGCCATGCCTGACAACACCTGACTACAGTGTCTACACTTCTTTGCACTCTAACTGCAATTGCCCGAAAAGAAAGTCCAGCTTCCCGAAGTCCCACTATACGGCCCCTATCAAACTCACTAAGTTGATGAAATCGTACAGGTCTCCGTACTCTAGGCATAGTAACCGATCGTAAAGGATGTCAAGAACCAAAATCCGCCAAAGGTTGATTCTTTACTGCGGCTGAAATATTCATTTTTAGAGCGTTAGTGAATTAAAAAAAAGCAGTATAAAAACCGGAATGTCCAACTGATAAGGCTGAAAATTTTTTCACTTGTTATTTACAGTAAGATAAATACATTCACCAACTTTTATTAAAATAACACCATTTAAACTGGGTGTTCGGATTTATATGTCACTTAGTATAGCTCTATACCGTTGCCAATATACAGGGTGTAATAAAATTCTAAGATGAAAAGTTCATAAAAACATATAGATCCGAAAAAAATGTTCATTAAAATAGACACTTTTTGAAAATTTCGTCTTTCTGTAAATATACTAATAAAATAAAACTTATCCTGTGGTTTTCATGTGGATTATCAAGATGTTCTTACAGCATTCGCGGTACCCCGGTATTTAGGATTCTGCCTACGCCGCTTCTTCGGTATAAAAAAAGAACCTTTTTTGTTCAAAATGGCAAAAAAAACTAAATATGAAAAACTTGGGGTCTGGCAGATTCGTAAAAAGAGATCCTTTTTGATTAAGATTAGAATATTTTTACGAGAACATGCGATGATACTTCCTGGTTCTGGGCTACAAGACGGTCAGGGAGCTTCCATATATACTAAGTGACATATAAATCCGAACACCCAGTTTAAATGGTTTTATTTTAATAAAAGTTGGTGAATGTATTTATCTTACTGTAAATAACAAGTGAAAAAATTTTCAGCCTTATCACCTGGACATTCCGGTTTTTATACTGCTTTTTTTAAATTCACTAACGCTCTAAAAATGAATATTTCAGCCGCAGTAAAGAATCAACGTTAGCGGATTTTGGTTCTTGACATCCTTTACGATCGGTTACGATGCCTAGAGTACGGAGACCTGTACGATTTCGTCAACTTAGTGAGTTTGATAGGGGTCGTATAGTGGGACTTCGGGAAGCTGGACTTTCTTTTCGGGCAATTGCAGTTAGAGTGCAAAGAAGTGTAGACACTGTGGTTAGGTGTTGTCAGGCATGGCTTCGAGAAGGCCGTACGCAAAGAGCAAGGGGCACTGGACGCCGCCGTAGAACAACAGACCGTGAAGATCGCCGCCTAAGATTATTGGCCTTAAGGGACCGTTTCTCCACTACCAGGTCCATTGCAAATGAATGGTTTACAGAACACGGAAGACCTATTGGCATGCGAAATGTTTACCGACGAATGAGAAGTTTTGGCTTGTTTTCATACCGGCCACACTGGGTCCTCCCTTTAACTCGAGAACACCGACGTAATCGCCTTGAGTGGTGCAGACAACGGTCACTCTGGGATCAGGAATGGAACAGTATTGTCTTTAGTGACGAGTCTCGATTTTGTTTAGGCATGCACGATGGTCGTGCCAGGGTTAGAAGGCGACGTGGTGAAAGGAGGAATCCACAGTTTTTTGTTGAAAGACATGTTCATCACACTGTTGGAGTTATGGTTTGGGGTACTATAGCTTATGGTTGCAGGTCACCTTTAATCTGCATCAGAGGTAACATGAACGCGCTACGTTATATCCACGAAGTTCTAGATCCCCATCTTTTACCCTATCTTGACACCCTGGCAGATCCAACTTTCCAACAAGATAATGCCCGACCACATGTTGCAAGAGTCACAATAGACTTCTTTCAACTTAATGATGTCCCATTGTTACCATGGCCACCAAGATCTCCCGACTTATCCCCAATTGAGCACGTGTGGGATATGATGGGTAGGAGATTGCTCAATTTGCAACGTCCTCCTCAGACTCTAGAAGCACTTCGAGAGGAGTTGGTGGTTGCCTGGAATGAGATACCACAGGAGGACATTGACCACCTGATCAGAAGCATGCCTAGGCGCGTTGAAGAATGCGTAGCACATCAGGGTGCATCCACACATTATTAAAGGTCAAAGGGCTTTAAAGCAGTGCAATCATTTTGAAATTTTTATCATTTACTTATTATGCTTCATTAAGTACTTATACAAAATTTTATTAAAATAAAACCATTTAAACTGGATGTTCGGATTTATATGCCACTTAGTATATGTAATCCTAAGGATGCCGGTAAAATAATTCAGGATTATCTCTGTAGCTGCTCAAAATATATTTCCTTTTCCGAATACCGTATCTCTTTAAAAGAAAACTGTTTTTTATAATGGTTTCACATCACATGTGGGGTTCCACAAGGTTCGAATTTAGAACCATCGTTGTTCGTATTATTCTTTAATTACCTGTATGAAACTTTGGCTTGTTGGTTTAAATTGATGTTTGCAGATGACATGACATTTTATTCAACCGACTCCTGCTTGTACACCAATATTAATTCAAGGTCATATAGATTTATTAGAACGCTGGTGCGTCAAGAATCATATACGTAAATGTACTGGCGTGGAAGTACTGTAATCGTGAACATTTCCGAAATTGAGATGTTATATGATTGACATGTACATCACGAAAAACCATGTCATTCATTTCCATCGGTTTGTCTGTTCGCTAATCTTATAATCGCCTATGACCTGAGAAGTACCGCTCGGATTTTGATGAAATTTTCACACAAGGTTACTACTATGCCAAGGATGAGAAAGCCTGATAGTTTTTGAAAATCGGTCTAGTGACGAAAACAGTAAAAGTCGCTCAAATTCGATTTTTGACGTTTCAGATGATCTTGATAATTTTTGGAAAAAAAATTAGAGGTGGAAAACTTGGGGGGAGGAAATGATTGCACTGCTTTAAAGCCCTTTGACCATTAATAATGTGTGGATGCACCCTGATGTGCTACGCATTCTCCAACGCGCGTAGGCATGCTTCTGATCAGGTGGTCAATGTCCTCCTGTGGTATCTCATTCCAGGCAACCACCAACTCCTCTCGAAGTGCTTCTGGAGTCTGAGGAGGACGATGCAAATTGAGCAATCTCCTACCCATCATATCCCACACGTGCTCAATTGGGGATACGTCGGGAGATCTTGGTGGCCATGGTAACAATGGGACATCATTATGTTGAAAGAAGTCTCTTGTGACTCTTGCAACATGTGGTCGGGCATTATCTTGTTGGAAAGTTGGATCTGCCAGGGTGTCAAGATAGGGTAAAAGATGGGGTTCTAGAATTTCCTGGATATAACGCTGCGCGTTCATGTTACCTCTGATGAAGATTAAAGGTAACCTGGAACCATAAGCTATAGCACCCCAAACCATAACTCCAACAGTGTGATGAACATGTCTTTCAACAAAAAACTGTGGATTCCTCCTTTCACCACGTCGCCTTCTAACCCTGGCACGACCATCGCGTATGCCTAAACAAAATCGAGACTCGTCACTAAAGACAATACTGTTCCATTTCTGATCCCAGAGTGACCGTTGTCTGCACCACTCAAGGCGATTACGTCGGTGTTTTCGAGTTAAAGGGAGGACCCAGTGTGGCCGGTATGAAAACAAGCCAAAACTTCTCATTCGTCGGTAAACACTTCGCATGCCAATAGGTCTTCCGTGTTCTGCAAACCATTCATTTGCAATGGACCTGGTAGTGGAGAAACGGTCCCTTAAGGCCAATAATCTTAGGCGGCGATCTTCACGGTCTGTTGTTCTACGGCGGCGTCCAGTACCCCTTGCTCTTTGCGTACGGCCTTCTCGAAGCCATGCCTGACAACACCTAACCACAGTGTCTACACTTCTTTGCACTCTAACTGCAATTGCCCGAAAAGAAAGTCCAGCTTCCCGAAGTCCCACTATACGGCCCCTATCAAACTCACTAAGTTAACGAAATCGTACAGGTCTCCGTACTCTAGGCATCGTAACCGATCGTAAAGGATGTCAAGAACCAAAATCCGCCAACGTTGATTCTTTACTGCGGCTGAAATATTCATTTTTAGAGCGTTAGTGAATTAAAAAAAAGCAGTATAAAAACCGGAATGTCCAACTGATAAGGCTGAAAATTTTTTCACTTGTTATTTACAGTAAGATAAATACATTCACCAACTTTTATTGAAATAAAACCATTTAAACTGGGTGTTCGGATTTATATGTCACTTAGTATATTATTATTTTACATATTAACATGGAATAGTTGTTACATCTTTCGAATCTTCGCCAGTCAATAGAATTTTTTCAAAATAGACACGCTCTTTTTGAAATATTTGAAAATGGAACAACCATTAACTAACTAGAACCCAAACCACGGCGCATCAGAAGGAACCTTTGTCCCAGCTGCCAGCACGCTCGTGGTAAAAATCACTGCTATGCGCTAGAACTCGTATACGCTTAAACCGTTTAACATTTGTTCCTCGTTAAACAATAAGAAACGATAAGAAAATCAATGTAACATGATCATCATCCATGTAAAAACGCTATGTATGTAGACGAAAAAATACTATTATTAGATCTGTAATGCAGAGTTCATTTAGTTATACGCCATGAACGCAGAGGACATCACCTACCTCTCTCTGCTAGCTTTATGTATGTGTTTTGGACTCTACTACAGGAAAATCGATGATCCCGAGAGAAAAAGGTGCATAGGAGCTGCAGTCGGGTTACTCATTGCTATCAGTGTTTCGGGAGTACATGTCGTCCAAGTGTTGATCAGCGCTACAGTCAATGCCCTCTTGATCGTTCACGTCGACGGCAGGTGAGTCGTTTTTGGTTTTCCTTATCAGCGTTTTTGGACATTGTGCTACTGATTTGAATATATGAGGATATGTTGTGAATTCAATATTATAAGGTTACTTTTATTATAAAATAGTTGGAATAGACGGTAGTTTCAAGGCCAATTTAGCATGCATCTCAATTTTTACTGCAGCATAAATAATGTCACTTGCAATTCCGATGTGTACCAGTGGCGTGTTCTAGGGAGATAGGAAACGTTCATACAAGATTCGATAGAATTATTTCGATCACAAGGTGACTTGTTTTCTCTGTACCAATAAAGTGTCAAAGAGACGTATCTCGGCCTTCATTGGTTGCATCTCTGTTACATGGCTTTTATTTTCTCTGGTAAATTATTCAAGCAACAAACATTCTGTTGTGTCAGTCGCAACGTCAGTAAAAATTATATGTTCTTCCAGTATATGCGATTTTAATTATTGGCAAATGGAGCGCGGTATGGAGATGCCTCTTATTGTACTACAATAATCAATACAGAGGCCGAAAGAGCAGCTTTGTTCCTGCGCACATGGTGCCTTTTTTACCGAGATACTTTGGGATCGTTCACTCAAAACAAAGCATTCAAAAGACCGTCAAAAAATCAGCGCTTTCCGGTTCTGAAAATAACTCAAATCTCAAGTCGATCGCATACATGAAATGTTTGTATTAATTATTGCTTCAACAATTATCTTTTTATGTACGAGTATTGTAGTAGTTGATCGTTCTTTAAAGGCCCAAAATTCGCAATTTTCGCATTTTTGTCCAAAATACTTTTTCGTACATTTGACTTAATATTCTTATATCCTCACGTGATCGCAACACACTGAGATACAAAAAACATACAGGGTGGCGCATCGACAACGAAACAGACGCATTTACTGGCAGCTCAGTTTTTTTTGGAAACACGCTCAGACCCGTCGAGTTTGTTTTCGAGGGGGACACAAGTTTGGCAAAAAATCACGTTAACACGTGCAGCCCCCTAGGCGGGGATGACACCAACCCTAAAATCTTAAATGGAAAGGGGGGTCGAGTGATACCTTACTTTAAAGGTCTTTCAATTCCCTTTATAATGATATAAAATTAATGTGCTTCAGTTCAGTAGTTTTGCAGATTTATTGATTTAAAGCTTAAAGTAGATACTGGTGCACTCTGGACACCCCCCACCACTTCCACTTTTTGGCCACGCCCACCACATCCACCGCGTGCTCTGATTGGCGGATCAAACGGCGGGAAATTTGAACGGGGTTGATGCTATATGTTGATTGGCGGGAACCGCTAGATCCACCGCGTGCTCTGATTGGTGGATCAGACGGCGGGAAGTTTGAACGGGTTGATGGTATATGTTGATTGGCGGGCCCCGTTAGATGGCGCACCCGACCGGAAGTGATTCAGGCAGCCGACGATAGTAAGGTGTAGTATAACGTCTATGCGTAAGCGATGTAACTCATTTCATGTTCTGCGGTAAATATTTGCATATAGATCGATAAAAGCCCATGAATAATGGTATTTATAGATGCAATTAGTAGATACTGGTGCACTCTGGACACCCCCCACCACTTCCACTTTTTGGCCACGCCCACCACATCCACCGCGTGCTCTGATTGGCGGATCAAACGGCGGGAAATTTGAATTTTCTGAAGATATGACTGAACGAATTATAAACGATGAACATTTTCTATTCAACACTTGCTTTTCCGACGAATTTTCCTTTTTCTTAAATGGCGTAGTAAATCGTCATAACTGCCGATATTGGTCCGATTCTAATCCCAGAATTTATCATGAGGTTCATACACAGCAGCCACAAAAATTAAATGTTTGGGCTGGTATTTTTGGCGATCATTTAGTTGTTCCTTTTTTCTTACCCGGAAATTTGACCGGTGAAATATATTTGTAATTACTGGAAGACGCCATAGATCCTGCATTAACAGCCATAATTGAAAATCAGAATGATCGGCGATACATTGCGAATAGGTTGATGTTCCAACAGGATGGTGCCCCACCACATTACGCATTACGTGTTCGACAATATTTACGTCAGACGTTTCCAGATCGATGGATTTGTAGAAGAGGTGCCATTGAATGGCCCCCAAGATCGCCAGATTTATCACCTTTTTATTTCTTTATATGGGATCATTTAAAAAGCAAAATCTATGCTACTCAGCCAACATCATTAGAAGACCTGCGACAAAGAATGGTGGCCATTTTCAACATTTACTTGCCTAACGGGTCAGTTCATTCTTCATTTTTAAATTACTTTGCTGCCAAATGTATTGATCTCCACTAATGATGATGTATTAGTTTTATTTAAACTTTAAATCAATAAATCTTCAAAACTACTGAACTGAAGTACATTAATTTTATATCATTATAAAGGGAATTGAAAGACCTTTAAAATAAGGTATCACTCGACCCCCCTTTCCTATTAAGATTTTGGGGGTGGTGTCACCCCCGCTTAGGGGGCTGCACGTGCTAACGTGATTTTTTGTCAAACTTGTGTCACCCTCGAAAACAAAATCGACAGGTCTGAGCGTTTTTCCAAAAAAAAAAATGAGCTGCCAATAAATGCGTCTGTTTCGTTTTCGATGCGCCACCCTGTATATAAAAATAAAAGTTCATTTCTGATTATACTTTTGTATTCATTTGTTTCAACTTTTGTTTTTATTGTGAGCGCAGTGGCGTAACATTTTCATTTCGCTCTATATAATGTCTTGTGCATTTTGTTTTATTATAGATTTTAAGTAGGAAGTGTTGCGACCTTGCGCTCATATCAAAATATTAAGTATAATATCCGAAAATGGGCGAATTTCTTAAGAAAATGACAAATTGCTAAATTTGGGGTTTTAAAGTACATTCAAGCACTAAAATAAAAAGACAAATGCTGATGAAAGTTTAAAATACGTATACAGAATTCAAAGGGGACAGGTCAGGCTTACATGTCTATATCTAGTCAAAAAATTTGATGCAGAATTGCTAGGTGTTTAAAGCTGCGGGAGAAAACAATTTTTATGTGGGGATGTTTTGATGAGTAAAAAACATACGCTACTCCAAAAAAACGGGTACTCTATTACGAAAACGGGTACTTTTTTAATATCATGCTCCTCAAGCGAAAACCAGGAGTGTACACGCTCCTCTCTCCCCGCTCCTCCCCAATGGACGCCCATGGGATCGGAAAACCTTATAGACCCTGATTCATTGAGATAAAAAAATAACATAAATTGATCGATACCCATATCATTGTGTTAGAAATATGCTCAAGCAGCGGAAATATGGCGTATTTATTTTATATATCTATCATGCTTACGAAATATATTAAACAATTATTATCTATCAAAGGTCTATTGTACTCGTGTTATTGAGACATTCAAGTTCCACAGAAAATAATACTGAAGGTTCACTAGAATTCCAACTGTTTTCCAGATAATTCTATAGTAAATGTGTTTAAACCAACGAATTTGAATAGATTAGAAGGAATCAAACGTCTATGTTTACATTCTGCTGTTTTTTAAATTGCATACTTTTGACATCTATCTTCATTAGGCTTTGTGCTATTCTTTACAAATTATGTAAAAAGTACCATGAATTTAAATCGTCTAACAGCGCAATTATCTTAAAGCACTCGCACTTTAGAAAAAAATAACACTAAATTTTTAGTGATTTGATGACATCACTGTCAAAAAATTTACCTAGGTCAAGTGCATTTTGATCCTCAGACTATGAGAATAAGGAGACAAACAAATTCTTGACTGGCCCTGTCTACCTGGTTTGGATTCCTAACAGACCAAACAGTTTTAGAAAACCCTGTGTATCTGTGATCTGCACAAAAACTTGTTTCCTGTCACCTGTGAAATAAATATTCGGGACCATTCCATATTAAATTCGGCCCAGTTGGACTATTAAATTTGTGTTCAGCGCCCCAAATTACATAGGTATGTGTACACAGTTTCATTTGCTTATTACAATGGAAGACGAAAACAAAAATTTTGCTCTCTCGAAGGTCGCATGTATGGCCTTGAAGTATTTACATAGTGTCATTATTTTCAATAAAACGGTATACGAGATACACATTTCAGTAATGTTAAGCTAGACTCATTATGTTTATTTTTGTGAATCCGTCAGCAGCCAATTCCAACAAGTTATTGTTCTTCGTCCGCATGGAATGTATATTAATGTTAAATGGTTATCTAATCAGCAGCACCCTCCATGAGTACCTCAACCAAGCCCTTTGCGTAACCATAGGGGTACCACGCTTGGGTCTAATATCACCTGCTGTGTGAAAGTTTATTGAACGTATTAAAAAAATCCACTTATAAATAGGGAACACAATTTTGATACATACATTGTTTTTCTGTTTAAAACCCACATTGCACATTTTTTTTATAGAAGTTGTTCAAAATGTCGCCCTCCACTTTCCACACAAGCTTCATTACGACGAACCCAGTTTCTTCTTACTCCAGGTCCTCGAAGTTGTTCATTTATTATTTCTACAAATTTTGGCTTAACTTAGAAAAACTTAATGTCATTTATTTGTTAATTACCCAATTTAAAATCGTTTTAGATTAGATTATAAAAATTAGTAAGATTGTGGTCGATATAAATAACCCACCTATTACCAATTTCAATAATGACCATAACGTTTACACCTTGTATTGTTGTTTCTGCAGAAAATGTCCAACGTACGTGTTCACATTCGCCTTCCTGTACCTGTGCTTCTTCCGAATCAGCGAATACTTCGGTATTCCATATGGATCTGGTCACACCAATTTAGTATTAATGATGGTGACCCTGAAGACAATCGGAATCGCGTTTGAAAAAAGCAAATCCGATCAGCTCAAGCACAAAAAAGATAGTGATGAGAATAGGTCTGAAGATGAGAAGTTGGAGGACGAGAGGTGTATGATAGATGATTTGAACGTTTTCGACGTGCTGTGCTACGTATTCTGCTATTGTGGAGTGCTAACAGGTAAGTTGTACAGGTTGCAACAGTAGATTACGGAGTCGAGAAAATAAACATCCTCATTGTAAAGTTATACAGCGTGACACAAAAGTCCCGGAACGGCTCTGTATTTTTGCTAATGATCACAGTCAGGTCTTCAGTATCTTTCAGCAAGGAATTCATATGTGACCTTGAATTTGACTTTCAAGGTTAATTCTTGGTCAACTTTATTTTTTTCAAATAGAAACCCCCGTCAATCGAAAGAGCGGGACATTTTGCATTCAAATATGTATCAAAATTCAATGTCAAAATCACCGCTGGAGGTCAAATAGGTTCAATGAAGGTCAAATATGTTCTGCTAGGAAAACCTTGCAGAGATCGTGACGAAAACAACTGGTAAGGTCAGTTTTCAGTAAATTTACACAAGTAGCGTTGATCTTGGATTCGACCTTGAGTCTCACCTCAAAGGTCATTTCAAGGTCACCTCTATTTTTCCAAATAGAATCGCCTATTTGATGCCAATCCAGAGATTTTACGTTCAAATGTGTATTAGAATTCAAGGTTAAAGTGGACACTGGAGGTCACATAAAGACAAATGTGTGCTGCCACGAAAACTGCTAGAAATCTCACTCGAGTAGTGACGAAAATTACTGGCAAGATCAGATCTCTGGGTAAGCTTTAACGAAAGCACTACAGTGCTCGTTACAAGTGATTTTTAACCGATACTGTTCCTGTAGGGTTCTGATTGAAAAAAATGATCTTGAAGGTCCAAAATCCAAGGTCACTCGTCAAAATTTACTACAGATATAACCTTGATAGTTATTTTTACCACTAATGCTGTTTTCCTAGCAGCACACACTTGATCTTCATTTGACCTTTAGTTGCCATCCTGACCTTGGACTTTAATTGTGTTTGAACGTACAATGTTCTGTTATTTTGACTGCCGGAATCAAGAATAACGGTTTCTTTTTGGAAAAATAACGTTACTGAGGATCTGAACTTGATCTTTTACAAAAATACCTTAGCCGAGAAAATACAGAGCCATTCCGGGACTCTTGTGTCGCGCTGTATAGAATGTGCCGAAAACTGAATGAGTTATCTACGAAGACCTATATGGATTTTTATTATGTCTTATTAAGTATGTGAATCGTTATGAACTACTTTCGCATTAATTTACCGTAGTTGCTATTAAATCTTTTTTTTTCGTATACCACGCGGGCCATGAAGGAATTAGGGAAGACTACAAACCTTGTTTGTGCATGTTTCTCAACGTTGGCAACTGCATTAGCGCTACCAAACTGATCCGTAATCAACTTGTATTTTGTAGGGCCCTACTTCAGGTATAGAACATATTTAGACCATTTATACAAGCCTTATCATAAATACGATAATTTCAAGGAAGAACTGAAGAAAAAGGTATCGTGGCTCCCAATACTGATGGGCATACATGTATTCACCACTTATTATTGGCCTATAGATGTAAGTGGAACAGAACCATTAAAAAATAGATGTTTTGGAATTATTATTTTTAATTAACATTGAATTTTGATTTTTTTTTCAGTACGTCAACACAGAGGAGTTTCTCAACAGCTCGTTCTTCTATCGTTACTGGTACATATGGCCTACGTTCTTGATATTTCGGTCTAGAATCTATGCTGGGTTGATACTAACTGAAATAGTATGTATTTTTGCTGGACTAGGAGTATATCCTGCTTTCACAGAGCCAAAAGCTGGACATGGACCTACAAAGAATTTGAAAAGACTGAAAGAATTGTAAGTGATAGCAAAATTTTATTATAGTCTTTAAGCCCTAATCCATGATAACTAACTTTTTATACTCGGGTGTTTTCGGTACCAAATTGTACTTCACACAATGATTTCAGTATAATTAAATGTGATTTTCTACAGAACTCATGGAGAGTTGGAAAACATAGATTACGATTATGAAACAATACATTGCATAGATGTTCTTGGATCCGATTTGGCACCAACCTCGAGAGAAGCGATGAAAAAATGGAATATTACTGTGCAATACTGGCTAGCAGCTTACGTCTACAAGCAGTTCCCCTTAAAACAATACAGGTATTTTTGCATTACTACAGTATATTCAGATAAGAGATAGACCGGACATAAACAAGACCACGTGATCATCGAAGGCTGTAACATTCGGCAGGGACGTATTAAGAGTCACGCAGTACATATTTTAGATAGTAGATGCTGCTTTGCGTAACTTTGTAGTAAATTAGCACAATTCGATGTGTATACGATTGGTGATGTATATAGGATCATGTAGGGGTGGGGTAAGAAATATATAATGATGTAAATATACATAAGGGTTTCAAAATTTTCGCTTCGATTTCCAGCTTCGGATGCCGTCTGATGTTTGATGAAATACAGTCGAATATAATCTCAAAATGGCGTTTAAATTAGCCTAAATTAAAAATAATCGTATATCTCTTAAAATTGCTTTTAGAATATTGATTAGTATATTTTTTGATTTCTAGGTAAATATGTAACCAAATCAAAACGTTCAAAACGTAAAAAAATGTGCATGGTTGAACATTGTCAGAAAGTAGATTCTTGAATAGGTTTTGCCAAAATGGGTTCAAAAATGTCAATAATTAATTAAAAAATACAGTAGCTTTATAATTACTTATAACTTACCGAATTTGATGAACGACATCTTTTATTGGAAAGATGAGCTTGATGAGCTTTCATCATCGCTACTGCCTGAAGCACCAACGTCAATAATGAATGGCTCGACTTGTTCCTCTAAAATATTGTCCAGTTCCCACATTCTCTTTTCAACTTTGTCTTTCACGTGCTTAATACAGTTTTCCCATTTTTGCGCTGTTATTAATTCTAGTGCTTCTTTGAAAAGTCCTTTGAGGTCACAAAATTTAAAAGTTGTATTGTGCTTAGCTATATAATTTTTAACCTCTGCCCATATGAGCTCAATGGGATTGAGCTCGCAATGGTATGGAGGTAAACGGAGCACAGTTTTATTTTGACTTGCTGCCATTTCGTCAATGGCGTATTTTTGATATTCCGCCTTGTGATCCTTGACAATTCTTAATAATTGTACTTTCAGCATTGCTTCTTCAAAGTTGATATTTTTCGAGCGGAGCCAATTTTGAACATCAACTTTCCTTGAAGCCGTTGTTGGGACCTTCTCCATTCATCGAGAATGATAAGGCGCATTATCCAACACAATTACTGCGTTTTCCTCTAAGTTCGGTAAAATTTTTGAAAACCACTGTTCAAACGATTCGCCATTCATTTCCTCGTGGTAATCTCCAGTTTTCTTAGACTCAAAGCACCACAGACCGTCAACAACAAATCCATCCTCACTGCCAATATGGCAGATAATGAGCCTTTTCCCTTTATCTGCAAATCGAAGTACTAACTGGTGTAGATTTATTTCAATAAGCGAACCTTTTTCAAATGTTTTCATCACATTCAGCGAAAAAACATTGAGACATGAGTATCAGATTGCTATAATTGGGATTATTTAGTCATACTGAAAGAAAGAATATTGAACGTCGTATGATTACTCAGCGCTTCACAATTTAATTTAAAGTTATAAACCTCTAAAAAATGAATGATCAGGAACCTGAAATACGCGCAAATATTAATATTAACAAATTATAACTTTATAAAGCTTAAAGTATGAATTAAAATGATTAGAAATATTAGGAACGGTACACAATATAAAACTTAGTATTTTTTTTTAAGTTTATAATATTCGACATATTTTAAGATTATATTAAAAAATTATTGAAATATCGAAAACACATAAAAACATGGCTTAAAAAAGTTCTAACAAATGAAAATGACAATAAAACATCCACGCATTTTATCGAAAGTTATAAAAGTTTTGTTACTTGTAATATGTGTTATCTGCCCCCTGGCATTAATGTTTAGAACCTTGTTCCCAAGGTTTGAAAAACATCCGATTGTTGTCTATTACTCGTATTTACCTGCTGGATTTTTTAATCCGGTGGACAGTCCATCTAGAAAGGCCCTCCTGGATGAAGTTACAGAATCATCAACCCATACTTTACTTGTAGTGTGTCCTGCGTTTACCCATAAGGTAATAAATCTTCCTGTTTTGATTTCTATATTTCCTAATTTTTGTTAAATAATCCCTCCATAGCACAATTTCTTCTCTATCCAGTAGTAAACTATTACGACCCCGTTTTTTCCATTTGAAATTTAAATGCTTCAGTAACGCATGGAAAGTTAATCGTTTGAAATTTGGCAACGTTGTATCTCCATTTACCTCCTGCAGTACTTTATCTATAGTAGGTATTTCATTCCTAAAGAAGAATTCGTGCACTTTCCTCCTAATCGCATGCTTATCAGCTTCATCCAATGATTTAACAATACTTTTGCGATGTTTACTGGTCATTGGCTCAGAAAAGGTGTGATTTTTTTTGTATTGTCTTAACACATTAAACACTGATGCGCGACACACCCCAACTTTGTGAGAAACCTTCACAACAATTTCTTTGATGGTTGATGCCTCGTTCTCCTCGCGCTCGATCTTATATATATTCAAAATGACCTCTTTCATTTCTGCACTCAGGTGTCTTTTTTTAGAGCGTTTCCTAGGTGGACTACAGGAGTTTACAACTTCATCGGCAGTATCTGTACTACTGGGCATTTTGCGCAGGCAGTTGATAACAATAACAATCAATAACAAGGTATAACAATAACAACGACAAACTCAACAACTTAATAAGATAACAAACGAAAACGTCCAAAGAAATATCAAATTGCAATGATGCACACGACATACGTAACATGTCTGAACCTGAATGTGACTCTGCCTTGATACGACTGCTCTGCCGCTCGGCATAGGCATTTAATTGCGAATTGACCAATGAGGGCTCCTGTTTTACGTCGAGACGGCGGCGTTAGCGTGAAAATCACCCGAACCTTTTGTTTACATCCGGTCTATCTCTTATCTGAATATACTTTACTTGTATACATCTTACATTTCTCTTTATAAGTTTTAAACGCAAATGTGGAATGTGAAAAGGACAGCTTCGAAGTTTGTGGGAATACATTGTTTTATAAATTATTTTTCGTAGGACTGCTGCAACGATGTTAACTTCAGCGATTTGGCATGGAGTATATACAGGGTACTATTTGTGTATTGGAACTGTGCCAATTACACTAATGTTCTTCGAAGACCTTTGGGTGAAGATATTAATAAAGGGCAAAGAAGGAATGGTGAGTAATCATTTGAGTCTAACGTCATAGCAAACATGAGTGAGTTGATCTTCTTCTGTGACTCATTGGCCTAGTGTCATGGGTGCCTGCAGGATTTTTTTTCAGGAGGGCCAACAGCGGCAAGAGATGACTTTTTGTGTCCCGAAAATCTACAAGATTTTTATGATCCAACTGTATTCTTGGGGAGGGCCACGGGGCCTCCCTGGCACCCCCCCTGTGGGCGCCCATGTCTATCGTTGTTCTAGCACGAATGAAAGTAAAAACATCGAAAAATCTAGACGTGTTATTACTGGGAGTTTGCTTTACATTTTTAGCGCCCCAAATTACCTGAATATATAGCCATCGATAAAGAAAATTGATGTTTAACACCCTGAAGTCACAAATGTCGTAGTTTTGCATTTTCACTAAATAATGGACTGTACATGAAAAACGGGATCAGATACATGTGAAATGAGTTCGGACTCGGTTTTAACGACCAAAAATACGTAAACAGCTATCCTTTGAACCGGATTTAAAGCCTAAAAATGGGTCAGTCTGGATGTGACTCTGACCATTCTTATAATACGCTTTTTGGGCCGCTCAAACTGAATGCGGAAACGAGATACAAGCAAGAATTATATACATACTAAGTGACATATAAATCCGAACACCCAGTTTAAATGGTTTTATTTTAATAAAATTTTGTATAAGTACTTAATAAAGCATAATAAGTAAATGATAAAAATTTCAAAATGATTGCACTGCTTTAAAGCCCTTTGACCTTTAATAATGTGTGGATGCACCCTGATGTGCTACGCATTCTCCAACGCGCCTAGGCATGCTTCTGATCAGGTGGTCAATGTCCTCCTGTGGTATCTCATTCCAGGCAACCACCAACGCCTCTCGAAGTGCTTCTAGAGTCTGAGGAGGACGTTGCAAATTGAGCAATCTCCTACCCATCATATCCCACACGTGCTCAATTGGGGATAAGTCGGGAGATCTTGGTGGCCATGGTAACAATGTGACAACATTATGTTGAAAGAAGTCTATTGTGACTCTTGCAACATGTGGTCGGGCATTACCTTGTTGGAAAGTTGGATCTGCCAGGGTGTTAAGATAGGGTAAAAGATGGGGTTCTAGAACTTCGTGGATATAACGCTGCGCGTTCATGTTACCTCTGATGAAGATTAAAGGTGACCTGGAACCATAAGCTATAGCACCCCAAACCATAACTCCAACAGTGTGATGAACATGTCTTTCAACAAAAAACTGTGGATTCCTCCTTTCACCACGTCGCCTTCTAACCCTAGCACGACCATCGTGCATGCCTAAACAAAATCGAGACTCGTCACTAAAAACAATACTGTTCCATTCCTGATCCCAGAGTGACCGTTGTCTGCACCACTCGAGGCGATTACGTCGGTGTTCTCGAGTTAAAAGGAGGACCCAGTGTGGCCGGTATGAAAACAAGCCAAAACTTCTCATTCGTCGGTAAACACTTCGCATGCCAATAGGTCTTCCGTGTTCTGCAAACCATTCATTTGCAATGGATCTGGTGGTGGAGAAACGGTCCCTTGAGGCCAATAATCTTAGGCGGCGATCTTCACGGTATGTTGTTCTACGGCGGCGTCCAGTGCCCCTTGCTCTTTGCGTCCGGCCTTCTCGAAGCCATGCCTGACAACACCTAACCACAGTGTCTACACTTCTTTGCACTCTAACTGCAATTGCCCGAAAAGAAAGTCCAGCTTCCCGAAGTCCCACTATACGGCCCCTATCAAACTCACTAAGTTGACGAAATCGTACAGGTCTCCGTACTCTAGGCATCGTAACCGATCGTAAAGGATGTCAAGAACCAAAATCCGCCAACGTTGATTCTTTACTGCGGCTGAAATATTCATTTTTAGAGTGTTAGTGAATTAAAAAAAGCAGTTTAAAAACCGGAATGTCCAACTGATAAGGCTGAAAATTTTTTCACTTGTTATTTACAGTAAGATAGATACATTCACCAACTTTTATTAAAATAAAACCATTTAAACTGGGTGTTCGGATTTATATGTCACTTAGTATACTTATCAAAAAAACTACTACTACTTTGATGTCAATTTAGTGCTAGGATTCACCTGTGGCCCCGGATAATTATTTTTTGTTTCAATGTTTCGCCTCTAAATCTCATCTAACTAACTTTTATTGTTTGGAAAACTGTTAAACGATTCAAATTTTATTTTAGGAGTTGACAATAGGAAGGATGATAATGCTGTTCTTGAAAACGCAACTCTTCTCGTATCAAATCATGTCGTTCGTGCTGCTGGAACTACCGAAGATCTTCCATTACTACAATTGCGTCTATCACTGTGTCGTGATTTTCCATACCATAATGTATTTTGTTGGAATGCGTATGTTGAAACAAAAAAAGCTCAAAGAAAATGCTGAGAAAGTACAATGAGATACTTAGATTTAGTTGCGGTAGCTATTAATATGTTATTAGTTTTTAATTTTTTATAATAAAGTGTTAAATAATAAGGCGCATAGCGTGTTTCTATAACTACGAACATAAGTGACGCGAAGTGTCGATTTTCTACGGAGTGATCCGGGCTTAAATGGACAGTATGCATCTAAGTTTTTTCATATGTGTAAATAAAAAAGTTCTAAATTCATCATCAAATATTTCACAGATCTCAGGCACTAGTAGATCGGTTTTGATGAAATTTTGCGCAGTAACAATGTTACGTAAAAGTAACGAAATTTAGTTGAACGGTTGAAAAATCCAGGGCTGGACTCAATTTTTCTTTACTTTTTTTTATTCTAACAAAATCAACTCATTTTAAGCTGAATATTGAAATATTTGACTATGCAAAAAAACATCCAATGAATGATGCTTATTAATTATTTTTTGGTATTTTCATCAAAAACATTTATACACTCAAATATCTTATTTTTGTCAGTTTATGTGACACAAAAATCAAAATATTAAACGCTAACAACCTGATCCCACTAATATTTTACACAGAAGTTTGTTAGTTCCAGAGCCGGATTTATTTTTTTATATCTTTGTAATCTATTAAGTGCAACACCCTGTAAATTATATTCTGAATTTATTGTTTCGCAGAAAAACGAGCAATAAATTATATAAATAAAATGCATAATTAATGTTTACACCCGATTCAATTTTGTCGACATTTTTTTTTAATTTTAATTTAGTTGATGTACAACATGAGTTCTGCTTTAAATGGGAACGGTATGAAAATATAGAAAAACTCAAAATACACGTACGGTCTCATTTTCAGCAGTTACATTTTAACATGCTCTCACCAAAATCTCACATTCTATTAAGTTACATAATGGACCCATAGGTACATCACACAAAAAGTGCCAATTCTGGACTTGTTTACTACTTCTTTGTGGATCTTTTGCACTTCAAAAAATACGAATAATCTGAATCCGGCGCTGATGAAATCAAACCGATATAAATAAGATGTATTTGAATAAACAAAAAAAATTAAGAGATATGAATCAATTAACTTCGGTAATTGATAAGCATTATTCTTTGGTATTTCTGTGCATAGTCAAATATTTAATTATTCACCTTAAAATGTTGATTTTGATGACATACAAAAAGGTAAAAAAATGAGCCCGATCCTGGATTTGTAACAGTCTGAATAGATTTACGTTACTTCTAGGGAAATTTAATGTTGTTTAGTATCCCTCAAAATCGATTCAATAGTGCCTGATATATCCTTTTTTATTTTCAGATATGAAAAGATCATGGTCCACACGACCTACCAAACCAATAAGTTATTAGTATATTATTGTTCAAGGTATTAACTTTAAAATAGGTAATAATTTTCGCTCATTCTCGATACCTTCTTTTTTCAATATGTAGTGCGGCGGTGCCCCGGTATTCAGGCTTCTCCTGCCTCTGTATAAAAAAGCCCAGAAAAAACATTGGAATATAGGTACGTTTAATAGGCAAAACATTGACACTTCGTCTAAACATAAGTTTCGAAAATACCCCATTGCCAGAAAAAGGATTTGTGGAATGGGACATGGTGGAGAGGTAAGCTAAAAATTAAAGATCGGCCGATTGCCGTGAAATATTTATATTTATGAAAATATCCTACAAAAAACCTCAAAACTCATCTACAAATCATATTTTTACAATGACATAATCAAATAACGGATACCGCCAGTAAAAAAAATGAACTGAAAAGCGTGTAGAGATGCGCACTATGGAAACATTAGATACACACCCGAAAGTATCCGTTACTCTTTTTAAAATAACACCTCACTATATATTATATGATTTAAATTAACAGCTATTTTTTTGTAAAAGTGTATACGTCTACATTATCTGATAAAAGGCATTCAGTTATTTGTTGTCTCTATATATAATATATATTTATATAAATATAATAAAACGGAGCTTTCCTATTTTTCATATATTTCCGCGTCGAAAATACAAAGTCGGTCAAAGTAACTTGTTGCCATTTTTTGCAGACGTTTGTACTGGTTCACTCACGATTTCATAAAACCGAGTTCGTAGGGCGGGAACATTTACTTTTGAAGTATGCGAATACATGAACTACGCGATAAAAATCAAGGCATCACTAAAGGATGTTCAAGTTACATGGTTTTCGAGTCCAAACATCATGAAAAATGGATTTACAAGATAGAATAGGGCTGCCTACCCACAGCTTCTCACAAATGGGTGGTTCCAGCTTGCATAATTTTGACTTATGTCAAACTGTCAAAACCAAAAATAAAGTATCTGGAAACACCAAGAATGTGCTGCCTTGATTTGTTGTTCAATTTACAAGACCCATGGTTAACAAATGGTGCTCACCTACTGAAATTAAAAATACTCTCAAATATTTACAAGATGCGATGAAAATGTCACTTCAAATGCAAACATCCTGTCGGTTAGTACAATACATCGTTAGATTTGCGGGGGGGAAAAATTGAAGAAAAAAAAAATAATTGGAATGTAATATATAAACGAATGCCTGTAATGTCGGGGGATACACATGAAAAAGGAGAATGAAATAAATTACTTAAGCTATCCTAAAAAACAATGGTAATTGAACGATGTAAATTAGAGAACAGTATCAAAAATTATAAGTAAATATAAATTAAACAACAATTGACAAAACTCGGGATCTTTTTCCACTTGTAAGTAACGATGAATGTAGTTGTCAAAATTGGTTTATTTTTCCGAAAACTCCCACACTTCGCTTCCATATTTAAACGAAAACTTAACATGAAAAAGAAATAAAAAAAATTAAAAAAAAAACAGACGTGTATTAAATCTGATCCTAGACGAACATGTTTTAGCAGCATTTAAAGGCTGCTAATGATCATGCGTCTATTTCAAGTCAGGTATTCCTACCTAAAACAAGGTAAACAGTTTTTGTGTTTTGACGATGTATATAAACAGCTCCAAATACGGTCCTGAGTTTTACCCGATTTATGCCTGATTCATTATTGACTACAGATTTTAATACAAGGATGTCACTTGGTGATAAGTTGTTTACCTCACTCCTCAGTAGACGTCAAAACGTAATGCATTTATCAACTGCAAATATTTTTTAGGTTAGGTTCAGAAACACGTTGGGTTGAAAAAAACAAAAATTGGAAGTCAAAGTGTGGATAGGCTCTATCAATTCAATGTAGAAAAGACTAGATAACTAAAATGCTATTGTTTCCTATTTTCAATTGTTCAAACAAATATTCACATTGAGCAGTCGAATATTCGGGACGTCTTTCCGCTGGATTTTTCCTGACATTTTAAAATCCTAGATGCATGTCAAAAAGTACCATCAATAATAATGTAAGCCATTTAGCTATGTACAAAATAGGGAGAGAAGTCTTCACATACCTTCAATCGACCAAGTGGCAGTTGAAAACGGAATATTTTTTGACAGACCAGCTATTTTCAAATTACTATTTAGGGTCGTTCCTTCAATTGAACGACGCCTTTATGGCCTCCTTGATTTTCATAGTTTTCTACTGTTCCGTCTCAGCGATCCATTTTGAGGTTATGTTACAAATATCTATTTGCATGAAATTGTTCATGCTTTTGATTCACTTAGTCTTTTCTCTCCTTCAGAAAGGCTGGGGTATTTCTAGATTTCTACTGTTCCGTCTCAGCATCTCTCCTAGTTATGTTTTATTTTTGAATTGTAGGGAAATTTCAGGCTGATAACACAGACACAAATCAAAAGCATGGAGAATTTAAAGCAAATAGATATTTGTTACATAACCTCAAAACAGATCGCCTTTCTGAAGAACTATGAAAATCATGGGGCTACAAAGGCGTCCTACAATTGTAGAAACGATTGACTCATACTTTTTGGAGAAGAAAAATTAAATCACACTTTGCAAATGCGTACAATGGGAAAATTCTTTAAAGAATAAGATGATCCTGTACGATTATGATATATTGCGAAAATATAAATATGGTTAATTTGTCAAGCTGAGATGGCAATAATACAATGAAAATTAAGTAGCTTTTAAGTCACTGTTATTTTTTTCATTTTGAAAAAATAGTAATTTTTAAAGTAGCTCCTGAAACGTACCTGGTGGTTTTCATGTTAACAGGACTCCATTGTCCGATCGAATCAAACCACATGTTGAAATTTCTGTTTCCTTATCATTGTATTTTAAAAAATGACGTCAGGTAGGTTGACTTTGCACTTTCCACGCAACGGAATTATCAGTTCATAAAGGATTGTGTTTAGCACAAACTAGAAAAAAGGTAGATCAAGCAGGTCCCTGCCCTGCCCCCTAGTCGATTTAGCAACGTCGCCTCTCCGCCACTCCCCCCTGTCGTTGCCAGGCAACGTTGTGTCAACGCTTATATAGCGCAGTCTCTCCAACGCTTCTCTCACTCATACAAATGGAAATCTAAAAGGAAAAACAACTTTGGCCAGCGCGGTATGTGATTTGATTCGGACAGATAATGGTGTCCCAATGATCATTTTAACCTTGATCTTCATACATTTTCTAAATAAAGTTTTTTTCCTCAGATTTGTACTTATTCTCGTTCGATGAGTCTCGATTTGCAGAGGTATTTCACCATTCTTTAAAGATGTTTCCGCCTATTCAATTTTGTCCAAGCTGACTACCAATGGGTGATTAAGAAAAATCCCAAAAAGTGAAAAACTTTTAATGGACAAAATCAAACAAAAAATATTTATATTGTGCTTGGTAATGCTTTAGCTACAAGGATTGTATAATAAGGAAAATATGGTATAAGCATCACGCTACAAATATGAGTAAATAAATGTAGGGCCTCTGGATCCATGTTCTGGGCATTTTTTAAATAGCTCAGCAATTTTACTACACAAGAACTATTCGTTTGCTCTTTCAGGCTCCTTTAGTGTCCCATCTGACGGCTCTAAAGTGAAAACAACCGGATTCGTAATGTATTTCCAATCGCTTTCTAGTAGCGCCACGCCGTCTCGTGGGCACATACCACCATACCACCGTGCGAGGTCAGTAACCTTTATACGATTTTTTAGATGAGCGCATCCCGAACAGCGAGTATATTAAGTAAACAAGTTGATGTTTACTAACCATACTCGATTATCCCAGAAATAGTATACAGTTCAGCATTTTGTGAAGATGGTACCCTAGTTGAAGGAAAAATATTGGCTAACACAATAGCCATAAAATAAAATTATACATTCTTTGAAAAACACAACCTTAATAGCTAAAGCGTCCAAAAACACGTCACATGCGCGCATATCCTTAACCTCATACAATCCAGAATAAAAAAAATAAAAGACGAAAGTAAGTTAGGGAGAGTGGAGTGTTAGGGATGTTGTGTCAGGTTTGGGGAGGAATTAAAGGTAGTTACGGATTCGTCACTTGGTGAGCGCCGCAGCGGGTTCCTCCCTGATCTTTTTGGCGGGTTGGGGGGCTTCTGAGGCGGCCCCCGTCGAGTCTTCGTCCAACGGCCGTTTGCCGCTCGTGTATTCGCCCAAGCTATTGGAATCTTCGGATACGATTGAGTCCTGCAAAAAAAGACAAAAAAATATATCCAAGTGGAAATGAGGCGTTTTAAAATTTTTCATTCCAAAGCAGTGACGTAGCTACCTGGGGTGTCATCCATCACACCAACAAAAATGTCGTATTTTGGAGAAGCACAATGCAGGTAGGAATCTATATGTACAGCTTTAGTCTATCTAAAAAAATATGGTCACTTTCTATTAGTATATAGAATTAAAATCAAATCCTATTGACCAGCTCCGTTAGCGAGAAATACAGGGAATTTAAATGAGTTACCCTTCACCAAAAAATCTTCAGATACTCTTTTACGGCATACGGGCGAAAAATACGCAGATAAAGAATTGGATTTTGATTAAACCTTGATATAAGAATCTTACATTTACACAGAATAACTCATGAATTTGGAGACAAACTCATACTTGGCAACACTGTAAACCGTTGGCCATGGGAATCACCAGTTTACCTCACACGCAATCATCCATCAAAAGTCGTGTTCGAAAAGATTGGGACTGGTAAAGATTTCATGGAAGCCTCCTCTGAAACTCGTATATCCATAAAAACAGCTTGACACAGAAAAAATCCCGAATTTATCTAAGAACATCCACCTTGGCGATACTGCATGAAGCTAGCAACCACTGGAAAACATCTCCATTCATGTATCCTGCCAAAATCAAACAAATATGCTTTAAACCTACTTGGGTATTCTCTGAAATGGATGGAGCACCGGTATTTGACACTCAGGCCTCTCTGCTACAACATATCGATAGAGACAAAAATTCCTGAACTTAGGGACAACTATCAAACTCGGCAACACTGTAAACGAAATCTAGGGAATCTCCCATGCTCTAAGCTCAACCTGAAATGGAGATGATACAGTCATTTGTGTCCTCAAGACACGGCGCCCCTGAGACTGTTTTACCACTAGACACTTGTAAGACAAAAATTCTTGAATTTAGATGCGCCTCTAAATACCCAAAATCTCGTCAAAATACGAAGATTCTCTATTTAGGGAAAAACGCTCCACTTGGGAACACACCCGCCTTTTAAATCCAGGGAAAACTCTCATCGGCAACACTGTAGAAGCCTAACTCCGGGAAATCGCCGAACAACACTTGCTTCGTACATTTCCTGTCAAATTCAAACACCCACAGAGATAAATTTCTGGAATTTGGAGAAAACTATTAAACTTGGCAACACAGCGAATGAAATTTAGGGGATCCCCAAAACTCACCTTAGTATCCTCCGAAATGGACACGACGCAGTAATTTGTGTCCTTCTCAAGACGCGCTGCCCCTGAGGCTGTTTCAGCACTAAACACTAGTAAGACAAACATTCTCGAATTTAGGTACACCACTAAATACCCAAAATCTCATCCACATACGAAGATGCTCTATTTAGGGAAAACCGCCCAACTTGGCAACACCCTTGAATCTTGAATCGCCTTTCATTCATCATGTAACCAAGCCTATATTCAAACTAACTTTGGTGTCCGCTGAAATAAGTACAAACGACTAAAAATGTTTTCCAGTTTCTATCCTAGCCTTTCGATCACTAAAAGCCGCTCGACAGAAAATTCCTAAATTTAGGGAAAACCCTCCTTCTCGGCAACACTGTAGAAGCCTAACTCAACCTCATTCTTGCTTCATACATTTCCCGTCAAATTCAAACACCCACCGAGAAAAATTTCTTGAATTTGGAGAAACATATGAAACTTGGCAACGCAGCGAATGAAATTTAGGGATTCCCGAAACTCACCTTAGTATCCTCCGAAATGGACACGACGCTGTCATTTGTCTCCTCTCCTTCAACGGTGGCCTCTCCAATGCCTATAGAGGGCGGTCCGTCGTCTGTCGTGAATGACGTCGTCGTGTCTTCGTCGATGACAGCTGTCGCTGAGGTGACAGTGGCGCCGGTAGCAGCAGATTTCCCGTTCAACGGGGGGCCCTGATTGCTTTCGTCGGACGTCGTGGGGTCGGATGCCAACGCGTCCCCGTTGCTCAGAGGTTTCGTTATTGGGACGTTGCCGTTTTCGAGCGGCGTTCCTGCGAAGATACCTGAAAAGGACAGAGCGATGTAGAATTCCTGATTAACGTATTCAACGAGAGCTGGATAATGTAGGTCCAATGTTGTTTTTTTTCCACGGTGTTGTAATGTTGTATTTGCACTTTGAGCACGCTAGAAAATATTAAATATAATCAAACTTACTGGCTAAGAGTTCAGGTTTGTGTTCCTGCACAACATGATGCGTCCACAACGCGAGTTCCACCTTATGCGGCGACCACCTTTGCGCTTCGGGAGTTTTCGGTTTTTCGGCTACCTTCGCGGCCTCAGCGTCAGCCACCGCAGCGTCATCTGTCGCTGGTACTGCCGTTTCATCTACGCCCCCGTTCAATCGCTCCGCCTCCGAGTTCAGTCTCTCTGCCACGGCGACGATGTGCTGCGCGAACCTCAGGTACTCCTTGGTGGTGTAGTCGATGCCTTCGATATCTGGGATGGCCATCAGGCATTCGTCGGCCATGAATGGCGCGCTCTCAGGACATGCGGCTGCCAGCAGAGCTGCAAGAAAGGGATCAACTTATTGTAATGGGCATTTTATTATGATACATTTATTTCATTGTTAAATAGCCACAGACTATAACAAATCAAAGGTCAAAAAGAAATGCTAGCACAAAAACAAACACTCGAAAAATGGCGTCAAGTAGATTTACTCTATACTTCCTAAGCCTTCGTTGGAGGTTTCAACGAAAAGTGATGAGTCAAATCGTCCCAAAACGCTAAATCGAATCATGATTAGGTAGGACTAGGACAAACTATATAAAGCAGATCTATCATATTTCTGTTTCCATGACAGATGTAGGGGAAATATGTATGACTTATTATGTCTAACAGCTACATAGTATCACTGAGATCAGCAGCTTCTTAATAAAAGAAGTTCTTTCACCGACACCAAACATGTAACAATTTACGAACATCTTCTTTGTTATTGAAGTGGTTCAATTTAGTTTTATGCTCAAATATTGACAATTAATAAATGTAAATACAAGCTACTGTTAAAATTCTTAAGGATCACAAATAATTCCAGAAAGATTCACACCAATTAATATTTGCAATTATTCTAATAACATATTTCTGGATAAGAAAAATCTATCTATTGATGAGCTGTCGCAGTTTTCCTATACGTAACATTTAAAATCCTTCATTTACAGAAGAAATCTTCAGCTATGCCTTAAAGTGATCAGAAACTTCAAAATTAAGTGTTGGGTAAGTCTTCCAAAATTTTGTCCACAAAAAGTTAGGCTACGTTGTGAAACTGCTAGACAAATGTAAGATTTCCAAAATTCCAAATCTACCGAAGGCGAAAAGCTTCGTTTTTCGACGTGTTCAAATTTTTTTATTACTTTTAGGTTGTTGTGGAATGTTTGCGATATGTAAAATATATTGAATTCAAACAATTCTCGCAAACTTGAAATACTAAATAAATGTATATTGACCCGTAGAAAGAACCAAGTAACCCACTTGAGCTTTGTCTTTCAGTCTTCAGTGCTAAGCTTACACCTCCAGCGTTTTTTTACTGTAGTCTATTAATAATAAATGACAGGAAATTTCTCAATTTACTTCTTCAGAAAATAAGGTATTCTGTTAAATTATATGAAACCACATGATATTATAAGTTGCTGAAGGTGAAACATAACGATTCGTTTACTAATAAGAATATTAAATCAGCAAGTGAAGTGGAGCAATCGAGAATTTCCATTCAAATGATACCCATAGAAATGTTATGAAACCCCAGAGTATAAGGATTTTTCACTGAATACCATGGTCACTCAGTCAGTTCAGCTGAAGATAATTTACTCATCAATGAAATTATAATCGAAATGTTTCTTATTAATCACAACTCATGGGCGTCCACGGGGGGATGGTCCTCCCTGAGAACCCGGTTGTACAAAATTTGCATATTTGCATGATTTTCAGTACATGAAAAAATGTGCTACGCCGCCCTTCAAAGTACACTTTCACAAAAAGTTATCTCTCACCGACGATCGACTGTCCCTGAGAAAAATTCCTGCGGGCGTCCATGTAAAAAATTCAATCATTGATTGACCTATTCTAGGTACAAAAAAAATTATTTGAGATAAAATGAGACACCAAAGAGTCATCTATGAGAACTTATCAGAACTGTTTTTCTAATATCTATGTGTACTTTGGTAAGCTTTGAACATATATATAGTAAATAAAAAACAGATATAAATCTCATTTTATCTCGAAAAATGTTTTGGACGCGCCAATATAGCATTAGGTTGGCTATCTTTATGTAGAATACGTTAATCAAAGGTTCAATTTATTATACCTAATAGAAACAATGTTTTTACTTAAAAAAACTCAATAAATCAATTTTTAAACGAATCCACGGCTCCTCTGGTCCTAGGTGACCCTTTTTGATAATGTTTGTAGTGTTACTACTTACCAGATGCCATAGTGGTCCCCACTCCTTTCAAGTTTGACAAGGCCTGCATAGCTTGTTCTAAGTTAGGTAATTTCCTGAATGCTTTTTTCGTTTCTGCCATAACTGCCCTTGGTGTATTCACCTGGAAAAAAAATAATTGTTTTTGCATGCTTCACATTAAAGACATTCGATATATGTTGGACGAGTCCAAGTTACGAAAAATTGACAATTGATTCAAGTATTCAGAGAATGCACTTATGAAATTTAAAATAATTTAGACATACCTTGACAAGATATGATAACTGTGGGTAAAATTTTCCTCGTATCTGTTTCCATTTCATACACTGTACTAATTCTTCATGTACCAAGTGAGCATCCTTTCCTCGCGATTTTATCTTTTTGGGCAATTCATTTTGATACCTGTAACAATACAAAAGTTAACATTACTCCACTATGTACAAGCTCACTATAAAATTCAAAAATAAAAGTCACTTCACACTGGGCCGCAGACTGGAAAGCTTTGAAAAAAAAAGCATCTACTATAAAAGTTTTGCAATATGACTTGACAAATGGACACAGGAGGAATATCCCGATCTGTGAATGAAGCTAATAGGAAAACGGATTTATAGCGAAAAGGACCTTCTGACGGCTTGAAATAACATAACATGTATCAAACTAGTTACTTGTTTATATGTCCGCAAAGGTTTGCTTTAGAAAATATTTAAAAAACACTACTTGGAGGTTCGACTTAAAGGATATTTATAAGTAGTCGGAATTGCCAAGTAGGTTGACTCTGCATCACTGGAGAGCTGAAGGTAAATTTTTGTCAAAATGTCATCGAAATACAAGAGGTACTTCCAGAGCCACGTGGTTAGTAAAAATCGGACAAATTATTTGATTAACCATATACCCCATAAAAACAACGTATCCAAATCCATCATGTATTCGTTATAACCGTATCCAACAAGCTCCTATCCATCAAATTGAATATAGTTTCGCATTTCCAATTATTTTCGATAATCCCTCTGCCACAATCCAAACGTATTTGGATCTAGTTTTGTACCAGAAACTCTATAATGGAAAATGAAGCTAAAAGAAAATATCGCGGGAATTATAAACGAATAAAACATGATTGGAACACAGATAACATGTGCTGCTAATTGGGAAGGAAAGAGCCGATACAGAATTATTAAATGGTTGAATGATGGACAAGCTCTCATTTAAACAGTGAAAAGTGTTTTTACTTTCCATTTGTGAGCGCGAGAAGTAGTGGCATTTTGTTTTTTATGAAACAACCGTGAAATAGTTTTAAAAATTTAAGAACGTTCATCATAGATTCACGATGTTTTTGCAACAAAGAGCTTTGTGTATCATTAGTTTGCAAAAAGGGCGCCAAGTGGATTGGCTCAGTAATTGTAATTCCTACCCTATAAAAACTTTTTAGCTACCTCATGAAAACTCTTTTTTTTTTAATTGTGGCGCCTCTACACGCCCAAAGATGAGATACATTGAGTTTGAGTATCTTTCAAATAATCTATGTCTTAAATTGATAAAAAACTTGAGGATAGTAAAAAAACGTAGCTGTCAATTTCATAAAATCCAGGCGCCTCCAAGAATTCTTCCCTGTGCAGAAAAATCAGGAACAAAAAAAAAACGAATATTTGGCTCTTTGTTGTTCGCAGGCCACAATAATTTGAAACACCCTCGTATCTAGCACGGAAGCTTAACAGTGTTGCCAGATTGACCATTTTTCCTTAAAATTTGAGTAATTTATTTTGTACACATTCACAACTTGAAGACATTGTTTCTCTAAGTACATTTTTTAAACAATATTTATTATGCCCAAAATCACAAAAATGCAGTTTGGATATAAAGCTTTTTTTGCTCAAAACTTCGCTGCCACTGCATAAACCTATGCAAATATAAGCGACATAATCATGGGAAAATTTTCTACCTCCCTGCTCTTCAAAAAGTTTTTGGGGACAGGTAGGTATACACTTTCATAAAAAGTTAATTCAATTCTTGCCGATGATCGCCTCCGGAGAAAAATTGCTGCGGGCGCCTATGAGTATTATCTTTAATAACATACATCATATTATGCTACTCACTAAACTTTATCAAAATCAGTGCAATGCTTGCTGAGATTAAGCAATGCCAAAAATTTTCAACAAACTGATGGGAATGAGTGACAATTTTCGTGATACATGTTCAATGCAAAGAAAGTCATTCTCGAATTTTTTGCGATTGCAATGAGATTACTTTTGCATAAAAAGTTAATTCAATTCTTGCCGATGATCGCCCCCGGAGAAAAATTGCTGCGGGCGCCTTTGAGCATTATCTTTAACAACATGCATCATATTATGCATACTCACTAAACTTTATCAAAATCAGTGCAATGCTTGCTGAGATTAAGCAATGCCAAAAATTTTCAACAAACTGATGGGAATGAGTGACAATTTTCGTGATACATGTTTAATGCAAAGAAAGTCATTCTCGAATTTTTAGCGATTGCAATGAGATTACTTTTGCATGGAAAATAATTAAAAATAGCCTCCATCAAAACGTTAGTAGGGAATATGGAAAAATCAATTCAATTCAATCGTACTTCACTGTATCAAACACAAGTACAGTTAAATGACAAATTCTGGCCAATGACTATTCATAATTAACAAAAAATAAAATTAATAATACTAGTTTCAGATTTTTCGTAACAATAACCAATAAAGGAAAATGGTAGAACAGTAATATCTTAAAATTACAAAAAATCTGAAGTACCTACGCAAACCCAATGACAAAATCTAATATAACTGATGATTCATTCGTATGAAGTTATTAAAAAACTGTAAAAACTCCAAGGGTGAAATAAGAATAAAATTGCAGAAAATCGCATCATGCACTTATTTTTGCATTGATGAATAAACAATCAGGGTTACTATTATTGTGAGAACGAATCGGGTACTTTTCCATATCACATTTCTGCAAAACAAAGCAATTCTCCGGAATACCTAAGATAATCCTTAACAAATCACCCTAATCGAATTTCCGTCAAGCAATCCACGTGTAAGACTATCAAACAAATGAAAAAGTTGCAAGATAATGTAATTTAAACGAATGAGAGGAATTAATAGAAATCTCCCCACCACTGGCGCGCACCGTCTACGGTCAAGATCGATCAATTTCAAATGTGAAAAGGCGCGATAAAAAGTAAACAACATCAAGCATCGCTCCTCGCGTATCGACCAGATCACTTTTCGAAAAATTCGTGGTAGAAACGGCTTTAATTCTGGTTGAATTTCGAACACGTAAACTGCTTTGTTTGAACAGACACCATTTTGAAAGACTGTGCTACGTTTTAACATTGTTTTCGTGAGTTTTTTTGAGTTTTTATGCGTACAACGTTTGCCAAAGCATAAGAGCATGCTGTAAAGAGTACGTGTATGGGATTTTGATGAAGTTTTATAAAGAGTGAAAATAGGATTACGCCGTGTGGATTTCGAGGCCATGACGCCTATATCGTATACAGGCAACGTTGTCGTGTATTTCTATACCGCACCGGACAAAAAGTGTGAGAACAGTGATTGTCACGTATGGCCACGTGATTTTAGCGATCGCACTGTCCGCGAGGGTAGTTACTTAGTCCGCATTGTCGCGATCGCGTTTTCTCGACGGGGTTCAATGACACATAAAAAGCACTTACCAGTTGTCTAGTTTGATGAGTTCCTCCGGCTTCTTCGCTTTCCTATCCGCTTTCAGACGGATAGCTTGCGGGTACAACTTGAGCACTTGCTCGAATTGTTGACAGGTGCCGTGAGTAAAGAAGGTGGCCGTGCCCGGATCCTTAGCATCAACGGCGGCCATGGCTCGCGTCAGCCAACTGACGACGGCCGCAGCGATCGCAGGCGACTACGATAGCGACGAGTGTAGCGTTGCCAGATCGTGCCCTGTGAAATACGTAGGGTTTTTCAAAAAATGTACTTCCAATATTTTCAAAAAAATCGAAATCCTAACGTGGGAAATAATTGTTTTGTGGAGAGATAAACGAAGCCGCAGCACGGTTTTACCATTTGTCGCGCTTCCGGCGAAGAGAGTTATTTTAATCGATAACGAGCGTTAAGCGCTGTCTACACTCATTAAGATTGTGTATGGGTGATTATTTTAAAGCGATATGTTATTTTTAACTCTGTATACAGTTGCCAGCTGGAATGATTTTGCGATGAAGCAAGGTAGTTTCAAAGGATATAACGAATATATGAGATTCGTGTCGATTAGAAAGATGTTCAAAATTTAAAATGTGAATGGGTTAATATCTCTATCAGCAATTTATTATTCATATTCGTTTAAAATTTTGAATCAATTACAAAAAAAAACTAACAAACACTTTTTCAAGGTTGAACTTTGACAATCAACAATATCATTCTAATGACGGCCACCACGGCTAGCCCAACAGTGTCCCAAAGAGTTAATCCAATTTTCATGTACTTTTTCGATTCTTGGGCTTGAATTTATTGTCCGACAGTTTCTATTTTGTGTTGAAGACAAATGTCCATGTGATTTTTTTGGTGTTTAAAATTCGTTTATTATAGTACGGTAACGCTTGCCATTACTAAAACGGCAGCTCCTTTTTCATTTTCGAAGGCCACAAAACGCACCAGTCGCTCTACGACGTGTGCATTCTCTGATCTCTGAACAGTGTGTCAATTTTGCTCATTCACATAAACCGAAAACGCATCGGATGGTGCCATTTCGTAAATGTCAAGCATTCTGACACATTATAAGTGAATTTCAGCTTTTGGATCTCAACATAACCGCTACTTAAAATTCCAAACACTAGATGGCCTAACTTGTACAAAACGCAAAGTTTACATTTGCTCTGTTTTACTGTTTCCATTATTACGAGTAACACGTACAAAACGGTCTTATACAGGGTGTTTCAGAACTATAAGTATTACGAAGCTTCTGCCAACAATCAAGTGCTCACGAGGCATAGTTTTCCTTAAAGTATGAATGTAAAGTAACTTTGAGATAAGAGACTGTTAGGTGGACCTTGGAGTCGCTCAGTACCAACAAAGAACAAATATTTTAGTCCTGTTAACGTATTGGAAAGAAGTGCATCCGAATCTGTTTGCATCCTTTTACGCGTCTTGCAGATGTCCGTACCGTCAGTCGTTCCTACAATTGTATGACGCCTTTATGGCCTCCTTGATTTTCATTTCTCACCTTTAGAAAGGCTGAGATATTTCTAGATTTCTACTGTTCCGTGTCAGCGACAGCGCTCTCCTATTATGAGGCTATGTTTTCTTTTCGAATTGTAAGAAATTTCAGGCTGATAAAACAGATTTTACAAATCAAAAGCATGAATAATTTGATGCAAATAGATATTTGTAACATAACCTCAAAACGGAGCGCCTTCCTGAAGGACTGGGTAAACTATGAAAATCAAGCAGGCCATAAAGGCGTCCTACAATTGTAGAAATGACTGACGATACCGCTATTAAACATTTATTTAGGGGACTGGAAGTTCTCATATTCAATCTGCAAAGGATCTACGATAGACCTTAACAACTACAAACTACAATGATATTCTCTGTATTCAGCAAGGTGATGGAAAAGAACATCAATAGAGAGCTTATAAAGTACCTCGAACATCACGGCTTGACTAGCAACAAGCAGTTATGATATCCAACTCGAGGGGATTATCGTGGGACCCTATCCTGTAAGTTTACGCCACAAAACTGGAGCAAACCATATCATGCACTTGACAGTAGACACGCTTTCGATCGTCGACCAGCTGTACCAACACATCTTGGCTTTCAGCTCCTTTCCTGTACCTTAAATCCGATTCACAGCTTTGTGAATGACAACACTTTGCATACAGTTATGACCACCACTCAGTCTGAAGACCTGGATGTTATCATTGCTTTATACGCAACAACTGCTGCTTTTTTTAGTTCCAACGACTACTTTCAATTATATCACAATTCTGCTTCTCATTTTGTGACTCAAATTGTAGGTGGTCTAAATTGTGGAACTATATGCTTGAAGCAAGATATCTTTAATTGATTAACCTCAAAGTTACAGTGCTTCAGCTATAGTACGTTTTTTCTGTAGTATAAAAAATGATTACACTCAAAAAGAAATATGTTGCAGATAGAACCCGCTATTATAACAGCTTATGAAAGAAAATTTTATAGTTATTCTTTTCTATGAGGAACATTTATGTTTTGACAATGTAGATGGATTAACCCATTTTTTGCTCTTATTAATTCTTGAGAGCCCTTGAAAAATTCAATAAAACCTTAGTCTCTTCATATCTATTAATCCGACTTTTAATTGCAGTAGACATTTTTCTAAAATTCTTTTTTCCTGGTTTATCAACCACTATTACAGACCTGAGAAAACCAACAACCTTCCTGTGAACCCAGCTTTAGTCCCGATAAACAACAAAAAATTCTAGATCTCCCCAAAATCCAACGATTCCACGCAAAATAACATCGAATATCGGTCACTTAATGATGAACGCATATCAGTCCGAATAATTCCTGGCCGCACGATTATTCCGATAACCTTTAAACGGTTTGCTACGGCCGAGGGTCAAGAAAATCCACACGTCTGCTACTCTTTTCGCGGAAGTGGCAACGTCGCGTACAGCGCGCGTTAGCCTGCCGGGGGCAGAACAGCAACGATGGCATATCAGGGACAGAGGGATGAAGAGGGGCGAGGGGAGATGGTTTGCTGCTGTCGATGCTGGTCCGACCCGCTGCGGGGACACAGCGCGCTGTTGCCAAGTCCAGAGGTGGAAAATAGCTACTCATGATTTATTTATCGCTGTGCCAGTTTCGCCCGCAGAGACGGAATATGGACGGATAGATATCGATAATAATGGTGGTTGCTGATACGTTTGTTATGAAATAGATATCGATAGAGAACAACATATTGGAACTTGTGAGATTCCAGAAATACCGATTCTTCCAGGTATTTTTAATAGGAATGATTGTCTCAAACCCAAGAAGCATCCTAACTTTGAAGTAACGTACTTCAGCCTTACAAACTTCCAATATCTTGTGTTTTGCCAGATTTTCGTATGATTTGACCTTGAAAAGTTTCCGTACATTTTAAGCTTGATACGGATGCCAAACAAATGCAGGAGCGTTGAGAGAAGCTTAAAAAGCGAATTACCTTTTGACTAAAACGGCAATTAGAAGTTCGTATGTTTATCCCATGAAGCAAATAATGTGTTAGGCAGATGGAGACTAAATAAGCGCCTTGTTTTTAAAAATAACATAAGACTATTCCAATCTGATTAAGCTTTTGTTTGCGGTTAATCTAAAAATGGTGGTTAAAGAGTTTTATGCTCTTATTTTTCAGAGTAAGTTTTTCACAAAAAAAATGTTTAATTGCAGGCATACTGAGACCTAGCTGATGTTACTGCAAAAAAACAGCTAAATATGGATCATTTTCCAATTGTTTATATCTACCTCACACATATTTCCATGATACTTTATAATACTATAGTCATCGGAGAGTAAAAATTTCAAATCTATAGATACAGTGAGTTTGGAAAATGCTAGCCCAATAATGGCGCACTTCAAACTAGGTGTGTAATGCAATATTTTTGAATTATGTTTTTGACATTTAGCAATAAAAATATATTTGTAGGTGGAATAAAATCTCATATGCTTAAGCTAAAAATTCTGGAACTCGGGAACGGTTAGAGTTATAATGTTGGTTAAATGATAAACAGTTGTGGAATGGAATTTCAATTTAAATAAAGTTTACAGATTTGAGAGTATTGGAGTATACGTTATTCAGTGCTTTTACATGGTTTATATTACTCCCAGGTAATTGAGAATTTTTTTGAGCGCTCCTGTTTTGGTGCTTCGTTAGATTCGGATAATAGGGAAGGGATTATTACGCTTATTTAATTTTGTGTTGCCGGAATCTGTAAAGCTAATATAATTTCGGGTTATAAAAACATTACAACAGAATGAAATACGAGTTTGTGATCATGCATAAAAATAAATGGCAGTTTTCTAAATTAATTGAATTGTCCTGACTTTTGTTATATGTAATAATCTGGCAAGGAAGCCTTTTATTCTGGTCCTACTGGTATTGTGGTCACTTCTAAGGTTCTATAATTCCAAACCTATTCATTTCTTGCCCGATTTGGACACAAATAAACCGAAACTTTTCCAGACAAAAATAAAAGAAACAACCTATTTGGCAAATTACCACGGTTCACGTTATTGGTAAAAAAAGTTCTTGTTTTTTCAAACACCCTCATTAGCATTCGCTGTCAAAAATAACGTAACTGAAGGCTTAACGATTCGTTATTTTTGTTGTACTGAAAGCTCCCTTTAACAATTTAAATTTTATACCCATCTGCTGCAAGGATCGTAGGGTCCACTGCGCTGTTGCCGTCTCCTCTCCGTCGACGTTTCCCCGAAACGCCGATATAATAATAAACCACCTGTAATGCTCGTGGTACGGAATGAAATTGATAAACAAACAACAGAACATGCTGCAGGACGTCCGACGTGGCGCCAGGCGTCAAAAGCGTCGTCGTAGATGCGACGGAATCTCATTCGCCGAAAGGGGGGGTGTAGGGGATCCCCGAGGGGAACGGTGCGGTGCAATGCGTGTGTGATTCATTGTTCCGGATCTCTCTGACGCTCTGGCGGCAGCGTCTGCCGCTTTGCCGCTTTTGCTTTGCTCTTTCCCATTCGCTAAAGAGCTGCCGACAAGACAAGTGCTGCTGACCTCGGCCCATTATTGGATTATCGCCGTCTATCTATCGGCATCATCGTTAATTTGTCCGGCTTGTTTATGGCTAGGGAGACATGAATGAATTTCTATTCTAAGGACCTACATAAATACAGCAGACACAGTTCATAGATGCAACAAATTCTACTATCAAATAAAACTAACAATATGAGTAGGGCTGCCAGCACACATTACCGACGAGACACGTCAAAGAAAACCTTCAAAAACCTCGGACATTTGGCTGAAATTGAGATTTCTCCCCGGGCACCCCAAATTTTGTATATACAGGGTGTTTCAGTTTATTGTTGCATAACTTTAAGATTCGATAGAACTT